TTTGTTTGCCTTTCCTAGGTCAGTGTATGTCAGACTCATTTGCTTTTTCGGATGTTGCTGATCTGTGTGACAAGAGCTCACTTAGTGGGTGTCTGCAGTGGGAACCCACTGAACCAGAAAATAGTTATGGCCCTATATATGATGGCACTAACTTTCTCTGGGACCCACAGGACTCTGTATTTTGTCATTAGAGTGCTCCACAAATTTTCCAGTTCCTTTCCTTCCAGGCTTGTGCAGAGTTCTCATCTCTGACCTCTTTTTAAGTATGGTTGTGACTAACAAAATATGAAACTTTTCATGTGTCACTTGTGAGCACAGTTATAAAAGTCAAAGTGTGTTTCACTAAGGTTTCCTGTTCCCAGTGATAATCATGGAAGCTCATATGGAGATGGATGGAGCCTCTTTTTCCACCTTATTTCTTGAATAACAACGAGCAGGGCTCCGCCGCTGAGCAACACTGGACCTCTCTGGTTAAAAACTGAAGTGTTGTTACGGTACATCCTGGCCTATGCTAGCTGACATGGAAAACTGAACTTCGACATAGACTAGAAGACTAAAAAGGAAGAATAGCTCTTCCTAGAAAGGAACCTCAGGATGAGCAGGCACTCCATCTACTGAATTCAGGGAATACATTCCAAAGTAGTAGACAGTTCTGTAATAGTCACTTTCCAGAAACCTACATAAAGCACAATATTGTGCTTACCAGATAAGTGCTTGAGCCACTGAGTTAAAGCCCTGGCCCTGGGGCTGGGGATTTAGCTCAGTGGCATAAGCGTCTGCCTTGCAAGAAGGCAGTTGTGAGTTTGATCCCTGGTACCGATAAAAAGGAAAAAGACAAAAAAAAAACAAAAAAAAAAAACCAAAGCCCCAGTCCTAGTAGGCAGTACTGAAAGCAGTGATGTGCCCCCTTCCCTTTTCTTCCAGCTTGTGAAATTGGTCATGACCAGCTTCTGAAACTGGTCTCCACCCTTTACCCTACGTGATTTCCTATGTGGTTTCACGCAGGAAACCACCACTACTGAATGATCTTAAACCATCCTTCCAAAGTTCTTAAAACTGAATGTGCCAGCCATTGTGGTACATGGCTGTAATCCCAGCCCTTGGGAAGCTGACGCAGGAGGAATACTGTGAGTTTGAGGCCAGCCTGAACTATATGGTGAGACCCTGTCTCAAAAAACAAAAAAGCAAATACACAAAGGAAGCAAAGGACTATCTGTCTATCATTTATCATCTCTCTATGCAATTGTATTGATAAAACTGGCTATAAACTCTTGGGTTCAAGGGATCCTCCTGCCTCAGTCTCCTAAATAGCTGGAACTATTGATGTGTGCCACCAAACCAAGTTCCAAATAACATTTTTGTAGACAGAAAAAAGAACTTATTGGGGATCACTGATGTTATGTTTTCTGAGTTTACTTATGTTTGAGATCTGACTGTTGTCTTTATATCTTAATGTCAATGTGGCTATATGATTTTTTCTTATTTTTTAACTAATTAAATTTATTGTTACATTTTAGGTACACATAATGCTCGCATTAATCATAGGAAATTTGTACCTGTACAGGATATATCTTAATTTCTTCTTTTTCCTAACCCCCTACCCTCTCTTCAACCTTTTGCCCCCTCATTTACAAGCACTTTGTTTAGGGGCTGGGGATTTAGCTCAGTGGCATATGCGCCTGCCTTGTAAACAGGCAGTCATGAGTTTGATCTCCGGTACTGATAAAAAAGAAAAAGATAAAAAAGAAAAAGACAAAAAAAAAAAAAACCCCAAAAAAGTGCTTTGTTTCCATTTTTTCCTTCTTTTCTCTTTTTTTCCAATTGGATTGTATTGGTACATTTTATATATATGTAATGGTTATATTACATATATATATAATTCATAGAGAATTTATACCTGTACATGCTATAACTTTTTTTCTCCATTCCCCTTCCCTCCCTTCAATCCTTCTCCCCTCCCTATTTACAAAAGCTTTGTATCCATGTTTTCCTTTTCTCTTGTTTTCTTTCCTCTTTTCTTCCTGGTTCCCCTTCCCATTTGAATACTTTTTTCCTATGTCACAATTTCTGCTTTACATTTTGGTTCTTATTTATACTTTTGGTTTCTCAAATCAGAGAAACGATGAGGTATTTACAGATGAGTGACCAATTTGTTTCACTTAAGAGTATGGGCAAGGTATATCCATTTAGCTAGAAATGTCTCAAGCTTATTTTTCTTTATGGCTGAGTGGTATTCCATTGTGTTAAAAAACACATCTTTGTTCAATCATTGATTGATGGGTATTTGGGCTGTTTCTAAAATGTAGCTATAAAGAAAATAAAATTTAGCTATTACAAGGGCTGGGGGTTCAGCTCAGTGGCACAAGCGCCTGCCTGGCAAGTACGAAGTTGTGAGTTCAGTCCCCAGTACAAAAAGTAAAATAAAATTTAGCTATTACAAATTGTGCTGCTATAAACATGGGTGGAGTTGGGCATGGTGTCAAATGCCAGTAATCCCAGCACTTGGGAGGTTGGGGTAATCTTCACAGAAAGATTTCTGTGCATTCAAGGCCAGCCTGGGCTACAAAGTGAGTTCAAGTCCAGCCTGAACTACATGGCAAGATGCTGTCTCAAAAAAAGAAAAAGAAAAAAAAAAAAAAGAAAACAGTGTTGGGGATATAGCTCAGCAGGACATCACCCACATGGCAAGTGGGAAGTGATTTCCGGTATAAAAAAAAAAAAGTCCATGGATAACTATTTCGAAAAGAACGAGAGACATTATGGCAGCCATTGTTGACTTCCCTATTGTCTGGTCTTGAAGACCTAAAATGCCTTCATCACTCTGTTCTGATTAGTTTAGTACTATATTGTTCAGTATGTATTCACTGTGTATGAAGATGTGGACAACTATTTGGAGGAAAACAAGAGACAATATGATAGATAGTGAAGATCTCCAATGGTCTTGCTTTGAAATCTGTGTTTCTTTCTTTCTTTTTTGTCTTTTTCCTTTTTATCGGTACCAGGGCTTGAACTCAGGACTGCCTGCTTGCAAGGCAGGCGCTTATAACGCTGAGCTAAATCCCCGGCCCCGAAATTTGTGTTTCTTAAAATTGTTTCTTTATGATTTGTTTTGTTGTTTAATTTTACCCTTTTTAAAATTAAAAAAAAAAAGTCCACAAAAACATGGGTATGCATATATTACTGTGGTATGATGCTTTTAGTTCTTTGGGAAGATAACAAGAAGGTGAATAGCTGGGTCAAACGGAATCTCTAGTTTTAGTTTTTGAGGAATCTCCACACTGATTTCTACAGTGGTTGTACCAGTCTGCATTCCCACCAACAGTGGAGAAGTGTTCCTTTTCCCCCACAGCCCCACCAACATTTGTTATTGGTGATTTGTTGATAACAGCCATTCTTCCTGTATGATAGTATTTTTCAACTTACATTTTAAGAATAGATAATTTTTGCTTATGATAAAAATTTTACTTATAAAGAGAAAAGTTTTTCCCATATCTTTTTTTTTTTTTTTTTTTTTTTTTTTTTGTCTTTTTCCTTTTTATTGGTACCAGGGATGGAACTCATGACTGCCTGCTTCCAAGGCAGGTGCTTATACTGCTGAGCTAAATCCCCAGCCCCTTATTAATTTTTTTTGTCTTTTCCCCATATCTTTATATGCAGCATCACTCTATCACCTTCCTTTCCACCCATAACAGTATGAGAAAGTGGACCCTCAATGGTCTTATTTTGGCTGCCTTAGGTGATAGAGTTGGGCTCACCATACTTACTTTAAGAGGAAGAAAGTGGGGTGGTGACTGTGGTAAACTAGGAAGTATGTGTCTTGTCCAAAAGGAGTAGCTACTGCCCTCCTCCACTGTTCTGTTCAAGAAATCCAGATCCAGTATTGCTATATTTCTGGATTTTGAAAATGGAAATAAATCCATTTTTGGATGAGAAATTTGTTGCTTTTGCTATGCTAAACTAAACACATATGGCTGGAGACCAGTCTGGGCTACACAGTGAATTCAAGATCAGTCTGGACAACATAGGCCCTGCCTGAAAAACAAACAAAAAACCCCAAAAAACAAACCTCCTCCCACCAAAAACCAAATATGGCTGGAAATGATCAGTCTCTGAATGTTGTAGCTCTGAGTGTGGGCTCTGAACTCTGCAAACTGGAATCTAGCTCTGCCACTTATCCCTTGTATATAGTTGAGGTGCCCAGTTCCCTGCCTCCATACAATAGAATTCAATGTTCTAGGATTTCTATGAGGATGTGTGACAATGAAAGATAAAAATATGATCACTTGGTAACATGTGAGATGGGCATCTCATAAAACAAGCCAGTGGAACAGACAATAACACACGAACTTCAGCTAGGAATTACAAAAAACATTCCTTGGGACAGCAGCATTGATTTTTTTTTTTTTTTTTTGGTAAGGATTTCACTATGCAGTTCAGCCTGGCCTTGAACTCATTTTGTAGCCCAGGCTGAACTTGAACAATTCAGCGACTGTCATGACTCAACCTCCTGCGTACTGGATTACAAACTGGGATTACAAACGTGGGCCACCACACCCAGACAGCAGCATTTAAATAGAGACCTGAGGGGCTGGGGATTTAGCTCAGCGGCATAAGCACCTGCCTTGCAAGCACGCAGTCGTGAGTTCAATCCCTGGTACCGATTAAACAACAACAACAACAACAACAAAAACAAAACAAAAAAACCCCTTTGAAATAGAGACCTGAAAGTAACAGTTAACTGGCTGGAGAAGAGGGATGGGAAGTGGAGTAGAGCACAACAGGCTCAGAAATCAACTCTTGTGAAAGCCCTGATGCAGTTCTGCAAGCTGAAGCAGTGAGAGCAAGGAGACAGATAAATCTCCAGAAGCCATGGATTTCTTGACTCCCGATAGTGTGCGCTGTAGAGAGCTTTAGTTTGGCTTAAGGATTGTCTCTGCCAACTTGGGACTTCACACTACATTGGCCAGTGGTAACTTCCTGACAGAAAAACCACACCCACCAAATATTCCGCAGGGCCCCTAAACGTAAGAGAGGGAAGCAAAGGGGGCTGGCGTGGGGTCAGCAGTGAGCAGTTTTCCAGGCGGAGCAGGAAGATCGAGAAGGCAGGTAAGATAGCGCCGTGGTGGGAAGCGATCCCACCAGCGTTGGTAGCTGAGGTCTAGGGCTGCGGAGTGGAAATCGAGCAGAGCAGGAGGCAGCGTTTACAACTTCAGGTTGAGGAATTTGGCCAGTTTGCAGGAGCTCATTTAGATGGAGGTGGTGCGCCCCCTGGGAGCAGTGTTTGGTAGTGGAGGCTGGATGACCCAGATAAGGAGGAGTGGGGGGCAGCTCAAGATGGGGGTAGCTTGCTTGGCAGTTTTCTTCTCATAAAAGCTAACTGTCCGGTATGATGTACTCCTGGGGTCCTAGAATGGCTAGGTTGGACGAGACCTTGAGAAACGAACTACCGTCGCGTGCCACATACCAGAACTGGGAACTTTCCTGAACATTGTTACTATTCCTAACTCTGCTTCGAGGCGGGTATCATCAAACCCATTTTTCAGGTGAGAAAACCGAGGTTTGGTGACTTCCCAGGGTGGGGCAGGGACTCTTTCTAAGACCTCAGAATCTTCCCTGGGGCCTTCACGACTCGTAAGATACTAATTTCCAGAGGTTTGGGGGGTAGGGTGGGGAAGCATCAGGTATGAGACACCCAAGCCTTCTAAGGGACAACGGTATGGGTGTATTTTCTGGCCAAAACTGCGCCTCCCTTGTCGTGACAGTACTGATTACTGTCGCTTTCCTTTAAAGGCCTTCCCTTGAAATACGAAATCCTCACCATACGGGGACTCGGATATTTCTCTCTCACCCGCACTGATCCCCACTGGTGACACCAATTCTTCACTGTCGAGTAGAAACTTGGGACTACATTTCCCTACATTTCCCTTCAGAAGGGATGGCGAGAAGAGGAGGAAGGAGACTTTCCGTTTCCAGAGGCTCGCACTTTGGCTTGTCCGCGGTGATGCACATTACTACAGCCCAAGTTCTTTCTCTGTAGCGCTCAAGAGGGGACTACGTCCCCCAGCAGGCTCTGGCGCACAGGTCAAGTGGCTCTGCTGCCATCTTTACTGTAGTTCGTCCCACCCACTCGCCCCCCTCGTTTCCGCTGGGGATGACCTTAGCTCCTGGACTACAAATCCCAAGTCGCCGCCCCCTTCCCTTCGGCCGCCATCTCGGCCACAGTCCCCGCCCCAGCCCTTTCCATTGTCTCTGCTGAGGACAGTTAAGGCGGCCGGGAAGACTGCAACTCCCGTCGGGCTTTGCGCCTCCGGGTGTGGGATTTTGATAGTAGAGGCGGGCGACGAGGCACTCAAGGTGGCTGAATGAGGCAACCAGGAGAGGTTAAGTGGCCTGCCATCTTTATGGTAGTCTGTTTGTTCGCCCGGTTCCGCCATCCTTAAGGAACAGTAGAAGGTTAGAAAACTACTATTCCCATCGCACCTCATGAGATCGACTGCTAGTCAGGTGTACGCCCCTCTTCCGCCATCTTGCTTGTAGTCCTCGTTCCTTTTCACCTTTCCATTGTTCCTGACGAGTAGAAATGGCAGCGGGAAGGCAGCAGATGGACTGCGACTCCCGTCAGGTACTACACACGCGGAGGGTTGTGGATAGGAGGGCGTGTGAGTGCCCGGGAAGGAGGCCGGGGCGGGGGAGAACGCCATCTTGTTTGTAGTCCTCGTTCCCGCTCCTTTTCTATGCTCGGCAACAGGGAGCCTCGGGCCAACTGGACTAACACTCCCGGCGTCCTCAGCGCCGGGCTCTGCGCGCCTTCCGCCATCTTGTTTGTAGTGCCCGCTGGCCCGGGGCTCGCTTGTTTCCGCAGCAGCGCTAGCGTCCGCAGAACTACAACTCTCGTCGTGCCTCGCGCGCGCTCATCCTGGAAAGCGGAGGTGGTCGAGGGAGGCGGGGGCAGGGGGCGGGGTTCCTCTGGGAGAAGGAGGGAGTAGGAGAAGGAGGAGGGAGGGGAGGGATAGAGAGAAGGAAGGAGGAAGGAGCTGAGGAGGGATGAGAGAGGCGGCCAGGGCCCCGGGCCGAAGCTGCGCGGGGCCGTGGGACCAGGGGGGCTGAGACACCCCAACTGCCCCTCCCCCCTCCCCTGCCCTCTCTACCCTTTCTTCCCACGCTCCCGCTCGAGGAGGGGGTTTATTCAAATTTTATTTAAATTTCTATCTCCCGAGGGTCGCGCGCTGGGGTGGGGGGCGAGGGCGGGGGCGCGCGCTGGCTGGGGGGGCGGGGCCGGAGCAGCTTCCTTCACCCCCTCCGCTTGCCCGGTCGCCGTAGAGCGGGGAGCCGCTGTCCAGGGGCGGGCCCAGGGGAGGGGGGCAGGTTACGGCGACCCCCCCCTCCCCGGGAACCGGAGGTGGGCGGGGCTTGAACCCCGGAAACGGCGGGGGGCCCAGGCCTGTCCCTGGATCCCTGGGCAGTGGGAACCGGGAAGGGGCCAGTTAAAGGGCCGGGGGCTCTGGGAGAGGAAGAGCAGGGTGGGGGAGGGGAGCTGGGACTCGGACCCGGGACTGAGTGGGGCCCGGGCAGAAGCTGAGCACCCTGCGCCCGAGGAGCCCCGGTTGGTCTGGGGGGGCTGAGGGTCTGAGCCCCCCAGAGGAGGACCTCCCCCTGGAAGGGCCGCGCCGCAGCCCGTGGGAGGGCCTCGCCCCCGGCGCCCCCCATCTCCACTCGCCGCCGTCCCGGCCTCCGCCGGAGGGAGGGGCCGAGCGCCCTCGGGGGGCCGTGGACCCCGGCGTTCTGAGCGTTCCGCGCCCCGCGCCGCCCGGCCCCCCCGCTGCCGATGGCCGCCGACCCGCCGGGAGCTGCCAAGAAGGGAGAGATGGCTCCCGGGACACGTGTGAGGTGGGTTCATGCGGCTCCTCCTCACCCCCAGACTCGGGCAGCTCCCACTCCCATTCATCCTCAGCCCAAGCTCTTTCTACCTTCCCCGCCCCTAGCCTCACCCTACCTCTTCTCCAAACGCCTCATCTTTAGCATTCCTTCCTGTGACCTCTCAGCCCGGGAACTGGCCTTCCATCCCAGCCCCTTCTTCCCCTTCTAGACCCCTCTACCTGCCCCCAGCGGTCGCCGCTCTCTAGGCCCCTCCCCTGGAGCGCTGGAGGGTCCTTTACCCCCGTGGATAGTCCCTGGAAAGGGGGAAACTGGAGTAAGACTGCACTGGAAAGAGACCCTCCAGGCCTGCTGAGCCCCTGTGGGATCTTGGAGGATCTGGTTTCCTTGGGGAGGGCAGCCCCCGAGATTCCAGACAATTAGGTATGGAAAGCAGCCTGAGAAGCTGGGGGGCATTTAAGACTGAGCCCATCCTGAGTTCTGTGGAGACAGGCTGACTTGTAGAATCCCAGGAAATGCGGGAGATTGCCCAGGTTTACCTGAGAGAGCCCAGAGGATGTGAGGGGACTCAGGACCAGAGGAATTGAGAGGCTGGGCTGAGGAGGCATTCTGAGGAAACATCTCAGGGGGTCAGAGGCTTGAGAAGTGGAAGGGGCACAGTGGATCATTAGGGAGGAGGGCAAGAATCCCATTGGATCTGAAAGGATGCTGAGATTTGGGAGAAAGAGATTGGATGGCTGTTACTGATGAGAAAGGGAGAGAGGGAGAAAGAAAAGTCTGGCTCTTCAACTTAGGAGTCTGTGGTGTCTTGGAGGTGAATCTGGGGAATTTTAGGTTGGTGAGAGCTTGGGCTATTCTACATTTGGATAACAGGGAAGAGTTGGGACCTCTGTGACATAATGTCAGACAGGAAGCCCCTGGCTTTTGCAGAGAGCTTTAGCTTGGGAATGTCAGGGGAGTGGCCTCAGTATCCCCACTTCTGGACTAGGGAAGAGGCACTGAGGAAGTATTAGAGGAGCAATGAGATTGCAAAGTCAGTTGTCATAGCTCCCTGAGGAGCTGGATAAGCTGCTGCAGGGAGAAGCCTTGAATAGGGAGAATGGACCCCAACCCTAGCACGCGCACACACACACAGACACACACAGACACACACACATACACACGGGAGAGGTGACCTCCTTGTCCCCCTAGGTAGGCGAGGGCAAGCTCTGGCTCCCCAGGGTTGGGGCTGAGCTGCCAGGAATCTTCCAGATCATGGCCCCCGTGGGCCCATTTGACCATGCCACTATCTACCCACAGCCCTCGGCGTTGCTGACGCCCCCAATGTCGTCGAGCAGCCGGGGGCCGGGGGCCGGAGCGCGCCGACGCCGAACCCGCTGCCGTCGCTGCCGGGCCTGTGTGCGAACTGAGTGCGGGGACTGCCACTTCTGCCGAGACATGAAGAAGTTCGGGGGGCCCGGGCGCATGAAGCAGTCGTGCCTGCTCCGGCAGTGCACTGCCGTGAGTTCTGCCCCCACTAATGGAGGGCCCCTTTGAAGTGCTGGGCACACTTTCCCAATGGTTACCTTTCACACTGGCCCATGCACCTTTTGGGGTGACTGGTAGCTGCTTCCCAAAGTTGCTGTTCATTCACTTCCTTTACTCAGTTGCTGATTTGTTGAACTGTCCATTTTGACCCTTATCTACGAGTTGGGGGGCAATGTTAAGGTAACATAAAAGGATCTGACGTAGCCCCTGCCTTTCCTGTCCCCAGCTTTCAGAAGCACAGGCCTACAGAAAGCTCAGCCCCAGCTCTGGCTCCCCAGTTACCTGTGCATGCAGTCTATTCCCATTATCTGTCTCCTAGGAAGAGCTCTTGTCTTTCTCTGGTCTCTTCCCCATCAGGGTAGTCTTGAATTTGAGACTAGACTTCCCCTTTGTTTCACCTTGAATAAGTCATTTTGAATCTCAGGTACCTTCTCCATAAAATACTCCCTTTGCTGTCACATGCCGGTAATCCTAGCACTCGGAGGCTGAGACAGGAGGAGGATTGCTGCGAGTTTGAGGCCAACCTGGGCTACACTGTGAGATCCTGTCTAAACAAGTTTTTTTCCTTTGCTGAGTTGTAAAGAGTAAACAAATCCCACAACATCCAGCACATAGTAGGTATGAGGCAAACGTGGGCTTCCTTAGCTTTTGAGAGGCCCCAGGCTCTGATGGTCATGGGGAGCCAGCTGCATCCTGCATCACCCTCCCACACCACCACTTCCCTTTCTTCCCCCTGCCACTCTTTCCTGGTTTGGACTTCTTATCCTGTAGCACCGCTCCTCCTCTGTCTCCCAAGCCCTTGCTTTAGTTTTCTGTTTCTTCTCTCTCTCCTTACGTTTTTTCTTGATCCTGTCTGGCAGCATCCCTCATGTGGTTCCATATCACCATTGTCCTCCCAGTGTTCCCATTATCTGAAGACTGTGCCCATTTTTCCCAGGATTAGGCAGTTGGCTCTAGTGTTCTCAGGCCTTGCCAAAATTGGGTTCACTATAGGATTTGGAGCGACCCTTGTGCTGCTCATTGAGCACTATCAGAGTCCACCTAAGTTGCTGCTGCGTCTTCTCCAATTTTTCTCTGCAGCAGTCATATTTCCCTTTCCTTGAAGCCAACTTTAATTTCAGGGTCACATTTGCCTTAGATATGGCTGTAACAGTCATAGCAGTGATAATAACTATGTATCGAGTGCCTTTCATCCAGTATCTTGCCTTGCTACTGTCTTGTTACAAGGGGATTCTCAGCCCCATTTTACAGATGCAGAAATAGAGATTTGAGGTTCAGTCAGTCTCTGGGAAGTGATACTGCCAAAAAGAAATTGGGGATTTTATTCAGCTTTGTAAATGGGTTCTGAATCTCAAGCAGCTGGTCAGGGTCCCCAGAAGGAAGACTTTCCCCTGTTTGCTTTTGGGGTCCCTAATGTCCCCTCTCCCCCAACAGCCCGTGCTCCCACACACAGCTGTATGCCTCTTGTGTGGGGAGGCTGGGAAGGAGGACACAGTGGAGGGAGAGGAAGAGAAATTTGGTTTGAGCCTCATGGAGTGTACAATCTGCAACGAGATCGTCCACCCTGGCTGCCTGAAGGTGATAGCTCTGGGAACCTTGGAGTCTGGGGTGGGCCAGATGTCAGGGAGCAAGGAGGTGGACTGCATTCTCCCTAGGTTTACCGGGAGCCCCTCATCCACTCCCTACCCTCTTGCCTGCAGATGGGGAAGGCTGAGGGTGTCATCAATGCGGAGATCCCCAACTGCTGGGAGTGCCCTCGCTGTACCCAGGAAGGCCGTACCAGCAAGGTAGGGGCACAACTGGGCTGAGAGCTGCCTTCTGGGTAGGTAGGGGGTTGGTAACGGTATCCAGGACCTCACCCCCAGCTTCCATCTCCCCAGGATTCAGGTGAGGGGCCAGGCCGCCGCAGGGCTGACAACGGCGAGGAGGGTGCCAGCCTAGGGAGTGGATGGAAGCTGACGGAGGAGCTGCCGCTTCCACCGCCTCCACCCAGGCGCAAGGGCCCTCTACCTGCTGGCCCCCCGCCTGAGGACGTGCCTGGGCCCCCCAAACGAAAGGAGAGGGAGGCAGGGAATGAGCCCCCCACCCCAAGAAAAAAGGTGAGCCATGAGGCATGCTCACTAGGTCCAGCCTAAAGGGTTCTGGGAGCTGTAGTCCTCTCTTCTGCTGTGGGTGGGCCTGGGAAGCAGCCTCCTTGAGTTTCTCCAGGGATTATTGGAACATGTAGTTCAGTAGTTTAGAGGTGGGGCATGCTTGCTGTGAAGAAAAGCAGGTGAGGGGGAACTGGTACAGGCCAGGAAACCTTGGGAGCTCTGCCTGGGTGGGTTAGGGAGGAAGAAGAGAGCATGCTCAAACTGCTACAGAGGAGGGAGGGGTTGGAAAGAGCCTGAGGGCGAAGAAAGAGGAGCTAAGAGCATGCTCAGTAAGCCAAGACTCTGTAAGGTGAGCATGCTCAGAGTTCTCCATGGGATGGGGGCTTCTGGGATTTGTAGTCTTAAGAGGAGGGCAAGGACCTTAGTTTTGCAGGCATTGGGGGCCTAATGGGGTCTGTCCCTTCCCCCATATCTCCCTCTTGCTCTGGTAGGTGAAAGGAGGCAGAGAGAGGCACCTGAAGAAGGTGGGTGGAGACGCCTGCCTCCTCCGAGGATCGGACCCAGGCGGCCCAGGCCTTCTGCCCCCCAGGGTTCTGAATCCGAGCCAGGCATTCTCGTCCTGCCACCCTGGGCTCCCTCCCGAGAGCTGGGAGGTGTGCCAGGGACCTCCCTCCCTTTCCACCTTTCCTTACCCCACCCTCCACCATGTTGATTAAGTTCTGTCCCTTCCTGCTCCCCTTGTCCTAGCCCCTGGTTACTCCATGGGTGGCTGGACCCCTGGGAAGAGTTGGGTGGGAGAGTGGGTTGAGTCCAGGCAAAAAGAACCTCTCAACTCCCAAGAATACCTAGGATGTCATCTGGCCCATTTGCTTCATCTCTCCAAGTTTTAAAGGGGAAAGAACTGAGTTCAAATTCCTGCCCAACTACTTCATTAGATCTTGGCAGCTTGGTAGCTGTTCTGAGCCTCAATTTCCTCATCTGTAAAATGGAGACGAAGCTATATACCATAAGCTACCCATCCTATATTATTGTATAAGTCTGTTAAAACAATGGAAGTAAATAAGCTTCGTAAATTACAGTGTTTACCTGGATTCAAGAGAAATGAAGCCCAGTGAGGTGGAGAGAATTGTCCAGTGTCACACAGCAAAGCCAGAATTTAGATATTACTGTGCACTGAGTAAATGCAAGGATCTATCTGATTGTTGTGTTCAAACCCTGTCTCCACCATTTGTCAGTTTTTACCTTTGGATAAGTTGCTTAGTCTCTTGGAGCCTCAGTTTACCATGTCTAAAAAGGGTGGCTCACATTGCCAGTACATTACACTGTGAGGACCTAATGAGTCAGAGAGAGTGTTCCAGTTCCACACAGGGCCAGATGATCATGTTACTCTCATGTTGTGGAGTAGACCTTCAGAGTTGTGTGGTGTAGCCTTTGCATGTTATAGCTGATGAAGCAGGGACTTCCCAAGATCAATCAGTTGATTGGCAAGCCAGCACTCCGAAATTTTCTTTGTATCTCTCTGTTTTGGGAAGTTCACAAGCCAATGAAAGCCATAAGCCTCTGAATCCTTGGAACTAACACCTTCATAGTCCAGATAAGGAAACTGAAGTCCAGAGATGGCCAAGGTCTCACATTGTTTGGGAGCAGTGTGGAACTCAGGCCTGTCCCTTGGGCTGTCTTCCCCTGGTCACACTTCATGGGTGGAGGGTGGATAGGAACGTGTGTTCTAGGTCCTAGAACAGTGTTACCCTGTCTCTTTGCAGAAACCAAAGCCTCCTTTAGCCTCTGCTGAGGGCCCAGCGGTACCGTCGCCATCTCCACAGAGAGAGAAGCTGGAACGATTCAAGCGGATGTGCCAGCTGCTGGAGCGGGTGCCTGACACCTCCTCTTCTTCTTCAGACTCAGACTCAGACTCCGATTCATCAGGCACATCGCTGAGTGAGGATGAGGCCCCTGGCGAGGCCCGGAATGGGCGACGGCCAGCCCGGGGCAGCTCTGGCGAAAAGGAGAACCGTGGGGGGCGGCGGGCTGTACGCCCTGGCAGTGGGGGACCCCTGCTCAGCTGGCCCCTGGGCCCGGCTCCACCACCCCGGCCTCCACAGCTGGAGCGGCATGTGGTACGGCCCCCACCTCGAAGCCCTGAGCCTGACACGTTGCCTTTGGCTGCTGGATCCGACCACCCTCTTCCCCGGGCTGCCTGGCTTCGTGTCTTCCAGCACCTCGGGCCCCGAGAGCTGTGTGTCTGCATGCGAGTTTGCCGGACTTGGAGCCGCTGGTAAGTGACTGGACAGGCTGAGTTTTGTTGCTGACACACTTCTCTCTTGCTGTATAACCTGCAAAAGGTTATGTAGTCCTCTCTGGGCCTTGTACGTCTGCAGTATGTGTCATAGTGTATACTTTCTTATTTACTGTGCATAGGCTGCTTTCCACTTATGAACTCACTCAGTCCTCATAGCAGCTTTGTGAGGAGGATATTAGTCCCCCATTTCAGATGAAACTATGGCCCAAAATCATGTGGAAAGGAAAGTGGCCAAACCAGGAATTTGTTGTTTTGTTTTGGGTACCAGGTATCGAACTCAAGACCTCATACTTGTCAGGCAGGTGCTGCACCACTGAGCTAAAACCTCAGCCAGGAACCAAGAATTTGAACCTAAGCTCTCTGGCTCCATTATTTTTCCCCTTGACAATAGTTGTTGCTATTGAGTGGGTAGTATATGCTAAGCACACTGTTAAATGTTGTAATGGGTGCTGTCATATGTTATCTCACTTCTGAAGACAATCTATTGATCCCCTTTACATATCAGAAAGTCCTGCACTGGGGTAGCCTCTGCCCTAAGGTAACTATACTTGGACTTTCCAGTGCGGTTCTCCCTCACCCCCCACTGCCTCCTGGACCTTGGTCAGAAATTTCTGTGATCCTCCCAAGCCTCTTGTTTTTTTCCCTGATCCTGCCCCCAGTAGGATTCCTCCTCCTCTCCATCATACTCTCCTAGCACTCTGTTCCTCTACTTGAGCGCCCAGAGGTCATCTGTTGACAAGCCTTTGTTCATTTACTTATTTTTATGTCTATCAGTTGCTGGAACATGGGGATGGATACTTTGTCTATTTTTTTATCTTCATGTACCCAGCATAGATGAGACAAAGGGCAGTGTAGATTTTTTTGAAAAGATTCTTTCAAGAAATGTTTAATGCAAAAATTCAAGCTTTTTCCCATTGCTCACTGTGGATTAAGCTTCCTGTTGGACACTTCATAGCTGTTTGCTGATTTAATTTGTTCCTCATAATAGCAGCTCTTTGAGGGAACAAGGGAATCTGAAGTAACAGTACAATTTAGTAGCTGAACCCTAACTCCAGTCCTCTTTTTGAGGACTGGCTCTAGAAGGCTAGAGCCCAGGGGATTAGAGTGCAAGCTCTGGAGGCAAATTACCTGTGAAAGCTTATTGTTCTTTCTCTGAGGATCTGTATACCTTTGGGTCAGTTTCTTAACTTCCCTGTGCCTCAGTTTCATTTTGTGTATACCGAGGATAATTAAAGCTGTCAATCAGTGGTTTTGTGTGTTGAGGCACATAAAGAACTGGTAAGAGTACCTGAAAATTAAAAAAATAGTTAGGGCCTTAACTGATCATTGTTACAAATGAGTTGCAAGTACTTATTGAAAGTCAGACTTTCTGTCCTCAACATAGATCTGTGCCCTTGAATTTCCAGTCAGTCTGTAACATAGAAGAAGATAGTTACAGCAGTTGCTGGGAATTACTGCCCTCCTCATGTATTAATTGAGAAAATGTTTGTGAGGCCCCTTCAAGGTCATCTCTGTGCTTGGCATGTGAGACTCAAAATTGAAAAGGAATTGATTCCTGCTTTGAGAGAGACCTGTGAACAAAGCAGGCTGAATTGCACAGGGGTTTCCAGCATGAGCCCTGGAACCTATTGCATACAGTTTTCATCAGTTGTGAACTCTATGGCCAAACCTTAAAAGACTAGTTTCTCATTTGTAGTCTGGGGTCACTTTTAATACAATGGTGCTAAGTGTATGGTGCACACTTATTATCCTAGCACTGGAGAGCCTAAGGCACAAAGGTCACAGCAAGTCCCAGGCCATCTGGAATACATGGTAAGACCCTGTCTCCAAATGTTAATAGTCTTTACCTTAGTAGCCACAGCTGACTCTGAGATACATACACACAGATACCAAAATCTAAAGATGCTCATCTTTTATGTAAATTGGTACCAATATTTGTATTTAATCTATGTACTCTCCCATATACTTTGTTTTGTTTTTTGAGACAGGGTCTCAGAAAATATGTAGTTCAGGCTGGCTTTGGACTTAATATGTAGCCAAGGTTGACTACAAACTTGTAGCATACTGCTTGCCTCAGCCTCCCAAGTACTGGGATTAGAAGCATGTGCCACCATCCCCAGCTCTCCTATATATTTTAAAACATCTGTAGATTACTTATGATACTTATTATAGATGCTATATAAATAGTAAGTACTGCTTAGAGAGTAACAACCAAAAAAGGTGTGTATATGTTCAATATAGATGCAATTGTTTTAGTATATTCTCCTCTCTTTCTTTCTTTTCATTCATTTATTTAAATTTTTTTGGTGTTACTGGAGAAAGAAGCCAAGGCCTCACACATGCTAGGCTAGTGCTGTATCACTATGCCTTCAGGTTTTTTTTATTTTGAAACAGGGGCTCACTAAGTTACTTAGGCTGTAGTTGAACTTGTAATTTTCCTGTCTCAGCCTCCTGTGCAGAAGGTAGTATATTCTGAATATATTTAATCTGCAGATGGTGGCAGATATGGAACCCATGAATCCAGAGGGCCAATTGTATTTATTTAATGCACATTAACTAAGGTAGTTCCCACAAAATCCATAGCACAGTGCCTGAAGGATACTAAACACTTAATAAAATGGTGCTTTTCAGGGCGAAAGATAAATGTGGGGCAGAGCAGGGTCCAATAGGACCATAGTGTGAGACAAATTAGGTTTTATAAGGTTGCACATAGTGGCAGATGTGTGGGGTGGGGCTTGAGTTGAGATGATTTATTGCCTTTTTGAGACAGGGTTTGACTATGCAGTTCAGGCTAGCCTCAAACTCACTGTATAGCTCAGGCTGATATTGAACTCATAGTGATCCTTCTGCCTCAGCTTCCGTAGTGCTGGGATTATAGGCATGTATCACCACACCTGGCTAAGAATTTTTTAAGTATAGGAATGGATTGGATGTTGTGACTCATGAGCTATGAATGTAACAGAGGAAATCTCAACTAAGTTTGTAGCCTAGGACCTGGATGAGAAACTATCCTTCCCCAAACTTGAGGATCAGAGGAATGGGCTCCAAGGGAGAGTGAAGAACTCAGGTTTGACCTGTGAAAGGCAGGTAGGCCAAGAAGATGGAGCAGGAACAGCACCTGGAATTGCTGACTCAATGCTCAAGAGAAAGATACACGTTGGGAGTTTTCATCCTGTAGGTACCAGCTTCAGTGGAGAAAGGGTGTCAGTGTTTGTGGTTAGAGAAAGTAACCCAAGAATTGGAGGAGATCAGGATGGAGATGGGCTTTAAAGAGAAGAGAGAGTGCTTTAAAGAGACGAGAGATTGATCGAGGAAGGGAGGGAAAAGGAAGAAAGGGTGGGTGAATAGGGATAGATAATGGTGAGAGGTCATGGGAGATTAAGGACAAGAAGGTGGCAGTTGAATTTTGCTAGAGAAGGTCTGGGTGTCTTTGTGCTGTGTGGGATTAGATTCAACCAAAGCCAGACTGCATGGAGTTGAGCCTCATCCCTGGCTCTGTTTAGAGTTCCAGCTCTTTGCCCAGACCAGCTACCCTTTAGTAACACGTGCTTGCTGCTTTTTTTTTTTTTTTTTTTTTTAAACAGGGTCTTACTGTGTAGCCCAGGCTGCTTATAAATTCGCATTGACCCACCTGCCTTAGCCTCCCAGGTGCTGGGTTTACAGGAATGTGCCACCTCACCTGGCTGAACAAATTTTGTTTTTTGTCTTTTTGATGCAGGATTTCACCATGCAGTTTAGGCTGGTTTTGAACTCACTTTTTTTTTTTTGTCTTTTTCATTTTTATCGGTACCAGGGATCGAACTCACGACTACCTGCTTGCAAGGCAGGTGCTTATGCTGCTGAGCTAAATTCCCAGCCCATGAACTCACTTTTGTTGCCCAGACTGGCCTGACTGTGGTTCTCCTGCTTCAGCCTCTTGAGTGCTAGGATTACAAATATGTGCTACCACACCTGGCCGAACAAGTTTTTTAACTTCTCTAACTGTAGGAAGGAAGAAGATATGCCAGGCATGGTGGTACATGTCTGTAATCCTAGCACTCTGGAGGCTGAAGCAGGAGGATCTGCAAGTTTGAGGCTAGCCTGGGCTACAAAGTGAGTTGAAGGCTAGCCTGCACTACATAGGAAAACCCTATCTCAAAAAGACACACACACACACACACAAATAAAAATGAACAATAACAACAACAAAATAGGATGGATTGCCCTTGGTTCCTGCTGCCTAAGGTTCCTAGAGGTCTCTGTGTAGATTGTGTCCTGTGCCTAGACACAGGCTCCACACTCCTCCCCTTTCTCTGACATAACACCTGCTCTCCTCACAGTTCAGGCATCATCTTCCAGGATACTTGCCTGTCTTGTCCTTGAGTTGACTTACTGTATCTCTTACTGCCTCAGTAAATTTAAAGTGTTTCTTTCCTACTTGTATAGCAAGAACCCTGCCATCTTTACCTGTTCTCTGCCCAGTCAGTGAAGCTGGATACTTGTTGTCTGTGGACCTTTCAGTGATCACTGGCAGTGACCGTCTAATCCCAGTGTTGTAGGACTAACTGCAGTAGCAGAGACAGGCTTAAGGAGACTTTCTGAGCAAAAATACTGAGCTGAGCCTTGATGCCATTTCCAGTAGAGGCACTGTGTGTGCCAGTTGGCCCCAACAGCATTGCTTGTCTGTAGAGAGGCAAGATGGTTTGGCCTTGCTCTTGTGAAGTATAACACAAAAATACAGTTAGGGACTTGGGAATGTCCTCCAGGAGAGGGTTCTTTTCCAGGTAAAGATGATCTAGTAGCTCCAAGGCAGGAGGATTGCTGTGAGTTGGCCAACATAGGCTGCATTTTGAGCTCAAGGCCAGGCTGAACTACATACATAGTGAAGTCCTGTCTCAAAACCAACCAACCAAACAAAAAGATAACCCAGGGAGGGCTTTGAGGAAGTGGTAGCATTTGAGCCAAGGACTGAGGGCTCAGTCAGAGGGGGCAGAGAGAGGCTTTGCATCCAGCAGTTCACTGAATGGAAAGAAAAGGAAGAGAGGTTGGCTTGTGTTTTCCTCTACCACCACCCCCTTTTTTTTTTCCTTTGAGCCAGAGTCTGTGTAGTGCAGGTTGGCCTTAAACTCACTATGTATCGTAGGCTGGCTTCCAACTTTGAGTAGTCCTGCTTCAACCTCTAGAGTACTGAGATAACAGACATGCACCAACATGCCCAGCTGCTTTACTGTTCATTCTTTTTTTTGTTTTTGAGATAGGGTCTCACTGTGTAGTTTAGACTAGCCTAATTTTTTGTTTTTGTTTTGTGTTTTTTTTGTTTTGTCTCTGTGAGACAGGGTCTCACTGTATTTTAGACCTTCCTTGAGCTCACTTTGTAGCCTAGGCTGGCCTTAAATTCATAGCAATCCTTTTGCCTCAGCCTCATGAGTGCTGGGATTACAAGCATGTGCCACCTCTCCTGATTTTTTTTTTTTTTTTCTTTTGAAGCAGGTTCTGGCTTTGTAGAGCAGGCTGACCTTGAACTCTTAAGTAGCCTAGGCTGGCCTCAAATCACAGGGATCTTCCTGCCTCAGCCTTCTGAGTGCTAGGCTTACAGGTGTCCACCACCACACCCAGCTTTCACTTTTCATTCTTAAAATTATAAAGATTTGCAAATGTTGACTGAGTGGAGGAAATCAGGAGAGATGCAAGTGGTGGGGGTGGAGTGGGGAATGGTTGGAAGGGACAGGTGGGGGGGTAGCAGAGGGATTTTGTTCTCACTAAAGCCTAGGTGAATACTTCCAGTATTCACTAAAATGTCACGTAAGGATTCTGAAGTGTACTTGGCAGTCTTTGTTCATTTTTGAGTCAGAGTCTAGCTAAGTGCTCAGTCTGACCCAAATCATGGGCTCTAGCAATCTTCCTGCCTCTGGTTCCTAAATAGCTGGGACTACGACTGTCTGCTACTTTACTTGGCTATATGGCAATTTTTGATTGGAGGGTGGTGGTGTTTTGTTTGTTTGTTTGGTTTTCTTAGCCAGGGTCTCAACTGTGTACATAGTTGAGGCTGGCCTAGAACTTGTGGCAATTCTCCTGTATCAGCTTCTCAAGCACTGGGATCACAGGTGGCACCACCATGTCTGGCTGCCTGGCAATTTTATGTTGTTGTTGTTGTTGTTTTTGGTACCAGGGAATCAAACTTACGACTGTGTGCATGCAAGGCAGGCGCTTATGCCATTGAGCTAAATCCCCACCCCTGTTGTTTGTTTGTTGGTCTTGCCAAGTAGCCCAGGCTGGCCTCAAACTCATGGCAGTCCTCCTGCTTCACCTCCCGAGTACTGAGAGTACAGGTGTGTGCCACCATTTGTGGCCTGCCTGGCAATTTTTATTTTATTTTATTAATTTTTGGTACCAGGGATCAAACTCATGACCTTGTACTTGCCAGGCAAATGCTATAGCACTGAGCTGTATCCCTGGCCCATGCCTGGCAGTTTTAAGTAAAGAGTGGATAATTTGAAGGTAAATTTCGTGTTCTGTATGTAAGAGGAGACCAAATGAGGGGAGTTGGGATATCTGTGCTTCAGCCCAAGGCTGGAAGGGAAAGCTTTTTAGACTATTGAGGAATGAGGAAGGGCATAGAGTTCTTCCCAGGCCCTACCTGTTGGTTCTGACAGCCCATTCAGTTCAGTAGGTATCTTCTGACATTTCCTTCAAGAACTACTGAACTAGAAGACAGTTCTCAAACTGAATCCAAGGCACTTTAGCGTACTATAGGTTGTTAATACTAACACCAATCACTTTAGGAGAGGTGGGAAATGGTTCTGTGATGAAATAAGTTTGGCAAGTCCTTCTCTCATTCATAAGATGCAGACTACTTGAGGCTCTTGAATGCTGGTGTTAGAAAACCTGTTTTAACTCAGACCGAATTTCTGTTTTTTTTTTTAATTTTAAAAATTTTGTTTATTGAGGGCTGGGGATTTAGCTCAGCGGCATAAGCACCTGCCTTGCAAGCAGGCAATCATGAGTTCAATCCCCAGTACCAGAAAAAAGAAAGAAAAAAAAATTTTGTTTATTTAACTTTTTGTTTCACACCTCATTTCTCTTTGAAGCTTCAGTACCTGGGACCTACTATACCCTCCATAAACACTGAGTGAATAAATGCAAAGCTGCAAAGGAGGTGTCAAGGGGAGTGCTTGGTGGAAGCATTAAGTTCATTGTTTTTACAGATGTGCTACTAACAAAACTATATTTTATACCTGAAAAAAGCTGAATCTACCTTTGTGGAGTTTACATTCTGATTAGAGGAACACAGTAATCAGAGAGAGAACATATTGGGGCTGTAAGTCCAGCATTAACAGTCATGATGGCAGAGATGAGTAGAGGAGATGAGATGTCCATAAGTCACCATAAGTTGTGACAGGGAAATTAAGAAGCCCAAAGACAGGGAGCTGGGGGCTGGTCACAGATCCCTTTGGCATTACATCAAATAGTGTTGCTGGTGTTCGTATAGTTATTTGGCAAAACTCTGTAAGTTGTAGGGCCTGCAGTATGTAATTACCTCATTTGATCTTGTAGCACCCCTGTGGGGCAGTCTGGGTTATTATCTTCATTTTATAAAGGAGACCTCTGAGGCTCAAGGAAAGGAATAGACTTGCCCAGGGCATTGCCATCTATTCAGTAATGAAGTTGGGTCCCAAACCCAGTGCTCTTGGCCCCAAGCCTGGAGCTTCTCAGTGCCAGAAAAGAACTACAGTGAACTGTTGCGAGTACGGGAATTGTGATTTCCCCAAGAGCTGAGGCTGTCTCTGTCTCCTCCATGTGGCTGGCAGGTGCTATGACAAGCGTCTGTGGCCGCGAATGGACCTAAGCCGACGGAAGTCACTGACACCACCCATGCTTAGTGGGGTGGTTCGCCGTCAGCCCCGTGCCCTGGACCTCAGCTGGACAGGTGTCTCCAAGAAGCAGCTCATGTGGCTTCTGAACCGTCTACAAGGTAGGGTAGGGTAGTGGGTCAGGATAGGGTAGGGACAGGGACAGGCCAGGGGTGGAGTCCCTAATGTACAAATGAACTCTGTTCTGGGAAAATGTTCCTAAGTTGGATTCGTTTGTAAGTCTGACAATAGTGGGTCCTGTGCACCTTTGACATAGATACACAATGTAAAGCATAAAAACCAAATATGATATCCATTTATACCTGTAAAATTTTATAGCTCGAATGTTTTGTAAGTAGGGGACTTACTGTATTGCTTTCTGACACCCCCCACAACACACACACCAGGCCTGCAGGAGTTGGTGCTCTCCGGCTGCTCCTGGCTGTCTGTCTCTGCCCTGGGCTCAGCCCCACTGCCAGCCCTTCGGCTCCTGGACCTCCGCTGGATTGAGGATGTCAAGGACTCCCAGCTCCGAGAGCTGCTGTTACCTCCACCAGACACCAAACCAGGTGTGGTGTCTGTGTGCTCATCTGTGAAATGGGTCGGCAAGATGGGCGTGTAGTCCTTCGAAACCTCTCATGACTTAAGTTGGGTATTGAAGGATGAAAGGGATGAGCACGTGAGTTGAGTAGGGAGGCCCTTTCTGCTACTATTTGTTCATTCATGTGCTATGTGCTTTGAACTGAATCTTGAAAGGACAGTGTTTTTCCAGGGAGTATGAGGCACAGGCACGATATGAACAGATGGGTGGGACAGGAGGCCCATGCTGGCAGAAGCGGGTGCTAGGAGCAGAGGCCTGATCACCTTAGGGGTCATAAGAAGGAGGTAGAGGGACAGGGGCCCTGAGATCTCAGGGCTCATTGTAAAGGCAGGAGATGGGATACTAGCTACATCCTTTCTGGCTCTTGTTAGTCTTTTCTCTGCCCTGGAACCAGGGGAACCACCTAGAAAGGGGCATATCTGCCCACGTCCACCTTGTGCTCTGAACTGCCATTATTCCCAGTACTTCTTGGATAAGGGCCAGTATTTTACCTCAGTTGCTGAGACCTAGTATGAACTGGCTCCCACTATTACTGTCTCTGTAATGTAGCCTAGGTCCCTTCCGCTTTCTTCTTTTTGTCTCTTATTCTCTGTTCTCTATCTAATTGACATCTAAACTTCTGTCAGGCCTCAGCATAAATGTCTCTTCCATGAAGTTTCCCTGACTACTCCTCACCCTCCCTCCAAGTATATTACCGGGCAAGTGAGAAGTGATCTGATGCTTACATTAGGCTCTTACAGGCAGTCCCTTATAGGCAGGGACTGTCTGCTCACCTAATAACTTAGCAATGTATTCAATAAGTATCTGTTGAAAGAAGGAATTGAATGAACAAATAGGATGTGAGAGATCCACTTTGAGGGGAGCGTTCCCAAAGGGGATTTACTGGACCCCGAAATAAGAGAATAAAAGAATCTTCCTTCTCAGAGCTCCTTTATGGCTCTTTGTGGCTCTCTTTCAGCAGTCCTTGAAGAGTAGGGATCTAGGTTCTTCCCATTTTCTAGATACAGTACTGTAGACCCAGTTCAATGAGCAAGGGGTTGAGTGGTTATTGCCAGTTAACCACTTTCACTAGAATTGGTGAAAGACAAGAGGATGAGGTAGGGATTGGGACCATATGTCTCAGGTGGTGAGAATATGCACCAGCTGGCTAATAGACCAACATCTCTTACGCTGTGCACAGTTCAGTTCAAGCCCTTTGTCTGGAGCTTGCAAAGAAGAGCTTTCCTGGCCCTCAGGCCTGTTGTGCAAATTAGGGTTTCACACTCACCTCTCCTCTCCTGGTTCCCTGGCTCCAGTAGGATTACCCTAGCAAAACAAAAAATTCTGCTTCCTGGCTTTTGCCCTCTGCCTAGTGTATTCCTCTCCCACACTGGTATACTTTAAACCTTGAAGGCCCAGCTTAAGTGCCACCACTTCCTTACTGATGCCACTCTACATTGTCAAGCCACAAGTGATCTCTTTTGCTCTACTGACCATTAGCTGTGGTCAAGGTTGAGGGCATCTGCACGTTCCCCCTCTAGGCTCTCAGCTCCTAGAACCAGGAAGAGAGAGTAGAACCTAGGCAGACCTTTTAGAGCCTTCAATAATAAACAGCTGATTCCAGTTACATGTGCCATAGGTTTGCCACCACTGAAATAGGGTGTGCCAAGCTGAGCATACACAGAGGTAGCTTGGCACTTAAAACAAGTAATGTGTTGGTGCAGGAGATCAGAGAGTGGCACTGTCAGGTCTGCTATAGCCAGTTGTCACCAGGTGGGCTGGGAGCCCAGTGATACCATATTGATAGTCACTTAAGAAAAATTTTAGCACTATGCAGATTCCATAAATTGCTTAGAGGCAGGTTTTATGAATCTGACATCTGATGGAGTTTCTGTCAGGGTGGGGATACTGTCTGACAGTCAGGTAGCCTTGTGTTAAGAGCTTGGTTGCAGTCACCAGGCCTGGGTCCCCTGGCTCTGTTATTTCCTAATTGTATGATCTTGGACAGAAGGCTTTATGGTACGAGCCTCAACTCTCTCTCTCTCTTTTTTTTTTTTTTTTGTCTTTTTGCTTTTTATCGGTACCAGGGATCGAACTCACGGCTGCCTGCTTGCAAGGCAGGCGCTTATGCCGCTGAGCTAAATCCCCAGCCCCAACTCTCTCATTTTTTAACAGTGTTGATAATCAGATAACTTGTCTTCCAAGGCTGGAGTTTTTTTTTTTTTTTTTGGTCTTTTTCGTTTTTATCAGTACCAGGGATCGAACTCAGGACTGCCTGCTTGTAAGGCAGGCGCTTATGCCGCTGAGCTAAATCCCTAGCCCCCAAGGCTGGAGTTCTTACAGTTTGATTTTTGGCCCTGTGGCATCAAGGAGGATTGGTCAGAAAAGTAAACCCTGCTGGTATGGTGGTGCACATCTGTAATCCCAGCACTTGAGAGGGTGAGGAAGAGGATCCTCAAAGCAAGACCCTGTCTCCAAAAACTTTTAAAAAGAAAAGCCAACTCTAAAGGTTCACACTAGACACTGTTACAACTCTAGGGTAGGACCAGCAGCTCAGCCTCCCAGGGCAGAGGAGCAAGGTGCTATGCTTTGGGTTCAGGGAGGGGAGGCAGTGAGCGCTTCACCCTGGAGTGGAGAAAAGGAAGCCTCTGAGCTCAGACCTGAAAGCTGGGCTTGGGGACAGTCTCTTATGCCGAGCCTCTGTGGAGTGTAGCCCAGTGGTTGTGGTGATGGAGAGGAGTTAGAAGCTGAGCTGGGGATGAGACCTAATAGGAAATGGAATGTCCTACAAAGGAGACTGGATTTCTTTGAGTTGTTCTCAGTTACTTTCTAGTGGAGGAGACATTGCCCCATTGGTATTTGAAACAAGCTCTCTGAGTGTCAGGAGAGATTGGAAAGAGTAAACAGGACAGGAGCAATTCAGAAAAGTGTGGACCTAGTGATGACCAAAGGGGCTAGAGAGCTCCAGATGGTGACTTTAGTGATCATAGGAAGGAGGAAGGAGGGGAGTGTGGGATGGGAGTCCTTTTAAGGATTCTTATGTTGGGTAAGTGGATGAAAATACGTTGAGCACTCTGCTTTGTCTCAGTTGCTCGGGCTGCAGCAGTGAAGAAAAAGTCTTGCCTTCACAGACCTCACATTCTCATGGGGGAGAAAGAAAGGTTAAATATGAAAAAATGCATATAATGTGTCAGGTTATATTTTATAATATTTATACATATTACAAAAATTATATGCCAGATAAAGGGGGTACAGGGAAGGGCTAGGAATGAGAGGAATATTTCAAATGTCCCCTGAGGTGGTAATGTGAGCCGTGGAGAGAGGCAGTGTGGATAATGGGGAGAAGAGTAAATCATTCAGAGTACAGAGCCACTTGTGGCTCCTGTATGGCAGGAGCAGGTTTAGAGGAGTGTTAAGGAACGTGAGTAGGGAGACACTGGTTTGGATGTAGAATTGGGAGTGGCCAGGAGTGCTGATCTCTCTTCTCTGTCCAGGGCAAACAGAGAGCCGTGGGCGGCTGCAGGGGGTGGCAGAACTGCGCCTGGCAGGCCTGGAGCTGACAGATGCTTCCCTGAGGCTCCTGCTGCGCCATGCACCCCAGCTGAGCGCCCTGGATCTGAGCCACTGTGCCCATGTTGGAGACCCCAGTGTCCACCTCCTCACAGCTCCTACTTCTCCACTCCGAGAGACCCTGGTACACCTCAATCTTGCTGGTAAGCATGGCCCCCTGTCTCTCTTGAGTCTTTTGGTCTCTGTGATTAGCGTCTCCTGCCTACTTACTACCAGCATCTCAGCTGCCACTACCCCTTTTCCAGGTTGCCACCGCCTCACGGACCACTGCCTCCCGCTCTTCCGACGCTGCCCACGTCTCCGCCGCCTGGACCTGCGCTCCTGCCGCCAGCTCTCACCTGAAGCGTGTGCCCGGCTGGCAGCTGCTGGGCCCCCTGGTCCCTTCCGCTGCCCTGAGGAGAAGCTGCTTCTCAAGGACAGCTAGTTGGGTGCCCCCCACCTTCCCCCAGGACTCATCAGGAGCCTGGACCTCAGGCCTTCATTTCACCCCCTGCTGAGAGGCCAGGTTACCCACCTCATGACTTGGGGTTCCTCCCCAGGGACTGGAGCCAGCCTCCTCTGTCCTCCCCCTGCACTGATATCTCTGGGGGTCTCCTTCCCATCTCTTCCCTCTTCCACCTGCTTCATTGTCCATCCCCTGGGGAAGTGGGTCAGAGGTCCTGGGGGTGCTGAGCCAAAGGGATGGTGGGAGGGGGGTTAAAAGTGCAAGTTGGAGGGAGGGAGAATGGGAAGAGGGTGTCTGCACACAGTATACTAGGAGCCAGGGGCCTGGGGGAGGTGGAAGATGGGTGGGGGAGGGGCAAAAAGCAGAACCACCAAGGGTTCAGGGAACAAAGACCAGAAACTTGGGGGGGGGGATCAGAGGAGCAGTTGGCAATCCAGGCATCAGTGGTACAGGGACCTGGAGAGCCAGCCTGAGGGACAAGAGTGGTTGTGGGGGCAGTAGCAGTCCACTGTGGGGGTCACCTCTTCATCCCTCTGCCCAGATTTCAGTTCCTCCCCTCACCCCCACCCCTGACTCCTTGAACGTCACTGAAAATGGCAGCTATTGCGAGGAGTGGGGCTGTGGGCCTACCTGCGTTCAGCTCTTGGCCCAGGGGAGTGGTGAGGGATACCCCAGCCCCTGCTGCCTCTCCGCACAATACTTGAACATTCATCTGTACTGAAGTGTTACTTGAACCGGGGGAACCTTGGACCTGGGGGAGCCGGAGTGGGAGGAGACAAGACCTGCTCGGACTGAGACTGAACCAGTGGTGGCACCCAGTTTGGATTGTGCCACCCCAGCGCTCTAGCAGTTCCACCTCACCAGACCTGAGTTGGGGGTGGGATGTGTCAGCCCAAGGATGGGGAAGATGGGACTCCTCCAGTTTGGCTCTTCCCACTGTTTCATCGTCATGGAAACATGTAACCCATTTGCCCAGGGAACTGCCACTCCTGGTTGCCATGGAAACCGCAGCCAACGGACACCTCCCTATGCCAGTGCTATGGCTGGAAATGGCCCCCTCAGTTGCCATGGGAACTTAGTCACAGATTCTCAGCCTTTCTCTTACCCACCCCTTACTCTGTTGTAGAGGTGGGGTTTCTGGGGGGGCCAAGGGGGAGTTGGGGCCAGGTCCCGCCCCCTTGCTCGGGTTTGGAGAAACCCGGGTTGTACCGTGGGGGGAATCTATCCACATACCTCAGGTAACGGGGAGGCAAGAGGGTGGGGGGAGGGACTGGGCGGACCAAAGGCCGGAGGGGAGGGGGCCCTGGGGACGGCAAAATGCTTGAAGAGGCCACTTGTGGGAGGGGGACAAGGCAACCCGGCACAAGGGCAAGTAGGGGACCCAGCCGGGTTGGGCCCCTGGGTCCCGGGTCTGTACAATGTGGTTTACTATAAAACTCAAACTTCCAGCCGGGACCGCTGAGTTTGCCTGTGTATGGGGGGGGGGTGCTTAATGTATGAGGTTCCTACAAAAGATATGGGCTCACTTTGAGAGTTGTGTACTTGAGGGGCTTGAGGTTCTGGGTACTTGGTGATCTGCACATGTCACTTGCTCTGGGGATGTTGGGACTGGGTGTTATCCTCGGTGGAGCATAGGCCTCTACATATATTGGGCAGAAGGCGGGGGGGGGGGGGGGATGCGGGGGTCCCCTTGGGACTTAGACGCCTCTGGCCTGGGACCACGGGACTCCCTACCAGCTCCACCCAGTCATGTGGTCGCCCAGCTCCGCCTCTGCCCCAGTTCCTGTTTCGAACGCGGCCGTCTTGCTCCGGCCATCGAAGCAGCCGATAGAGGCCAGCTTGGTTTGGCGGGGCTGTGTCTACGCGGGCGCGTGCCACTGCACTCTCGCCTGCCCGTCCCGTCGGGGAATGGGGCCTACCCCCGGCTTGGGCCGAATTTCTGGGGGTCCCTGAGGTGTCTTGACGTCATCGTGACTATCCCCAGAATGAGGGGCGGCGAGGGGGATGCGGCCGAGCAGGCCCCGCTGAACCCTGAGGTCGAGTGCCCCGCGGGTTCAGCCACGTACCGGGAGTTCGTGCACCGCGGCTACCTGGACCTCATGGGGGCCAGTCAGCACTCACTGCGGGCACTCAGCTGGCGCCGCCTCTACCTCAGCCGGGCCAAACTCAAAGCCTCCAGCCGCACATCCGCTCTGCTGTCGGGCTTCGCCATGGTGAGGGGCCACATTGTTTGGGGCACGGGGTTCGGGCGAATTGAACGGGGCTCTAAGAGAAAGTAGAGGAAAAGTGGGTTCTCTAAAGGGAAAATAGAGCCAACACGCCCAAAGGACTTTTCTATTGGAAGAGAAGTGTAAGCAGGACCCCGGAAATATGAACTGGATTGTAGGAAGATTAATCCCAAAGATGTGGGGGAAGGTGGTAAATCCTGGCAGAAGTGGTTACAGCGTCATGAGAATTTCAAAGGGAGATCAGTTGGGTGAGGGCTGTATCAAGGAGTCAGGGGGTTAGGGAGAAGACACTGCAGGGAAGGGTCACAACTGAAGAACTCATCCGAGGCACTACTGCCTAGCAGCTTCGAGGGGTGCTAAAGTCTCAGGAACACTCTGAGAAGAGCTGAATGTGGGAAAGCTGCTGGGGAAGGAAGCTGATGACTGATACTCAAACTGATAAATTGAAGGTGTGGGAGGAGAGCAGCTAACGGTCCCAGCAGTGGCCTCAGAAAGTGGGACTAAGGAAGGTTCCAGGGCACAGAGTTAACAGATGTTAAGTCCTAGTTTCTCCCTGCAAGTGGCCAGCAGTGTGATCTGGGATAGGCCTCTACTCCCTCACTGGCCGTTTTGAGATCATGTAGATCAGATGCATCTTCGGTAGCCTGGGAATCACCCACCCAGCATGAGCTGTGACTGTGTTGTCAGCAGAAACCCTAGATCCAGGGGTGGCAGAGCATGACCTACATACCAGGTGTGGCTCAGACCACCATGCCAATTGGACAGGTGTGGAAACAGGCTCTGCCAAGGATTCTTAGCAGAGCTTTCAATGACACAAACAGGTTGTGCCACAAATGCCTTGGTTTGCCACCACTGTCTGGGGTTTCCTCACTCTTATCACAGGGAGGACGGGCTCCTTTAGGAATGTGCTCCTGTGTGGGGGAGTATTAGAAGCAGCTGAGGTGGGGGTCAAGCATTAGGTGATTTGGCTTAGTCTCTGCTCCTCTGTGCCACAGCCTCTGTATCTGATAGGGATGACGGGAACTTGAGGGTCATACTAGATCAGTGGTGGCAAACATATAGTACATGTGCTGCAGCTGGAATTGAAAGCTCTAGAAGGTAGGGCTGGGAATTTAGCTCAGCGGCATAAGCGCCTGCCTTGCAAGCAGGCAGTCCTGAGTTCGATCTCTGGTACCGATAAAAACGAAAAAAAAGACCAAAAAATAAATAAATAAAAATAAAAAAAAGAAAGCTCTAGAAGGTTTTCCATCACTGTCCTAGACCTAAGTGTTCTGTGGGGCTTCCCAGAATTCATAGATCAGCCCACTCCATATTATGAGGATGATATCTTGGGACTGGGAGTTAGTTCTCCATCTGTACAGCCTACACAGGAAAGGGAATTGTCACACAGGGACCTAAGTGAAAAGGGTCAGCCTCATGGTCCAATGTACAACCTAGAACACAATCTGGCCTACTATAGAATTGGCAGGTTGCTGGGGGACAGCTTAGGGCCCAAAGCCTTTTATCTGCAGGATCAAGAGGCTGGATATATAGCTTCTGGAGGCATGACTGACCCCAGTTGGTAGGGAATAACAAGGTTGGGCCACGCCCTGGGAGAAATCAGGACTAACAAGTTTGGCCCAGATCCTTTTTTCTGGAAAACACCTACTGACATCCACCATGGCCCAATTTCCCAAAATATTCAGCCTTGTCTTCCTTCTATCCTCTGCCAACCTCTACATCTCCTTCCTCCTCCCAGCCTAAGCCCCAGAGCAATCTAATGGATTCTGCAAGACCCAGGGAAGGGGAAGGATCCAGATTCAGAAACTCAAGTGGCCTGACTTAGAATAACATCACACAAACTATTCAACTGTCAGTAACAGAAGTTGAGATTATGTGCATCACCTTTCTGTTTTCCTATGAAATAAATACCACTATAGTGGCCATTTTTGAGTCAGAGATGTTAAGATACCTGCCCAAGTTCCCATAGTAAATAAGTGGCAGGAATTGTATTTAAGCAGTCTGGCTCTAGAGTTCAAATTTATACATTCCTAGAACAAAGTCATCAATTCAAATGTTTGAAAAGGCCAGGCAGGGAATATGAATGCCAATTTGGCTAATGGGGACTCAATCAAAAGACCTCATAAACTACCCAAACCCAGAAATTCGATCATGATTCAACTCTAAGTAACAGTTATCACATAAGAATGTGGGCCTGATGTAACCAGGTCTCCCAAGTTTTCAGGAGACTCTTGTAATAGGGATATTTATGTGAAATTCCTTGAGGTGTGTGTGTGTGTGTGCACGTGTGTGTTTTGTCTTTTTGAGAAAGGGTTTTGCTTTGCATTCAGACTGGCCTTGAACTTAATTTGTAGCCCAGGCTGGCCTTGAACTTTCCATGTTCTGCTTCAGCTTCCCCGAGTGCTGGGGTTACAGGTGTGTGCACTACACCCAGAAAAAATAAAGCATACTTTTTTTTGAAATAGGATCTCACTGGGTATCCCAGGCTGGCCTTGAACTCAGTATGTAGTCTAGGGTACCCTAAAATGGCAATCCTCCTGCCCCAGCCTCCTGATTGCTGAGATTACCGGCATGTGTGACAATGCCCAGCTCTTGAGTTTTAAAAGTTGGCAGTTCATGATCTAAGTGCACTGTGGCTGTTTGGTCAGGACCTTACCTTGTGGCTATTTGGTGTGTACCCTCTGCTGTAGAATCCTTTGCCATTATCCACACACAGGACTTCCTGTTTCATCCTCCAAAAGATGGGCTTCCAAAGCACTGTTGAATACTGAGAATTTTGTTTTTGATGTGAATGTTGAGTGAGTTGAATTGTACTTTTTTTTTTTGTCTGTTTTTGAGACAGGGTCTCATCATGCTGTTCAGGCTGGCCTTGAGCTCACTTTGTAACCCAGGTAGGTCTCAAATGTGCAACAATTTTCTTGCCTCAGCTTCCCAAATACTGGGATTACAGGTGTGCACCACCATGCCTGGCTTTTTTTGATGGGAGAGGACAGTCTTGCCATGTAGTTCAGGCTGGCCCTGAACTCACAGCAATCTTCCTGCCTCAGCCTCCCAAGTGCTGGGATTACAGGCATGCACCATCACACCCAGTTGTGAGTTGTACTATTGTAATCCCAAATACTATGTACAGTCATCCAAGTATTGTAATTTTTAAAATTTTCCTCACAATCCAAAAGGTTATATTTGTAATCTCACTGAGATGTTATTGGAATCCCAGCAAGTTAATTTTAATCTATTGCCACCAATGAAACCCACAGCAAGAGTAAAGACACCAAGACATATTTTAAGTTAAGGGCAGCCAAGGAGTCTTAAGTCTAATCCTTAAGAGGATGTGTGGACAAAGGCCTCTCCCAGAATTTATTATTTTGCGAAGAAGGGGTGGTGGCTCAGGGATAAGTGACAGTGAGGATGGTGGGAATTATGTAACTAGCCAGCTGGGGAGAAAAGCATTTTTATAAATTGTACAGATTAAGATATGTAGAAGGATCAGTTTATATAATCTAATTAAGGTAGCAACTTAATTGTTTTGAGAGGCTGTCACTTTGGTTTTTGATATGTAAATTCTTGTGTCCTGGGGAGTCATAGCCTTTATATCTTGGGGCTCATACCCAGTTGACATTCCCGGAGCTATTTTGGCTATAACATCCCCCTGTGTTCATATCTTTTACACAGAAAACATCTTACGAAAAACAGGACTGTCTGTCAGCTTTAGAGGTTTTATTTACAATACTTAGAGCCAATTAAAGAAAAAAAAATACCATAGCCAGCTCTCTACATATCAATATAGTAAAATAAGTCTCCAAATAATCAAAGTTGCAGTAATTGCTTTGTATTCAAGGGGAGACACTGGAGTTGTCTCCCACATTGTACTTTAAATAACAAAGATTATTAAGTAAAGACAATGTTTGGTTATTTATTTATTTATTTATTTTGGTCTGTTTTTCATTTTTATCGGTACCGGAGATCGAACTCACGACCGCCTGCTTGCAAGGCAGGTGCTTACGCCGCTGAGCTAAATCCCCAGCCCCGTTTGGTTATTTAATAACAAAATACTGGCCATTTTGCCAGAGATAGTAGATGACTGCCCAGCACTCAGGAGGCTGAGGCAGGACTGTCTCAAACTTGAGGCTAGCCTAGGCTACAAAATGAGTTCAAGTCTGGACTACATAGTGAGATGCTATCTCAAAAAACAAACAAAAAAGTTGGCGATTTATTCAGGTTTTTGTTTTTTTTTGCTCTTTTTTTCTATTTTCTTTTATGATACCAGGAATCGAACTGAGGGCCTTGCACTTGCCAGGCAGGCAAGTGCTGCTGAGCTGGCAATTTATTCAGTTTTTAAAAATGCACACTGTGTGGACCAACCAAAACATGTCTGCTAGCTGGCTTTGGTTCATGATGTGCCAATTTGCAAACTCTGGCCTTGAGGGATTTTAGCATCAACTTTAGTAAAAGACAAATACCTAGTGCTTACCATATTCCCAGTACTATCTATACTCGATGGTACTCTCTGTACTCAATGTGTGTTATTTAATTTTGCCAACAACTATATAAAGCAAGTAGGTGCTACTTTTAATTCTCATTTTCCAGATAGGAAATTGAGGCACAAGGAGAACTAAGTTACTCGCTCAAGATTACATAGCCAGGGCTGGGGCTATAACTCAGGGGTAGAATGGTAGATTGTGGTTCAATCTATAGCACCACACACCCACACACACAAAAAAAATTACAGTTTGCTAGATGTGGTATGCACGTCTATAATGACACCTCAAGAGGCTGAGACAAGAAGACTTCACAAGCATCCTGGGCAACATAAGAGCCCAACTCAGGGCTGGGGATTTAGCTTAGTGGCTTAAGTGCCTGCCTGGCAAGCACAAGGTCATGAGTTTGATCCCTGGTACAAAAAAAAAAAAAAAAAGAGCCCATCTCAAAACAAGCAAAAATTCTTGCAGTGTGTAGAGCTGAGAACCTAGGTATCCTAGAGTTTATAGTTTTTCTGTTAATAAAAGGTAGCATAATAAAAAGGTAAAACTGTAGGAAATGCCAGCTACTCTGCGCATGGGCACACACACACACACACACACAAGTGTGTGTGTGTGTGTGTGTGTGTGTGTGTGTGGTGTGTGTGTGGTGTGTGTTGGAGATTGAATTCAAGGCTTTTGCACTAAATTACATACCAGTTTTTTGGGGTTTTTGTTTTTGGTACTAGGAATTGAACTCAGGATCTCCCATTTGCCAGGTAGGCACTGTGCCACTGAGCTGTATCTCAGCCCTTTTTTCCTTTTGAGACAGGGTCTCATTGAGTTGCCTAGACTGGGCTCAAATTTGCCCATCTTCCTGCCTCAACCTTCCACAATGCTAAGGTTAAGAGAGTATGGTACTAGGCCCTGCTTATTGTATATGCATTTGTTTTGACTTTTTTGAGACAGGACCTCACTATATAGTCCAGGCTGGTCTCAAATTTTAGATCCTCCTGCCTTAGCCTCTGAAGGCTGAGATTATAGGTGTGTTCCACCATATCCAGATTTTCATTTAGTCCTCTTGATGACTAGATGGGGAAACCAAGGCCAAGGACAGGACAGAGCCTTTTAAGACCAACTATATTTTCTGTCAGGCACATTGTTCTAGGTCCTAGAGATAAGAATGGTATGTCCAAATTGGCAAAAACAAAACAAACCTTTATTATGGAGGACATGGGATTCAGTCTGTTCCCTTTTATGCCTACAGGTGGCCATGGTGGAGGTACAGCTGGAGAATGACCATGAATATCCACCAGGACTGCTGGTGGCCTTCAGTGCCTGCACCACTGTGCTAGTGGCTGTACACCTTTTTGCACTCATGGTCTCCACGTGTCTACTGCCCCACATTGAAGCTGTGAGCAACATCCACAACCTCAACTCTGTCCACCAGTCGCCACACCAACGACTCCACCATTATGTGGAGCTGGCCTGGGGCTTCTCCACGGCCTTGGGCACATTTCTCTTCCTGGCTGAAGTTGTCCTAGTGGGCTGGGTCAAATTTGTGCCCATTGGGGCCCCCATAGACACACCAGCCCCCATGATACCTCCATCCCAGGTGCCTGGGACTCCATCACCTATGGCTACCTCCCTTGGTCCAGCTTCTAGCCTCCTACCATCATCTGCTTCTGCATCCCCATCACAGGCTAAGCCTTCTGAGGCCTGCCCACCTCAGCAAGCATGTGGTGGTGATGGGACCCATGGGCCAGGCTGGCAAGCAGCAATGGCTTCCACAGCAATCATGGTACCTGTAGGACTTGTCTTTGTGGCCTTCGCCCTGCATTTCTACCGCTCTTTGGTCACCCACAAGACAGACCGCCATAAACAGGAGCTAGAAGAGCTGAGTCGCCTGCAGGGGGAGCTGCAGGCTGTATGACCCTACTGTTTGCTTCTGCTGCCAGCACTGCCTCCCTCAGGGGTCTGTGAAAGGGCCCCACCAGCAAGTGGACCTCATTTCATGTCCCTGGCAAGAGCCACTTCCTGTGGCCACTCTAGGGTAGAGACCAGGTTCCTCTCCATAGGGTTCCACATTCCCAGGGATTGTGCCTGTCAGTCTGTTTTGCAAGCTCAACACCTGGGCTGTGGGACAGTGGAACTTCCTTAGTCCAAAGATGTGGGGTAGATGGAGGGGAGGCAGGGGAGCCCCTGTGGGATCTCTGGTGCTGACCCTCAGCTGCTTGTCTCTCTATAGGATGTGGAAGTCAGATGGTTACATGTCCATACGGTTGCCCACTGAATGCTGTCAACCCTTGTTATAGTTTAATCTATTTCATGGTCTGCATTTTAGGGCAAGTCTTTCCCATTCCCCAAACTTGCTTTGGTTGCTGAGGGAATTTGGATGTTGCTACAGCAGTCACAGGTCCAGCCTTGGCTAGAAGACTTCCTATTTTTGGAGAGTCAAGCCAACTCCCCACCATTGATGAGGCCACATGCTTGCACTAGTGTCATAGGCCTACACTTACACATTTATATCACAGTGGGCCAGGCTGGGAGTTGGAGGGGTAGTCTTTGAAGATTGAGGATCTTATGTGCATGGCCTGACTCCTTAGAAAGGATTTGGGGAGAATGTTTTAAGGGAGAAGGTCCAGTCCCCAGCCCTTGGAATGCAGAGCTCTTCTGACACTGAATTTTTGATGCACCTTGTTTTGTATAATAAATTGTATTTCACAGATATCCCTGTGGCTATGAATGGGGTGGAGGGAAGGCCTTCTGGGTAGTCACTTATTTTCTACAGTTCTGGGGATTAAATTTAGGGCCTTTGCACTGTGCTACATCCCTAGCCCTTTTTAAATTTTTGAGACAGGATATCAGTAAGTACTAAATTGACTGGGTGGAGCTTTAAGTTGAGATCTTCCTAACTTAGCCTGCCAGAGTGTGGTAGGACTGCAGGCTTTAGCACCACACCCAGAAAGTTTACTTATTAAGAGTCAGATGCAAGTGTACTTGGTGGGGAATGGGTTCCAGGTGTGGCTCCATTAGGTGCTGACAAGGGTCAAGAGCTGCCAAATATGGAGACAAGCTATTTTAAGGCTATAGATCTGTGAACTTTCTTGTTTTGAGATAGTGTCTCAATACATTCTGCTGGGATTACAGTGGCAGGGTTACAGTATACATCACTGCACCTTGCTCCAAGTGTTTTTAGTTGTCTTTTTGAAACAGGGTTTCACTATGTAGTTCAGGTTGGTCTTGAACTCACTTTGTAGCCCAGACTGGCCTCAAACTCATTGTAACCCTCCTGCCTCACATTCCCAAGTGCTGAGATTACTGGAATATACCTTGTTTCTGAGCTCAGGGTCTCTGTTTTCTTCCATTAAGGATTTCCTATAAGTTTCTCTCTTGATGACTGTGTCCTAGGGGCTTTTCATAGGTAATCTCATCTAACCCTCACAATCGCCTCAAGAGACAAGTCTTTATCATTTCCATTTGAGTTAAAGAAGCACCAAGAAGGCTGATGAACTTTCCAAAGCTATATAGCTAGTCAGTGAGACTGTACCATCACATGGGAAACTTTCTGATTAAGATAAGGAAATAGTACCTTTCATTTGGGGGAAAAAAGGAAGCTTGCTTTCATCCTAAGCCTGCATGTACATATTTTTTTTTTTTGTCTTTTTGAAACAGTTCAGGTTGGCTCACTTTGTAGCTCAGGCACTGGTCTCAAACTTGCAACGATTCTCCTGTGTCTGCCTCCCAAGTGTTGGATTTACAGTTATGCACCACTATTGACCCGGCTAGTGGATCTGAAACTTAAAAAGGATAGGTAAATGGCTTGCCCAAGATCATATATCCAGGGACAATTGTATGGATGTCAGGATCTCAGGACATCATCACTCAGGCAGAGCGCGCTGGTGAAAATCCAGTTCTCCAGTGGCCAGGGTGCTTGTGATCACACTGCAGGAAGGCAACTTCAGCCCCAGGCGATGAGATCTTGTAAGCACAGGGAGCCCCAGCTGAAGACAGTAAGACTTGTAACCTCGATGAGGGGATTCCTGTAGGATCTTCCTTTTTACAGGACCCACTTAAGGGTCTTTAGGTCCACTTAAACTCATCAGAAAACCCGGCGACGACCTCAGATTGAATCACCAGTGGTAGGCTGAGCATGGTAAAATCTGACACCTTAAGAGGTCTGTCTCATTTGTCAAATGATAGTTTAAAAGGGCCAGACGAAATAACGGGAAATCGCTTCCTACGTTCTTTACGACGCCAAACAACTGCCTGAATCATCGCTACTATATTCGGGGAAGCTTTCTGCCTTGAGAGCGCCAGTCCCAGCCGGCCGGGTTTTGCGGGTCCTACAGGAAGCGCCCCGCGATGCTGAGCTCTGTACACTCTAGCCACACCCCTTTGCGCGCGGCGCCTTGGTCCCGCCTACAGCGGGGTCGGCAGATTCGCTAGGTCGGGTCCCCAAGATTCTTCGAGCACTTCTTGGTTGAAAATTCTCATTAGATTCTACGGGACTTTTGGGCTGTAGTTATTCCTGCTGGATAGGAAGTAGGCTGTCCCTTGAGTTGTCCTAGTAAGGCGACCTGTCCGAGTCTGCCACCTTTGACAAGACTTGGCTGACCCGGAGTTATTTTCTTGATTCCACCAGGGCAGGTGAAGAGAGGAAGCAGTTAAAGCCAGGGACAGTGGCGAACTTGCAGGTTTTCAATCCTTTGGCCGCGTAAGGAAGGAGCAAGAGAGACAGGCAAGGGAGCGTGCATCTTAACTGACTCGCCCCGCCCGCCTGACGAATCTGCGTCTATTCAACGCGCCACTCAAGCCTCCCGAGTTCTGGCTGGCCTCCTCCCCCTCCGCCCCGCCCCCTTCCCCTTAGGGACTAGTCGCAAGTTTCATCGCCGCCGATTCGTCAAGAACTCCAGACGAGAGCAGCTAGATACCAGTGGTGAAGTCTGCCCTCCAGGGAATGCGGCCAATCTCCAGGTCCCCTAGGCTGCAATTTCAGAGCCTCCCAAGGCACCGACCGAGGCAAGGTCGCTGTCCTCGGCTTCGTGGATCTCCCGGCAGCACCCGTGGCGAAAGTGCGAATGCAGACGCTGTGCTCGCTGGACCTCGCGCAGGTGGCGGTGGTGTTTGGTGCGCGCGCCGGGGAGGAGGTGGTGGTGGTGGGGGGGCGCCGCCGCCGCCACCGCTGCGGGGCCGGGTGTCGCGCTGCCGCCGCCGCCTCGCGCCCCTGAGGTGCCGCGCGGGTGGGGGGAGGGGGAGCCGCTCGCCGACAGCGGGTGAGTAGGGCCGCGGCGCGCGTGCGCGGAGACTGGGGGTGCAGAACGCGCCGGGGCGGGAGAGGGTAGCGGCGCGCGTTCCCTCCACCCCCCCCGCCCGAATCCGGGGCTGAAGCCGGGTCTCGGGCTCGGTCTCGCGGTGTTTCCAACGCCCCGAAGAGGTGCCACCTCTTGGCCGAAGGATCGGGGCGCGGGGACGGGAGCGGCGGTGTGGGAGCGGGAGCCGGGCTTGGCCCGGGCGGCTGGCCGGTGAGGAGGCGGGAGGGGGCGGGGCCTGCCAGGGGGCGGGGGAGGGGTCTTGCGCGGAGGCCAAGTGGGGCGCGCGCTGGGAGGACGGGAAGGGAAGCGGGCGCGAGATGGGCCTGGGAGCTGGAGGGTAGAGTTGGGAAGTGGGGAGAGAATGGGGTGTTGTGAAATAGGGTACTTGGGGCAAAATTTGAGGGAGCCCCGGGTCATGGTGAGGTGGGGAAACTGGAGTGATGGGAGAACCTGGAAGCTGTGCTAGCCAATGGAGGGACAGCAAGGGAGTCAAGCTAAGTGCTGGACCCCTCTGCGTATCCCTCTTTTCCTAACAGTGTAAATGAGCAAAGATGGATCAAGAAGGTGGGGGAGATGGGCAAAAAGCCCCAAGCTTCCAGTGGCGGAACTACAAGCTCATCGTGGATCCTGCCTTGGACCCTGCCTTGCGCAGGCCTTCTCAAAAGGTGTACCGTTATGACGGAATCCACTTCAGTGTCAACGTGAGTGCCTCTTGTTTTTTCTAGCCTTCTAGGGAATGCCAGGCCTTCCTTTTCTCTGTTACTCTGTCCAGCACCATACTCATAGCTTGCCTTGTCAAAAATGAGTGAACCCAGCTCTTTTGCATGCAGGATTTCTAAATGGGCTTCTTAGAGCTTAGTAACTTGGTTCCATCCTAAGCAGTCTTTCTGTTCCTGCTTTCTAGGACTCCAAGTACATACCAGTGGAAGACCTCCAAGACCCCCGTTGCCATGTCAGGTCCAAAAACAGAGACTTTTCCCTTCCAGTCCCTAAGTTTAAGGTAGGTGTCTGTTGGTTCCTGGTGTAGTGGCCCTTGAATAGTATGGAGGGTACTGTCATTCTGCTCTTCAGATAGCCCAGTAAAAAGGGTAGTTCACTGAAAGATCTGATGACCTCTGTATCTGTGAGACTGAAATGTTCTGGATAAAAGACACATTTGTATAGTACGGGTGTCCCAATTGTATCACCGGTGGTAAAGGTGTTGATTCTTAAAGAATGAGGTAAGGACAGACAGATTTAGGTGCTATATCTCTCATTGTGTGTTCTTAGATAGTATGTAGCACAATAAGATAGTTTAGTTTCTTAGTAAATAAGGAGAGCAACAACCCCACTGCTTCCCTGGAATCTTCTTTCCTTACCTCTTATTTGGCCATGTGACCCTCCATCTTGGTTCCCAGGAGCATTCCCATATCCCTTTCTAAGCAGGATAGTTACCAGGCCTTGACCTAAACTTAGTGGGTTTTGGATTTCTTGATTCGTTCTTTGTTTTGTATTTTTTTTCCCATTAATTCTTCTTTTAAAATAGTTTTTGGGGTCCCCTCATCCTGTTTTTATTTGGTACATTTTCCGTGCATTCTGTTTCACAGCTATGGTTTTGATTGTTGTCTTGGTGTTGATGACTGTTTTCAGCTATCATTATTCTTAAACTTCAGACTTGTGTGCCTGGCAGAGGAATAATTCCATTTGTATGCTCCATAGACACCTTACACTTTTGAGATTTAAAGTAATTTTTATTCCAACAATCCTGCCATCCCTTTCATTTTCTCTTTATTGATAAATGACAGCACCATCTACTGAGTTACACAGGGTAGGCACCCAGTGTTTTGTTTTTATCTTAATCTTTCTATTTTCACTGCAGTTTCCTTAATGCAGATTTTAATATTAAATTTACTTGATTTCCTTGCTTCCATACTATTTCTTTTTTTTCCTTTTCTTCCTTTTTTCTTTCTTTCTTTTTTTGGTACTGGGAGTTGAACTCACAACCCCACATTTGCCAGGCAGGTGCTTATGTCACTGAGCTAAATTCCCAGCCCTCCATTCTATTTCATACTGACTACTGCTGTTACTTATTTCTTTGACTTTAACTTTTTTTTTTTTAATCAAGTCTGTTTCAGGGTATAAGGTTATTGATCTAAGCTTTAGTCTCTGCCTTGACATTATTCCTGTGTTATATCCACACCATACAATTACACAGTTTTTAAAAATACCATGTTCTATAGTTTTTTTCTTTTTTTTTTTTCTTTTTTGGAGACAGGATCTCGATATATAGTTTAGGCTGTCCTTGAACTCACTGTGTAGCCCACGCTGGCCTCAGACTCACAGTGATCCTCCTGCCTCAGCCTCCCAAATGCTGGGTTTACAGAAGTGAGTCACCTGTTTGGCATGTTTTCTAGTTTCTTGTCCTGAAAGTTGTTGTTATTTTGATGAAATCGCATATAACCAAAAAGCACAGTAAGAATAATGCCATCTTTATTATTCCTTTCCTGATTGTCCACTATACAAAGGTTTCCTTCTCTGTCAGTTCTGCTGACACTCTGGCATATTGATTATCTTTTCTACTTTCCTGGATGAGAATCTCTTTCCAATTTTGTATTTCTAGTCCCTTGCCCATGTTAGTAACTCCTGGAGCCAGTAGATTGTTTCCTTATAACCAGTTCCTTTTATGTTTATTCCTGAGTTGTGCATTTTCTTTCTTGGTTCTTGGCATTCTGTGGTGAGAGGAATTCAGGGAAAGGGGAATCAGGTAAGCCTTTTAGAGAGTCCACCCACTTAAACCCAATTAAACCTGAATGTTAAGGTTTTAGTTTAGAAAAAGACAACACATGCATGCATATTTTTTATTTTAAAAACAAGTAACATGAGTGCCATAGGTTCACTACCACTGACATAGTCTCCAGACCAACTCCTGTCTTGTCCACAGCTGGATGAGTTCTATATTGGGCAGATTCCACTGAAGGAAGTGACTTTTGCACGGCTGAATGACAACGTGCGGGAAACCTTCCTGAAGGATATGTGCCGAAAGTATGGCGAGGTGGAAGAGGTAGAGATCCTTCTTCACCCCCGTACTCGCAAGCACCTGGGCCTGGCCCGTGTGCTCTTCACCAGCACTCGGGGTGCCAAGGAAACAGTCAAAAACCTCCACCTTACCTCCGTCATGGGCAACATCATCCATGCCCAGCTTGACATCAAAGGTGAGGGCTCCCCTGCCTGCTGCTCAAGGTTGGTCTTCAATTGAAAGTGTACTTGTTAATGCCATTGAGATCAGGCAAGTAATCAAAATCGCAATTTTATATCTGAACTTGGGGCTAGATGTGTTTCTGAACTCAGAAGTATTTTGGAGAATTATGGTACATATGTGATATTTTTTGTATCTTTGGGGACATGGTTAGGACTATACCCTGTAATCAAGCCCCCGACTAGATCCACAAGAAATTGTGTGAAGGACAGAGTGAATATAGTTAGTGTTGTAAATCAGGACAGAATTTTTTTTTTTTTTTGGTAGGTACCGGAATGGAACTCAAGACCTCATGCTTGCCAGGCAGTTGTTGTGCTACTAAGCTATATCTCTGGCCCAAGGACAGATTGTAATACCAAATTTTTTAAGATACTGAATTTTCAGGGTTTTTTGGTTTTGAAATTTTACATGTTAATTCTGAAGATTGAGGGTATATAGCTCAGTAGTAGAGCTTTTGCCTAGTTGATGTGAAGCCTTGGCTCAAAAATTAAAATATAGCCAGAGATGGTGGCATATACCTATAGTCCCAGCACTGCTGAGCCAAGGGGATCACAAGTTTGAGTTTAGCCTGGGGAACTTAATGGCTTAGTGAGACATTATCTCAAAAAATAAAGGCTGAGGTTTAGCTCAGTGGAAAGGCTGAGTTCAATTGCTAGTACCACCAAAAATCAGTCAAAAATTAATTAATTGATTTATTTTCTTGGTTTTTTGAGATAGAGTCTCACTGTGTAGTTTAGGCCGGCCTTAAACTTGAGACTATCCTCCTGCCTCAGCCTCCTGAGATTTCAAGAAGGTTTTCAGGTGTGCACCACTAAGCTGGCCTCAAAAATTAAAAAAAAAGAAAATTAAAAGAAAAGGGCCTGGAGATATACCTTAGTGGTAGAGCACATATTTAGTATGTTCAAAGTCTTAGATTCAGTCTCTACAACTAACAAAATAATTCTAAAAGAAAGACCTGGAAAGATAAATGAAACAGTCCAAACTGCTTTGTTAAGGTACTATAGGATAGAGTAGGATCTAGCAAACTTAAGTTACAGTGCTATCTAAAGGAGATACCTATTAGTTGGCATTAGTCAGTTTGCAAAGGAAAAAGGACTGACAATTTCAAATTTGATTTTGCTTTTTTTGAGTGTCTCACTTTGTAGTCCAGGCTGGCCCAGCACTGGGGATAGTCCTGCTGCCCCAGCCTCCTATGTGCTGGGACTGTAGGTGTACATTGCGATACCCAACCCAAATTTGATTTTTAAAAGCCAGAATAGTAGATTTTTATATATAATCTTAAGAATTTTAAGTAGTACATCCCTTCCAGGGTTTTTTTGTTGGCGGCAGGGGGGCGGGCTTGGTCTTTTATTTTTTGAGATGAGCTTCACATAGTCCAGGCTGGCCTCAAACTTAATGATCCTCCTACCTCAGCTTCCCAAGTACTGAAATTATAGCCTTGCATCATACCTGGCTCCTTTCAAGATTTTTTTCTTTGTACTGGGAACTGAACTGCGAGCTTTCACATTGAGATACATCCCAAACCATTTTTAAATTTTTTGTTTTGAGACAAGTTTTATGAGTTGTCCAGGTTGGCCTCAAACTTTCAGTCTTCCTGCCTCAGCCTTTCAGAGTGTGGGATTACAGGCACCAATCACTTTCCATAGGTCCTCCCAAGTCATTATGCAAGGCGAATAAAATTAAATCCTTGATTGGATTTAGTCTTCAGGTTGTCATCTTACAGTCTTTGTAGGATAAAGAGCGTGGAGGTATTTAGCCTCAGACAAGCTGGGTTTGAATTCCAGTTCTTCCACTGACAATTTTGTGACTTTGTGCAGGTAAATTTTCTTTAATTCTTTTAAGGGGACAGTTTCCTGTTTATCATCTGTTGTAGTAGTATGGGTAGATGTATATTTGTAAACTGGGAAATGGTGTAGAATATGTTTACTTGTAGTAGTTAATTGGTAGAGATGAGATAGTCTCAAAGATAGAAATAAGAGAGAATTGAAGTCTCTAAATCCAAGATTCTAAGAAATTGTAGGAAGTGTGAGGCCTAAGACAGAAACAGGCCTGCCAAACTGGAGAAGAGTTTTATTGTTTTGTTTCAATACTGGAGATCAAACTGGAGTATTTTACCCCTAAAATACGTCTCATTTGTAGTTTTATTTTTTATTTGAGGCAGGATTTCACTGAATTGCTTAGGTGGGCCATGACTTTATAATACTCCTTCCTCGGCTTTCTAAGAAGCTGGGATTTCAGCTGGGATGTCCTTGTGCCTGGCCTGGCTAGGCATTGTTTTTTCCTTCTGATTATTTGTTCTAATTTCTCTCCCCACAGGACAGCAGCGAATGAAGTACTATGAATTGATTGTCAATGGTTCCTACACCCCTCAGACTGTGCCCACTGGGGGCAAGGCCCTGAGTGAGAAGTTCCAGGGTTCTGGTGCGGCCACTGAGACGGTGAGAAGCTTGTGGTTGCCACAGCCCTAGCCATGTGGACGCAGTGCCTAATTGCCAGGAGCAGGAGCTGCCTTTGGGAGGATCTAGACTTTACTGTTAAGTATGGGAAGAGCCAAAAAAGATATGTAGAAACTTTCAAAAAACAGGGCTCTAGGATTCTTTTGGAGCAAAGCAAGTTTTTGAATGGTGCCTGATCTTTTTTCTTTTCTCCTTGCCCCACTCTCCCTCTAGACCGAATCCCGCCGCCGCTCATCCTCTGACACGGCTGCCTATCCATCAGGCACTGCTGTGGTGGGCACCCCTGGCAATGGCACCCCCTGCTCCCAGGACACAAGCTTCTCCAGCAGCCGACAAGATACCCCCTCTTCCTTTGGCCAGTTTACCCCTCAGTCTTCCCAAGGAACCCCCTATACATCTCGGGGCAGCACCCCTTACTCTCAGGACTCTGCCTACTCTAGCAGGTACAGGGCACACACCATGTAGATTCTGGGAGCTTCCATCACGAAGAAGTATGAAGTTTCATTGAGAGAGAATTGGCAGTTATCTGATCTACTCTTTGTAGAGTCAGCCAGCAAAATTTTATCTTCAGGGACACTCCATAGAAACCTGACCTACGGTTTTTTGGGGGACAGTATAGAGAGGCTTTGGCTTCGGGAGCTGGGATGGTCAGGTTTGGTCATACAGAGATGAGCCCAGTTAACTCTCACACTTGTTTTCTAGCACCACTTCAACCTCCTTCAAGCCCCGGCGGTCAGAAAATAGCTACCAAGATTCCTTTTCCCGTCGTCATTTCTCAGCATCTTCAGTCCCCACGACTGTCTCTACAGCCATCTCTGCCACCACTGCAGCCACTGCCGCGTCCTCCTCTTCTTCCTCCTCATCCTCATCTTCATCAACGTCCTCTTCTTCCTCATCTTCTCAATTTCGTGGTTCTGACTCAAACTACCCAGCATATTATGAAAGCTGGAATCGCTACCAGCGTCATGCTTCCTACCCACCACGCCGGGCAACTCGTGAGGAGCCCTCTGGTGCCCCTTTTTCTGAAAGTACTGCTGAACGCTTCCCACCCTCCTACACTTCTTACTTGCCCCCTGAGCCCAGCCGGTCCACAGACCAAGACTATCGGCCTCCTGCCTCAGAGGCCCCGCCACCAGAACCTCCAGAACCAGGTGGAGGTGGGGGAGGTGGAGGACCCAGCCCCGAGAGAGAAGAAGCTCGGACCTCCCCCCGCGCAGCCTCCCCTACCCGTTCAGGCTCCCCAGCCCCGGAGACCACCAATGAGAGTGTACCCTTCGCCCAGCACAGCAGCCTGGATTCCCGGATCGAAATGCTGCTGAAGGAGCAGCGCTCCAAGTTTTCTTTTCTGGCCTCTGACACAGAGGAGGAGGAAGAGAACTGCAGCGCTGGCTCTGGGGCAAGAGACACTGGAAGTGAGGTGCCTTCTGGGTCAGGTCATGGGCCTTGCACACCACCTCCGGCCCCAGCTAATTTTGAGGATGTGGCACCTACAGGGAGTGGGGAGCCGGGGGCTACCCGGGAGTCTCCCAAGACCAACGGACAGAACCAGGTGATGTTGGGGTCAGCTGGAAAAGGTACCTGGGATCTGGGAGGCAGGGCTGGACTCCTGGGGAGAGGGAAATAAACTAGAGAAGAAAGTGGGTTTGAGGAAAAGTCCAAGGAATGGGCAACAACTTACTGTGACCCTCCTCTACACCCCCATAGGCTTCTCCATGCTCTTCTGGAGAGGACATGGAGATCTCCGATGATGACAGGGGTGGCTCACCACCTCCAGCCCCGACACCCCCCCAGCAACCACCTCCCCCTCCTCCCCCTCCTCCTCCCCCTCCCCCCTACCTGGCTTCCCTTCCCCTTGGTTATCCTCCTCATCAGCCTGCCTACCTCCTCCCACCCCGACCTGATGGGCCACCACCCCCTGAATACCCCCCACCTCCTCCACCGCCCCCCCACATCTATGACTTTGTGAACTCCTTGGAACTTATGGATCGACTTGGGGCTCAGTGGGGAGGGATGCCTATGTCCTTCCAGATGCAGACCCAGATGTTAACTCGGCTTCACCAGCTGCGGCAGGGCAAGGGATTGACTGCTGCCTCGGCTGGTCCTCCTGGTGGGGCTTTTGGAGAAGCCTTCCTCCCTTTCCCACCTCCACAAGAGGCAGCCTATGGTTTGCCCTATGCTCTGTATACACAAGGGCAAGAAGGCCGGGGGGCATACACTCGAGAGGCCTATCACCTACCTTTGCCCATGGCAGCCGAGCCCCTGCCCTCCTCCTCAGTCTCAGGAGAAGAGGCCCGGCTGCCTCCCAGGGAGGAAGCAGAGCTGGCAGAAGGCAAGGCCCTACCGTCAGCAGGCACTGTGGGCCGTGTGCTGGCTACCCTGGTTCAAGAGATGAAGAGCATCATGCAGCGAGACCTCAACCGCAAGATGGTGGAGAATGTAGCCTTCGGGGCCTTTGATCAGTGGTGGGAAAGCAAGGAAGAGAAGGCTAAGGTGAGAGACAGTGCTTGAGATTAGGGAACTTGGGACTTCTGGACGAGGTAGACCTAGTGCTTCTGCAGCTGAACAGCTCAAAATAGAAGAGAGATAAGATGGCTGGGGACTTAGCTCAGCAGCATAAGTGCTTAAGTGCCTGCCTAGGAAGCAGGAGGTTGTGAGTTTGATTCCAGGTACCAAAAAAAAAAGAAAAGATCAAGACAAGTGGAGTATAAGGCTGTGGGCACTCAACAGGACAAAGCAGTTTTGAAGGAAGTTAGGGGACACAGAGCAGCAGATAAGCATGAGCTTGAGAGTTGGAAGAACTTTATCTATACTCCATTGCTGCCATTTATAAATTGACAAAATAGTTGTTTCATAAGGTTTATAGGCTAAATAAGTAGACTTTGAGAAAATTGCCTGTAAGTGGCTGGCAGATGTTAAGTAAGTGAGCAAGTAAATGCATTTCTGTGGTCCTGGGGCCTGAAAGTGGGTCTCAGACGAGGGAATGCCTGAGATCTCGGTCCCCATGCTGCCTGCAGCCATTCCAGAATGCAGCCAAACAGCAAGCCAAGGAGGAGGATAAAGAGAAGACCAAGCTGAAAGAACCAGGCATGCTGTCCCTCGTAGACTGGGCCAAGAGTGGGGGTACCACAGGCATCGAGGCCTTCACCTTTGGGTCAGGGCTGCGAGGGGCCCTGCGGCTGCCTTCATTTAAGGTATCCAGAACTGTGGTCTTGCTAAGTAGTGTGGGAAAAGTGGGGAGAGGGCCTGTTGTCCTTGGGCTGGAGGTATTTGGGAATTGTGTCTAAGTGGGCCTTATTTCTTACCTAATCCCCAGGTAAAGCGGAAAGAACCATCAGAAATTTCAGAGGCCAGTGAAGAAAAGCGGCCCCGACCCTCGACTCCAGCTGAGGAGGATGAAGACGGTAAGTTGGGGGTTGGAGAGAAGGGTTGGGCATTTTAGATTCTGATAGGAAGATGAGAAGCAGAGACAAAGGGATCGATAAGGGACCTTCCTAAGATCAAGGAGCCAAATAGAGATCTTGGCAGAATGTTGAAAGAGAGTTGCTGGTTCATGCCTGTAATCCCAGCAGTCAGGAGGCTGGGGCAGGGGCTCACTGTGAGTTTGAGGCCAATCTGAACTAGCACTTCTAAGAGGTGTCAGAAGCATCCTCTAGGGTTTTCTCTGGATCATAGTTACTATAGTATGTTAATTTATGTTTTTCTGTGTCTGGGTTTTTTTTTTTTCTTTAAAATAAAAGTAATAATTTCAATATCTGATATCACAGAACTCTGAGGTTAAACAAATTGTCTACCCAAGTCTAGCATCTAATGCATACATTTTACTACAGCTTTCCCTGCAGTCTGTCAAGTCTGATCTATTGGCTAAAATTTGCACATGGCTGGGAAACTTCCTTATCAAGTCACGCATACTTCTCTGGAGTCCTATTGGACTTAGTATTCTTTTCTTGGGGGTAGGCATGACAAGTAGCCTCCTTCTTCCACCTAAGTCAGAAAAGGACAAAAGATAAAATGGGCGGGATGTGTTAAAAACTATAAAATGTTAAGTAACTGTGAAATATTTGTTTCTCTGCTGAGCTTCAGCTTCCTGACTATACACAGGCCTGTCAAAGTCAGCAGTAGTGTAAGGAAAGCTCCTTACAAGTGGTAGGGAAGCAGTAATTTGTTGTCGGTAGGAGTTTTTGTAACCTCTGTACAACTGCTCCAGATCCTGAGCGAGACAAGGAGGTTGGTGAGCCAGGACGGCCAGGGAGCAAGCCTCCAAAGCGAGATGAAGAGCGAGGAAAGACCCAGGGCAAGCACCGAAAGTCCTTTGCTCTGGACAGCGAAGGGGAAGAGGCATCCCAAGAGTCTTCCTCTGACAAGGTTAGGAGCTACGGTGTCCAATCCTGCTAGAAGCCTACTTCCCAAATGCTTATTCCATAGCCATCTTCTCCCTGGCCTGAAACCCAGGCATCTGTGGCTCAGGGAGAACTAGCTGTTGCTTTCCTGTTAATCCTGCTTCATTTCCTGAAGGATGAGGAGGAGGATGAGGAAGATGAGGAAGACGAAGATCGAGAAGAAGCTGTGGACACCACCAAGAAGGAGACAGAGGCATCAGATGGTGAGCGCAGAGTTGAATGGAATTCTCCTCCCACCTGAGGAGAAAGGGATTCAGCCACGTGGCTTGCTCTTTGCTGAGCCCACATGGTTTTGTGCAGGACTTATTCTCCACCTTGGCCTTCCACAGTAGCAACTGTTTAGCTATATCCTTTGAGGCACTAGCCCTCTGGATTAAACCTGGTACTTGAATGTTTTCTCCTTACCTCTTTCTGAGGATACCTTAGCAAAACTTGTTCATTTTCCTAAGTGCTAGAGATAAGGAATCTGTATTCCATGAATGTGGCAAGCTTGCAACTTCCCACCTTTGAATACTGCTCTTCCTTGAAGGCACAGCAACCAACTGTGCCCTGCACTCTACCCTTCCTCACAGCTGCCATAACTGGACATTCTTCTGCATGGTTGAACACTTTTTGGCTCCTTACATTCTGCCAGGTATTGAATACGTGGATTGGTTTCTTTTTCATTTGTTCATTCAGAAATGTTGTACCTTCCCTTTGGTACTTGCAACATTGCAGTGACTGAGACAGGTGTGGTTCCTGCTTTTGAGAGGTTGTTGGAAGGAGGTGCAGAGCTTAACAAGCAAATGAATCCTGTCACTTGAGTTAGAGACTATATTTGAAGAAAATAAAATAATGGAGTAGAGAATGACAGATTGTGGACCTGGGGAAAGATGTACTGTTTTCCATGTGGTGGTTAAAGGGTGCCTCTGAGAAGGGTCACTTTAGCACCTTCTCTTCACCAAGACAGAAGGCTCAGTTTTCTGATGAGAGTAAAGGTACAGAGCCCTCCCCGTTTTGTTGATCAAGTCTTATCAGTTTTACCTTCTGGGTGCTTCTTACATCTGTCATCTCTGCTTCTGTGGTTTCTCACTTAGATTCTTGGAGCAGTCTTGACTATTTTGTTGCTATTTCTATTCTTCTTCCTCCATTGTATTCTGGCTTCCAAACTGCTAATGGAATGATCTTTCCTAAAATAACACTTTCTCTTCATACAGTATCCTCCTGGCTCCCTGCTTTCCTGCAGCCTGACTCTGTAGGCCTTTATAACCTAGCCCCTGCTTATGTGTTCAGCTCCATCTCACCATTCTCCAGCCCCCTCCCTATCTACAACTACCTACTTCATTTTCCCAATTATGTTCCTTAAAGATCATAGAGCTCTTAAGAGTTTTTTTTTTTTTTTTTTTTTTTTATCGGTACCAGGGATCAAACTCACGACTGCCTGCTTGCAAGGCAGGCGCTTATGCCGCTGAGCTAAATCCCCAGCCCCCTCTTAAGAGTTTTTAAGGTCCTTCTCATACATTATTAATCTAAGTGTGTAGAGCATGTTGTTTTTGAAGCTTATTTCATACCAGAATCCTTTCTCACAGACTCTATCATGCAGGCTGCCTTTAAAGTCCTCTTTGGGAAGGTTAGGCGTGGCACATGCCTATAATCCCAGCACTCAGGAAGCTGAGGCAGGAGAATCATAAGAAGTTTGTGGCCAACCCAGACTATATAGTGAGTTTAAGACTGTTCTTCTGAACTACATAATGAGACCCAGTCTCAAAGAACAAAAGTGGTATCCATTTTAAGAAAAGCTTTGGTAGTAAGAGCACACTGCTTGCTGGTCACAGGAATCCCTCTTCTCTTGCCTTCAACATCCCTGCTTGTTCCTTGTTTGGCGTGACATCCCATGTTTACATGGTGAGACAATTCCTTGTTCTTTTGATTTAACATCTCCATTTCAGAGATGTCTTCCTTGACATGCCTATCCAGGCAAAATCCAGGGCTTGCTTCTTCAGGATCTCTAGCCCCTTGTACTCATATTTGTCATTTTATGAACAGATGTTTGCTTGTCCATTTCCTTGACATATCAAACTTGCGTGTACCTGGTATAGAGCCAGATACCCAGAATAATGAGTCAGTGAGTGAACTCCCAGCTTGACCAAGTGAGGGTCTTCTCACCTCACCTGATTGCTCCTTTTGGATTTGCAGGTGAGGATGAGGAAAGCGATGCGTCCTCCAAATGTTCTCTGTATGCTGACTCAGATGGTGAAAATGGCAGCACATCAGACTCTGAGAGTAGTACCTCATCTTCCTCATCTTCCTCATCTTCCTCTTCATCATCCTCTTCATCATCGGAGTCCTCAGAAGAGGAAGAGGAAGAGGAGCAGCCAACAACCATTCCCTCAGCCTCACCGCCCCCCAGGGAAGTTCCAGAGCCCCTCCCGGCACCTGCCAAGGAGCCTGAGCCAGAGACTGCAGTAGGCTCCCCTGTCGTGCCTCTCCCTGAGCAAGAGAAGTCTCCGGCAAGGCCTGCAGGTAGGTGGTCCAAGACTTGTGACTCAATCTTTGTATATGTGTGTCTGTGTCTGAAGAACAATGGAATCAGAATTAATTAATTTGGTACAAATGTGTGTGACTGTATTAGTTTTTTTTTTTTTTTTACATTTTTTTTTTCTTTTTCTCTTTTTATCGGTACCGGGGATCAAACTTACGACCGCCTGCTTGCAAGGCAGGTGCTTATGCCACTGAGCTAAATCCCCAGCCCCCAACTATATTAGTTTTTAATATGAGAGCAGTAGAAAGCCCTCAGGAGTGACATGATCAGATTTGAGATTTGAAAACATAACATGAAAACCTAACAAAGAAAAAGTCATTTTCTCTTGTCCTTTTCTTCCTTGGGACCATAATGGCCTAACATACACTATGGCCTAACGTAACACTATGGCCTGCCATAGTGATTTACAGAGCCAAACCAATGTGTTTGGCTCCTGCTAAAGTAAAACAGATAGTCTTCCAAGTGAGTTTGGTAGAAAAATTTCCAATTTAATAAGTTCCTTCTCATTTTTCTTATGCCTGTTCTTTCAAGGGCTTTTTTTTTTTTTTTTTTTTTTTGGTGACAGGTTCTCAGTATACAGTGCAGGGTGGCCTTCAACCTACTTATGTAGCCCAGGCTGGTCTTGAACTTATGTGATCCTTCTGCCTTAGTCTCCTGAGTGCTGGAATACAGGCATGTGCCACTATGCCCAGCTTAAATGGGCAAAGATTAACATTAGCTCAGAATGTAGTTCTACCTTTGCTTTCTTTTGTGACTTTGTACATACCATTGTACATACACATGCATATATTTTTTCCTGCTTTGGAAACTTTGTTCAGACTAGATATTGAGTCAGTAGTAGGTACAAGGGATATAATCGTGTATCCAGCAGATATTTTTCTCACCTCCATAAGGCTTACAGCCCATATTGACAGTCAAGTAGTAAATACATTAGAAAAACTGATAAGCCTCATGAAGGAAAGCCTAGGGTACTCAGAACCTGCATGCATGTGCAAGCCTGGTGACACCTTCCTGCTGAAGCATAGTTGGGTTGAAGTCCAGACAAAGCAGGTAGGAGAGAAAGATCATCAGGTTTAGAGGCCCCAAGGCAGGAGACCTAGCAGGTTGAAAAATCTGCAAGAAAGTGAGTTGAGACCTAGGGTTAGTAGGGTGGCCAGAAATGGAGGGATGGGTGAGGGCCAGGCCATGCAAAAAGTGCATAGGCTATTGAAGAATTTGATTTTTATCTTGAGAGCAGTGGACAGCCCTTGGAGGAGCAATATGATTCGATTTGTGATTTGAAAAGATGCAGTGCAAAGTGAACTTGGCCAGTGGCCAGTGTGATGCAAAGACAGTTGAGAGACTGTGCAGTAAGGAAGAAAATAAGTCACTTCTCACACGGGCCTGCATAGGAGCTCCCAAGTTGGGGAGGGACAACAGGAAGTCCTTCTAGTGTTGGTGTATGCAGTTCAAGTCCAGATCCTACAAGATGAGGAGTTGAGCCTCTCCTGAATGAAATCTCAGATACTTCCAGCCTCTTCTAAGTCAATCAGTAGCACAAATGAGGCTTAGCAAGAGAGCCACACAGGAGTGTGCTTAGGTTACCCAGTTGAGACTGGAGAGACAGCAGGAAGAGAACACGGGGTTGACAGAGGGTTTAGCTTTTCAGAGTAGGTAAAATGTGAATGTGAAGGGAATAAGCAACAGGTAGATGGACAAGAAGAGAGAGAAATCCTTACCAAAATGGCATTTCTGGGAAGCCAGAGGAGGGCCTCTAGATCTGATGCAGGTTATATGCCCTAGTGGAGAAGCAGGGAACCCTGTGCCCCCTTGGGCCCTGTTTCTCCTGTCTTCCAGTCTGCTTCATTCACACACACACACACACACACACCCCTTCAGATAAATCCTCTTCTGCCTGTCTTCCAGTCTGCTTCATTCTTACACACACACTTCATTCATATACACACACACACACCTTCAGATAAATCCTCTTCTGCTTCTCTATTCCAGCACAGAGGGTTTACTCCAAGCGTCAACACTGGCTGTGACAGACCTACTACTGTCCTAGGGACATAGGGACATACATAGGGAAGTTTTTGATGGGGCAGGCTTGGGCCAGGTCACCATCTTAGTGGTCTGTTCCGGGTAGCCCTGGTCTGAGGGCACTGAGAGTAGTTCTCAAAGAAAGGTGAGAGTTCTGTTGACTAAACAACACCCCCATTCCGTCTTCCAAATGAAAGGGCTGAGCAAGCCTTAATCGAGTGGAGGAACATAGTGAAATGCGTGGGGAAATCCTTGATAGAAGGGGAATTAGCTCTCCCTGACAGCCAGACTTCTGAAATACACAGGATCAATCTAAAAGGGTGTTCTTGCCCAGTCTGACAGAAGAGAGAAGAGGAGGGCATGGACCAAGTACCTGGTGCTGCCAGCTTCTAGGTGTGGATTGCTGCTGGTTGAGATCTCAGGTGATATCCAGAGCCTAGCATGCTACAAGGCCAAGGGTCTTCTTCAGGTTGTCAGATCAAGAAGCATCAGTTGAGGCTTTGGACATGGGGTGATTAAGGCCCTCTCAGGCCTGGCCTAGTCCTATGTGCCCTTTAGTTCTGAGTGGTAGAGCCAAGGAGAAACCCCTGAGTCCACAGGAATCCAAGGCAGCATACAGTGGGTGCATGCATTACTGTGTCACTTGCCAATTGTGTGCCTCTGGGGAGGTTATTGACCTCTCTGGACCTAAATTTTCTTGTTTGTGAGATGAGGATAATATACAAGCAGTGTTCAAAATACGCAGTGAATGTTCATTTGTGTATTTATTTTTTTGGTACCAAGGACTGAGCTCATGACCTTGCGCTTGTCAGGCATGCTGCTGAGCTAAATCCCTGGCCCCACTGTGAATGTTTAAATTTAAAAAGTATATATTTATTATACTAAAAAATACATTGCCATTTATCTTTAAATTACTTTGAGCACACTTATCCCATCATTCTTTTTTTTTTTTTTTTTTTTTTTTGTCTTTTTCCTTTTTATTGGTACCGGGGATTGAACTCATGACTGCCTGCTTGCAAGGCAGGTGCTTATGCCGCTGAGCTAAATCCCCAGCACCTTATCCCATCATTTTTGTCACTTTCTGAAGCAATTCTGCAAGTCCTCTTTCCTGGATGTCTTTATGACATGTAATCAAAAGTATAGTGAATGCTGCTGCCAACTGCCATCTAACAGAAAAGCAGGGTTGTAAGAATGTTAGGATGTGTCTTCATCCACCTTAATCACCAGATCTGGCACTGCAATTTCTGACACTGCTCCAAAGTCAAAATGACCATGAAAGATAAACATTTTGAATCAATTTTAGGTCAGTGAGGCAGACTATCAGGAAAGCACTTCTAGAACTACTTCAGAAAGTGAGAAGAATGGTGGGAAAGTATATTGAAAGCAAGGGGGAGTATTTTGAGGGGGACTGATGACTATGTCTTTTAGGCTAATAGATTTTTATTCAACTTTCAGTGTATTTTTTTTTAAAATATATATATATTTTGTCTTTTTGAGACAGGGTCTCACTATGCAGTTCAGGCTGGCCTTGAGCTCACTTTGTAGCCCAGGCTGGTCTCGAACTTGCAACAATCCTCCTGCCTCAGCCTCCCGAGTACTGGGATTACAGGCGTGAGCCACCACGCCTGGCTCTTTCAGTGTATTTTTCAGTCATATCTCAGAGGGCACTAGGGACACTATGTTGTTTGGAGAATTAAATGAGTTCATATGTAGATGTGAGGTGTACTGTACTAGCTGTTAATTTGCTGCAGCCAGATGCAACTGCCAGCCATCTGGCACTGCGAGGAAGGCGTTAGCAATGTCTAAAGGAGTGGGGGGCTGGGGATTTAGCTCAGCGGCATAAGCGCCTGCCTTGCAAGCAGCCAGTCGTGAGTTCGATCCCCGGTACCGATAAAAACGAAAAAGACCAAAAATAAAAAAAATAAAGGAGTGGAACAGGTCTTCACAAAGACCACACTATACACTGGGATGAGAGCTGCATGCATGGATGATGAAGGATGGAAACAAGCTCTCTGACATGGGGTTGAGCTGGAGAGATGCAGTGATACCTCTTGAAGAGATGTGCCTCACCCTTCTCTCTCAGCTTCCCCAGGGACTATCTCCTTACTCTTCCCACTAAGGCACATCTCCAGTTCTGTCTGTGGTAGGTGGGATGGGAGGAAAGCAAGTTTTGTCAATTTTCTTTTTTGATAGGAGGGACTCAGGACCTTGGCACTGAGCTATTATCTCCAGTCTGTGTGTGTGTGTGTGTGTGTGTGTGTGTGTGTGTGTGTGTGTGTGAGAGTGTCAGAGTTTCACTAAGTTACCAAGGTTGGACTCAAACCTATGATCCTTGCTACAAGTTTGAGACCAGCCTGACTACAAAGTGAGTTCAAGGCCAGCCTGAATTGCATAGTAAAAAAGCCAAAAACTCGTAATTCTCCTCTTTTAGCTCACCCACAATTGAGGGATCACAGGAATGCACCACCGTGACCAGTGTATAAAATATTTTGAGATTCAGATTCTTACATTGTATCTTGTTCATCTCAATAAACCAGAGAATATTGTTTATAGTTGAGTTAATGAGTATTTTAGTTCAGTCTGGCTAGAGACCTACAGAATGTGGGTGACAAAAATTGTCTTGGTTTGTGTGCCTAGTCATTGGCTGCAGTTCTGTTACTGCCAGGATAATAAAAAGGCTGGAATTCAAGTGTCCTCATCTTCCAGTGTGTCTGTGCATTTGGTTTGTGTTGTCATCTCCCATTGGACTGAGTTGTGTGAGGACGTGAAGTAACTGCCCAGAGTTTCCACTGCTCCCATTATGGTAGGGCTCAGTGCATGCTCGGCAACTGGATGAGTAAGCAGGTACAGAAACCCATGCTGTCAAGGGAGCCCACTATGCTGCAGCAGTGTGGGGTTGGGGGACTCTGTCCCCTGTGGGCAGTAGTGGGGAGTGTCCATAGGTTGGCCTGAGTTTGCTGGGCAGACTGAGCAGAACCTGTTGAAACCAGGCAGCGATGGCCCAGTTGAGCCCTAAGTCTTTTGACCTTAAGGACTCTGAGGCTAGATCTGGAAGCTGACCTCCTTTCCTCATGTGCTTCCTTCCCCAGGTCCCACTGAGGAACCACCTCCCAGTGTGCCCCAGCCTCCCTCAGAGCCACAGACTGGGCCCTCTGCTCCATCCCCGCACCTGGATGAACGCCCCTCTTCTCCTATACCCCTTCTGCCACCACCCAAGAAGCGTCGAAAAACTGTCTCCTTCTCTACTGCGGAGGAAGTGCCAGCCCCAGAGCCACCCCCAGCTGCCCTCCCGCAGGCCAAGTCTCCTGGCACAGTGTCTCGAAAAGTCCCTCGAGGTGCTGAGCGGACCATTCGCAACCTGCCCCTGGACCATGCATCTCTGGTCAAGAGCTGGCCCGAGGAAGTGTCCCGAGGGGGCCGCAACCGGGCTGGAGGCCGAGGCCGCTCCATGGAGGAAGAAGAGGTTGAGCCAGGTACAGAAGTGGACCTGGCTGTACTGGCTGACCTGGCTCTGACCCCAGCCCGGCGCGGGCTGGCTGCCCTGCCTCCTGGTGACGATTCAGAGGCCACAGAGACCTCAGATGAAGCTGACCGCCTCTGCCCCCCACTCAACCACATCCTCCTGGAGCACAACTATGCCCTGGCCATCAAACCCACACCCTCCACACCACCCCCAAGACTCCCGGAGCCAGTCCTGGCCCCTGCAGCCCTCTTCAGCTCCCCAGCAGATGAGGTCCTGGAGGCCCCTGAGGTGGTGGTTGCTGAAGCAGAGGAGCCAAAGCCACAGCAGCAGCTGCAGGTACAGCAGGAGGAGGGGGAGGAAGAGGAGGAGGAAGAAGAGGAGTCTGAGTCCTCAGAGAGTAGCAGCAGCAGCAGCAGCAGTGATGGGGATGGGGCTGGCCGGAGGCGCAGCCTCCGCTCCCATGCCCGGCGCCGTCGGCCACCACTCCCACCACCACCGCCACCACCCCCCTCCTTTGAGCCCCGTAGCGAGTTTGAGCAGATGACCATCCTTTATGACATTTGGAACTCAGGCCTAGACTTGGAAGACATGAGCTACCTGCGGCTCACATACGAGCGGCTGCTGCAACAGACCAGTGGGGCCGACTGGCTTAATGATACCCACTGGGTCCACCATACAAATATCCTGAGCCCGGAGTTTGACCTGCCTGCACAGGACAGGAAGACGAGGGGCGGGCAGTGTCCTCTGCTGCATGGATCCCCATCTTCAACTTGCTGTGCCCTGTTGTGCTTGTGGGTTTCTTCTCTGGCTGCCTAACCATCTTTTCTCTCTGCCTCAGTATCTCTTTTCTGCCTCTCCAAGTTTTTCTGGTGGAAAGGTAGAGTCTGAGCCTGACTTCTGTCATCTCCAGTCCCCTCACACTGAGTTTGCCTGCCAGCTCAGAGTAGTTGCCCTTCGGGTTAGGGTTGGAATGGTCAGTGAGGTATGGGCCCCAGGGATTGGAGTTAGTCAGGAGCTGGTTCTGTTCCTTAACGCCCTGCACTTACCAACCTGAGCACTCCCAAGCGCAAGCGGCGGCCCCAGGATGGGCCCCGAGAACACCAGACAGGTTCTGCACGCAGCGAAGGCTATTATCCCATCAGCAAGAAGGAGAAAGACAAGTACCTGGATGTGTGCCCTGTCTCGGCCCGGCAGCTGGAAGGAGTTGACACTCAGGTGGGTCCTTCTTTAAGGCCTTGCCCACTGCTGCCTCTTCCCAACCTCCTGTCAGTCACCTTCCCTGTCTTCCTCATAGGGGACTAACCGTGTGCTTTCCGAGCGCCGGTCTGAGCAGCGGCGGCTGCTGAGTGCCATCGGGACCTCAGCTATCATGGATAGTGATTTGTTAAAGCTAAATCAGCTCAAGGTGAGGAGTGGATACCTGGGAAGGGTGGAGGCTCAGTGAATAGGCTAAAGCAAAGCAAGCTGTTGCTCCTAGAGTCCTTACTCCCTAGGGTTTGAAGCTGGGGAGGTGGGTGGTCAAGACATCCTGCTTCCTGGGAGGTCTGCAGGAAAAAGCAAGGAGCTAGGTTGAGAGAGGCATCCAGCAGTACGGTCTCCTTCTGCCCCCCAGTTCCGGAAGAAGAAGCTCCGATTTGGCCGGAGCAGGATCCATGAATGGGGTCTCTTTGCCATGGAACCTATTGCAGCTGACGAGATGGTCATCGAATATGTGGGTCAGAACATTCGCCAGGTGAGGCTCCAGGCCTATGTCTTGGTCTGACATCAGACAACACAGGCTTTTGCAAGTATCATTTCACTCTGGACAAAACCTCACTTCCCTCAGCTCCAAGACAGCCAGTGAAACCTGTGTCCTTGCTCCATCCTTGGTTAGTGGATGGATTGGTTGATTGATTGAATTGTTTTTGAGACAAGGTCTCACTGTGTAGCGTAGGCTGGCCTCAGACTCTTAGTGATACTCCTGCCTTGGTCTCTGAAGTGCAGATGTGGGAAAGCGAGGTGGTGGAAGCTCATAGCAGGACTTAAAGAGCTTCAGAAACATTGATGTTTAAGCTGAGAGCAGCAAGATGGGAGGAACTCTCAGGCATAAGTTGGGGAAGTACGCTTCTCAGTTTCAGGACAGCATGTAGAAGGCCTGAAGATAGAGCAGTAGTAGAAGGATGAGGTCAGTATGGCTAGGTGGAAAAGTGGGGCCAGTGGCAGTGATGTGAGTCTGGAGGGGCAGATGGAGCTTGGGACTTATGGCACTGAGGAGCCAAATTAGTAAGTGTGGGCCTGTGGTGAGGGATGGTCTTTGGGAAGCTAAACAGAAGAAGACCTAGAAGTTTACTGAGTTCCTTCTGGCCACCCTGGAGAGAGAACTTTCTGGGCTGAAGCTATGGAGCTATTGCAGAGCTCCAGGGCAAGGTGGAGGCAGACTGGACTCTAGGCAGTGACAGCAGGGGAGTCTGGTCTGTGGGTCCAAAGTTTTGGCAGACCCAAGCAGTGCAGGGACGTAGGAGAAGATGAGTCCTTTCTTGGGATGCTGCTGCTGGCTTCTCAGAGATGGGAGTGAGTGGAAGGAACAGATGTGTGATAAGGAAGATTTCCACTCAGAAGTGTGAGATTGCAGGGCCCTGGGGAGCTCTAGCAGTTAATGTCCAGCAGCTCGACTGAGATGGAGTTTGGCTAGAGATGGGATTTTGGGAGGACTCCCCACTTCTTCGCTTGTAGCTACAGCTCGGGGAGTGAGATCACTCAGAGAGAGTGCAGAGAGCTTCCCACCTCTTGCTGGGAAGCAAGGCTTGCCTCTTCTCACATAAGGGCCTACCTCATGACATAGATGGTCTGCTATCTACACTGGCCAGTTGGACCAGTGGAGTGCTTATTTTGGAGAAAGGGTCCTAGGAGAAGACACAGTAGGGCTGTGTCTCCCCAGCCCCTTGAACAATCTAGAGCCCCACAACCAGGCAGATGGCCTCAGAGGAGCTAGTGCAGATTTCCTTGGAGTCCTTGTGTGGGTGGCTGAATCAGAAGGGCAGCCAGAATCAGGCCTGTGGCACAGACCTATAATCCCGCCCCTCTGGGAGGCTGAATTCGCTTAGTTACAGGAGAATCACAGGTGCAACCCTAGCCTGAGCAAGTAAGAATTAGCAAGATCCTGCCTCAAAATAAAAAATGAAACCTGAGGATGTAGTTCAGTATGAAGGCCCTGGGCCCAATCCATGATAGTGGAAAAAGTGGGTTGGATGCGCCAGAGGGTTTGGAAGGGTGGCCTGAATTCAGAGGGATGAGAGCTCCTGGAACCAGAGTTGAGAGCGCCGTATCCTGGAGTAGTAGCTGGTAGACTGTCCAGAGGAGTTGGTGGGATTCAGGCCTGGATGCCAAGCAGCAAACCGTGACCTCCACATCCCACTTTACCAGATGGTGGCTGACATGCGGGAGAAACGCTACGTGCAAGAGGGCATCGGCAGCAGCTACCTGTTTCGGGTGGACCATGATACCATCATTGATGCTACCAAGTGTGGAAACCTGGCGAGGTTCATCAACCACTGCTGCACGGTGCGCTAGGAGCCATGTGGGGGTGAGAGAGGGTGTGGAGGGGCCCCTGGCTCACACGCCTTCCCTTTCCACAGCCCAACTGCTATGCCAAGGTGATAACCATTGAGTCACAGAAGAAGATCGTGATTTACTCCAAGCAGCCCATCGGTGTGGATGAGGAGATCACCTATGACTATAAATTCCCACTGGAAGACAACAAGATCCCATGTCTGTGTGGCACAGAGAGCTGCCGTGGCTCCCTCAATTGAGGTGGGGCAGGACTGGTGCCCACAGCCCTATTTATTCCCCCTTGGTGCCCTGAGCTCCCAGCACCCCCCAGCCTTAGTGGGTTCAGCAGAGCTCTCACACCCCCATATAGAAGGGTTTGGGACTCTGAACCCAGCAAGGGAGCCTCAGTCCCTTTTCTGCCTCCCTGTTGCCCCTGCCCACCCACCCACCCCTAATTTTTTTTCTTTGCGGAGAAGAAGCTGTAAATGTTTTGTAGCTGCCAGCAGCTGTTTCCTGTGGAAACCTGGGGTGCCGGCCTGTACAGATCCTGTTCTTGGGGGCTACTCAGCCCTCTTGCATTGTGTTATGGGGATTTCCCCTTTGCCCTGCGTGCACCCCTCCCCAGTTTAGGGGTCTCTAGGGGCAGTGGCCATGTTCTTCCCTGGGGGGGGCCCTGTGGCCCCATCCTGGGGACTCTGTGCCTGGAACCCTGCCTCATCTTCTGTTCCTGCCAGACCCTGTGGGTCACCCTCCCACCCTGGTGTCTGGAGATTCCTGCTCAGCCAGCCAGGATGGTGGGGGGTGGGCCCTTGTTGGGCTGGATTGTACATATGTTAATAGTGCAAACAACACCACATTTTTATAATTGTGATTAAACTTTATTGTACAAAAGTGCTTGGTCAGTATCTTTGGGGAAGAGCAGGCTGGGGTGGGGGCTTGAGGATGCAGGGTGGGGCAAGACAAAGAAAATGGGTGGCCTGAAGTTTGGACTGAGTAGAGGCTTTAGGCAAGAGCCTGGACCTGCAGACCCAGCTCCACTGTTCTGGATGACCTGCCAGGCTGCGACAGCCATACCAAGGGTGCCCCATGAAAGCAAGCCAGATGGGGCCAAGGTCAGGCCTCTCTCCCCTTTCCTTCCCTCCCCAGAACCACAGCTACTGCTAGCTGGCTGGCCTCCCAGGAAGTCTAGCAGGAGGTGAGGACTAAAGTCCTACTATGGGAATGAGGTCACTGCTGCCTCCGTCTTGTGGACCCCAAGCCCCTCAGCATCCACCTGGCAGGTTTTGACTTTTCTCCAAAGTGCTTTGCTGTATCCGAATGCCAGTGAAGTGCTAAATCCGCTAGGGGGCGCCCTATGCAAGGGGCGAGAGGGGTGCGGGTGTTCAAGGGAATAGAGGCGGGGCTGGTCTCCTTCCTGGAATGGGCCAGGAGGGAGGAGAAGCAAGCGGAAGGAAGACGGGTCTGTGGCTGGGCGGCCAGTCCAGGAGCCAGCCTCTCCAGTGGCCAGTTAGGCGTCCTGGGATAGTAGCTGCAGGTAGGCAGAGGTGACACCAGAGCCTAAGCAGCCCTTCCCACCTTCCTAGACCCTTCCTTTCTTTTTCCCCAACTCTCCTCTGTTGCCCCCCAGCCTCTGTCCATCCATCTCAAATGCTGACCCTTTCTTGAACTTAGCCCTTACCCCTCAATAATTCCCTGGTTAGCATTTGCAGGACCAGAGGGCAGGTAGCCCAGCCAGTGGCTGCAGCTTCTAGCAACAACTCTGACCACTGGCCATAGCACTGGGCTCCTGTCTACTAGGCCACCAGGCCTTTTCTTGAGGAAATGTGGTTGGGACAGGTGGCCCCAGGCAACCCAGGTGAGCCAAAGTCTCTTCCTGCAGCCAGGCATGGCCGGATCTGCAGAAGCCCGAAAGTTGGTCTACCTGGTCACAGGCGGCTGCGGCTTCCTAGGCGAACACGTGGTACGAATGTTATTGGAGCGAGAGCCACGGCTCCGTGAGCTGCGTGTCTTTGACCTGCATCTGAGTCCCTGGCTGGAAGAGCTGAAGACAGGTGACGGGGAGGTTGTGGGAAGGAGGGTATGGTCTTCCTATCCCCTCCCAAGCTGGAATGCCCCCGCTTGGTGGAAAGGATGAAGCCTGTTTACATGTAGTCCACATGGATGGGACGAGTGAGTCATACTGGGAACATGTGGCTCTTGAGGGTGGGGGCTGAACCCAGCATCTGACTGATGCTCTCAGCTCTAATTGCCTCTGGCCTCCTCTCACACTGCTAGGGCCTGTGCAGGTGACTGGCATCCAGGGGGATGTGTCTGAGGCTCATGAGGTGGCAGCGGCCGTGTCTGGAGCCCATGTGGTCATCCACACAGCGGGGCTGGTGGATGTGTTTGGGAGGGCCAGCCCTGAGACTATCTACAAGGTCAACGTGCAGGGTGAGGTGCCCCTTCGTGTTCTAGCTGTGCCCCTGGTATCTCCTGACACCCAGCCTTCTCTTGCCTGTTCATCCCCCACTCCCTTTGTTTGTCCTTAACCTCCTGTGATCTCAGGACAACCTGTCCACATGATTATTTACTCACCCCTGTCTCCATCTCACCCAGCCTCTTGTGGTTCTCCCTGGGCCTGGGATGGGAGTGTAATGATGCAGAGAAGGGACCTCAGCTTAAGTACCACCTTTGTCCTCCAGGCACACAGAATGTGGTCGAGGCTTGCGTGCAGACAGGGACTCGGTTCCTGGTCTACACGAGCAGCATGGAGGTTGTGGGACCTAACATCAAAGGCCATCCCTTCTACAGGTGTGCTGAGGTTCCTGATACTTTAGCAGCCCATTCTCCCCCTCCTGCTTCCCCCACTGAGTCATTTTCCCTTCATTAGAGGCAATGAGGACACCCCGTATGAGGCCGTGCATGAGCACCCGTATCCTCACAGCAAGGCTCAAGCTGAGCGGCTGGTCCTGGAGGCCAACGGGAGGATGGTGAGCCTGCACGGATAAGCTGGAGACAGGGGCTGAGTGAGACAAGTGGGCCCCACCTTCCCTCTCAGCTGCAGATAAGGGGGTCGAGCTAGAAAGGTGGCCGTTGAGTACTAGGTCCTAGCAATGCCTGCATTTTGCCAACAGGTCCATGGGGGGCTGCCTCTGGTGACATGTGCCCTACGCCCCACGGGGATCTATGGTGAAGGCCACCAAATCATGAGGGATTTCTACCACCAAGGCCTGCGGCTGGGGGGCCGGCTCTTCAGAGCCATTCCAGCTTCTGTGGAGCATGGCCGGGTCTACGTGGGTAAGGACCAGGCTGGACCAGGGGAGACCACAGAGAGGGCCAGAGGTCCTGCTGTGGGACTGGCATGCTCGAGTGGCTCTGGGAAGGGCCCCATGTGCTCAGGCCCAGGGAGACAGTGACTGTGTGAGAACTGTTTGCATGGGCCACAGAGGAAACAGCATCTGTGCAAGATGGAAAACTGAGTCACAGGCTAAGGGGGGAATGCAGGGAAGAGTGCAGTGATATGGGCAGTGACTCCTCAGAAGGGGGAGAACAGCATCTGCGTGGGACTAGGATAGTGTGTGTACAAGCCCGCTACCAAAGCAGCCTTCACAGGCTATAGTGGAGATGTGGGCAGCACCTGCAGGAGCACATGAACCTTTCTTCCTCATTGGCAGGCAATGTGGCCTGGATGCACGTGCTGGTGGCCCGGGAGCTGGAGCATCGAGCAGCACTCATGGGTGGCCAAGTGTACTTCTGCTATGACAAGTCACCCTATAAGAGCTATGAGGATTTCAATATGGAGTTCCTGGGCCCCTGTGGACTGCGGCTAGTGGGTACCCGCCCGCTGTTACCCTACTGGCTCTTGGTGCTCCTGGCCACCCTTAATGCCCTACTGCAGTGGCTGCTACGCCCTCTGCTGCTCTATGCACCTCTGCTCAATCCCTACACTTTAGTCGTGGCGAATACCACTTTCACCGTCAGCACCAACAAGGCACAGCGCCATTTTGGCTACGAGCCGCTGTTCTCATGGGAGGACAGCCGGACTCGTACCATCCTCTGGATGCAGGGCATGGACAGTTCAGCCCAGTGACCATGGAGCTAGGGGGGAGGCAGTCCTGTCACCTCTGTCCAGCTCCCAAGCCTGGGGTGGAGGGGTGAGATGGTTTTATTTCAGAGCTGAAGGCTCTGTACAGGACTGGCTATCCTGGGGCCCTCCACACTTTAAGTCCTTAAGCCTTGAGTCTGAATTGCACCCTAAACCTTCTAGGTTCTTTCTATGGCAGAATCTGGGGACAAGAGCATCCTCACTGTCAATGCAGGCCTGCTAGCCAAACCTTCCTTCTCATTACCCTATGACATTCTGGCTCCTGGAGCAGCAACTGCCCTTTAGGCTGTGCCCAGTGCAATCTTCTCCTAGGCTCAGCGTGAAGAGGCTTCTCCAATTCCCCCATCACGTCCTCCCTCCTTAGTGGGTAATCCTCTCACTATTTAAAAACAATAAAGGATCACCTTTAGATGCTTATCTTTTAATCCCTCTCGGTGACCCTGCACACTAACTCAGTGCCTGCAACCGTTGTTAGTTCTCTACCTGAGGCGGCCTCCAGTAACGCTATTCCTGGCCAACTTCCAGATTAAAATCCTTGTCCAAGCCTATGTCCAGCTGTCTGTCCAGCTTCTCTGCCCACCCTCCACCACAGATCTCACCTCCCCACGACGCTGTCCCATGTGGGGACAGAAGGAAGTGAGCACACAGTACACCCGCTGTTGGATTGGTTGCTATTTCTCCCGTCCCACGGGACTTGTCCTGGCCCGGGGTAGGGTTGGGGGGCTCTGGGGACAGGACATGCAGGGCTGGGGTGGGGGAACAAAATTTCCTGTGTTTTATCCATTTGCAACTTGGTCACCAATAGAGAGAAATGAGACTCTGAGGGCTAACAGGAGAGGGTGGCCTGGCTCTGGGCCCCCAACCAGGCCCCAGGAGTCCTGTCCCCTCTGGGAAGGGGAGGGAGAGAGCTCTAGAAACCAACGGAGAAACAGAGAGGGCAGGGGCTCATGTCAGCAAACACAGCTACATCACGTGACACGCCAGCGACACAGAAACACACGCCAACGCACACGGCTGCACAGCAGGGAGGGGAGAAGGGAGCTGGGGCCACCCATCTTGTCCTCTTCAGGGCAGGCTGGGGGCAGGGTGAATGCATAGAACACATCATGTGTACACGCTCAAGGCGTGGCAAGAGCGTGTGTCGACCCACGGTCACATGGGATGGTCACGCAGTGTGCTTTGTGAGAGGAAGGGACAAGGAGGAAAGGGAGGGGGAATGCTGAGCCCCAGCCAGGCGCAGGACCACCCACGGGGCATACCTGGCCTTGACGGCTATAAATGCATGGAAGATAGACAGCACACCCTTGTCTGAGAACATGCAAGACACCGACCCCAGACCACACTCAGCACACACACACATGTAGACAGCAGCCAATAAGCAAACCCGTCATACGATGGATGTGCATGACTTGCAGAAAGCCATGACGGCCCAGACACTCAGGGATCCCAGTCCATCTCAGGTCCAGAGATGGGCAGCCAAGGGCCCAGTGCCACTCAAGGAGGCAGGAGCAGCACTCTAGCCACAACATCACCATTTGTCTTTATGAATTGCAAGGCTGGGGGGCTTTGGGAAACACCTGGGCTGAAAGGAGGTCCTGGATGGACTGCAGGAAGGAAGAAGGGGGCTGGGTGCTGGGGCCTGCATGACGTCTCCAAAGAAGCCTGAGGTGGAAGTAGAAAGCTGCAGTCAGACTATGGGCGGATTTCCTGACCTGTAAAAGGACATCTGGGAAAGGACAGGCAGGCTTTCCTCCTTAGAACAGCTGACCTGGGGGTTACAAACAGGTGGTCACACTGACACACACAGGCCAGGAGGAGGCCGAGGATGGAAGAGGTTGGCTGAGGGGGCCGGGAAGGGTGCTGTTTTCAGAAGGTCACATCTGCAGCTCTCCCCTGCCTGTGTGTGCACACACTGGAGTCTGTCACCCAGGACATACATGCCTCTCCCTTCTGTCCTTAGTGCTCAGCCTACACGCTCCTGGCTCTTAGAGTGGGGAGAGGGGTTCTAACGCCGTCTTTTCTCCCTGAACCTCCTCCGTCACCAAACCACCAACCCACAAACTATGTGTGCTGTCTCCCCAAGCTGGGTGCTGCCCGTCCCTCATCATGAGTCCCAGGCTTGAGTCCTCAGTCTCACCCTGGTAGGTGATGTTTCAGCAGAGGACAGGTCCAGGAGATGAAAAACTACCACTGACCACTGCCACAACTGTCCACTCTAGTGGAAGAGCCTAGAACACTGATTAAATGGGGCAGTGAGACAAAGCACTGGCTTCTTCCAGGTCCCACCAGAGTGGACTAGAGACAGAAAGGGGCAATGTCCTGACTTTCCACTTGTCATTTTCCTTGACATTTTGCCTCCTCACAGACCTCCCAAGTGGTATTCGCGTGCACACATGTGTGGGCCTGCAGGAGCACCACACTGTTGGCAGCACGCATGAGTGCCGTGTGGAGCATGTGCGTGTGCCTGAATGCAGCCACCTTCACAGGACCTCCTCGGCCTTGGTCTGAGGTGCTCCAGTTGGCGCAAGCTCAGACCTGTCCTCGGACAGACACAGAAAAGATAAGGATGAAAGCATGTGTGCATAATACTGATGTAGCAATGCGGCCACACCAGCCATGGGTCAGGGCCACTGGGGAGGAGGGCAGGACCAAATAAATCTGATTAAACAAACCCGGAATGATGGGGCACATGTCCTTAAAGGTAAATGTGCATGTGTGATATGCAGGGGCAAAACACTATGTAGAAAGCCCCTAAACACACACACACACACACACACACACACACACACACACACACACACACACAGTCACAGCTATATCCTAGGTAGCATACAGATAAATTCATATCCACCCTCAGTAGGTATCTGTCCACAATGTGGAGGGTTCCTATCAACACTTCCAGTGTGTGAGCTTGCACACACATGTACATATACACACTCATTCCTCACCACATCTACTAGGAAAAACACAAGTCTATAGGCCAAGCTAAGCCATTTACACATGATGCTTCCACTCACCTCCACAGGCCCAAAACACACAAGTGCATGCAAGGACACATAGAAGCCCCTGCACTGACCCGGAGGGTTTGCTCTACATCATGTGGGTGTCTGCCATGGGGTCCTCTGAGAATGTGAACATCTGTACACACTGCCGCTCCATTTAGAGCAGACAGGGAGGAGGTGTGGGTGGAGGAATTGATGTCACTCAAGTTGCAAACACTAACATAAAATTCCATAAACATAGTTTGGGTGTCCACAGATCTCCAGCCACTCACAGACACACATACCTATTCACAGAAAACAGGAGTATGGCAGGCTGCTGTTACACTCAGTCAACACCATGACCCTAATGACAAGGAGGCTCGGACCACAGACTTAAGGTGGATGCAAAGGGGAATGATGTGTCTCTACATACATCACACACACACACACTCGCTGGGGTGTCCACACGTCTTGAGCATGTGCCGGCGGCATGCATGTTGGTGTGCATGTGTAATCACGCCTGCTGCTATCTACGTGCGGGAAAGGGGAGGGTGGTCCTTGGCAAGGTGAGGTCCAGGGACTCCAGGGTCTGCCGTGGGGATAGAAGAGGGAGTGGGGCTGCTTGGGTCCATTTTGGGGTTGAGCTTGGAGCAGGGGATGGAGTGAAAGGGGCAGAGGGGGTATTGCTCCCAATGTGGTAGGGAAGGGGCCTGGAAGGGATAAGGGCAGGGGGCCTACAAGCCCAGCGTCCCCCCAATGGATGAGGCCAAGACCACCCCCAGCACCACACAGCAAATGATGATCATGATTTTCTTCTGCAGGTAGAAAAAAAGACAGCAAGACAGAGAAACAACAGAGAAAGACAGAAACAGAGCCAGAGTGATAAAGGGAGACAAACCAACAGACAGATGGGGGAGTGAGGGAGGTGTGAGGAAAAAGGAGGGAGAGAAAACAGAAATAGGAAGAGGTCAGAGCCGGAGATGAGGCCTCTCACCCGACTTCACCATCACCTCGGCCGGCCCCGGCCTGAGCCCAGCCCCCAGCCCCAGCCCTCCTCAGCCCCAGGTCCTGGCTCACCCTCCGCGCCTTGCTCTGATATTTCACAGCTTTCTTGGTGTCGGACACAGCTCGCTCCACGTAGTCCACAGAATGTTCCACGTTGTACTCGATGCGGTCAATCATCTCACCCTGCGGGCAGATGAGGGGTGTACGGGACGGGCGACCTGGGGGTATGGGAGAGGGAACCTCAGGACTTAAGGAGGTACCCAGGGTAGCAAGACGGAGCCCATACCTGGCTTTCCACAAGCATGGCCATGTCCACAAACATGTCGTGCAGCTCTCGGATGCTGGTTTCCAGTTTGATGATCTCATTGTGCCTCGTTTCAATCTCATTCAGTGCTTGCTTTGTCATCTGTGAGTCCATTTTGATCTAGGGCAATGGGGGGGGGTATCACTCTTTGTCCCATATGAGGTTTGACTCAGCAACCACAGGCAAATTATTTAGCTTCTCTGGGACTGTTTCCCATCTGGAAAATGTGCATATGACAGTTTCTACTTCACAGGTTTTTGTTTTGTTTTTGTTTTGGTACCAGGAATCAAGCTCAGGACCTTTCCCTGACCAGAGGAGCACTGTGCCACTAAGCCATATCCCCAGCTCCCCACCCCACTTCACAGGGTTATTGTGTAAGAGGAGTATGTGCACATGAATTGGAACACTACCTGGTACACAGTAAGCATTAAAGAGAAGTGCATTAAATTATAAGAACTAGCTGGGGATTTAGCTCAGCTGTATAAGCACTTTCCCAGTACCACAAAAAAAAAAATTCTAATAACTAAAACTTTCTGGAGTTCTTCCTGCTAGCCACAGAGCTTCTTCTAGTATATACCAGAGACACCCAGGAAGACAAATGACCAAAAGCAGCCAGGGTGGCGAGCAGGTGAGAAGCAGCCAGCAGACATGTGGCCCTTCGGAGAAGGTGGTGTGCCCACAGTTGTCTGGGCCTGTGTGAGACGAGGCGGGCAATAGTAATAAGGACATCTGTCTACCTTTCTGCCCATAACTCCTGCTCCTCCTCCAAGAGCCGAAATCATCCAATGGCTGTTTAACAAGCGGTTCCTTCTCCTTGTCTCTGCTCTATCTGTTCTCTCTTCCTGTATCCCCACATCCAAAAGCTTCCTGTCTCTCGGCGTGCAGCTCAAGGATCTCCCCCTCCAGGCTTCTCTGACTCTAGTGTTACCTTCAGCGAACACCTCAGCGCTCACCTGCAGTTTCACATCTCTGTTTCACTACCCTGCTTTATAACGGTGAGTTTCCACTGTGATGACACTGGGCCAACTCGAAGGGGTCAGCTATGTCTGTCCACCGAAAGTGGCCCCTGGAGGCCACCCACAGGCTTACCTCCACTGTCACACAGACAGACAAGACAGTCGGCCAGAACTGCTTTGGGAGGTTCCAGATTAACTGGCTCACAATCAATTTGTCCAAAATTAATTCACTGAAGACCAATTATCCAAATAACAACTCACTGAGGGCTGTTAGACAATCACAGTACACACTGTAAACTTGGGTGAAACCACTATCCAGAAACATTTGGTCACCAGAACGCTAAGCACAGACAGGGCTGGGCAGAGCAGGGCAGAAGTCCAAAGGAGAAGGAAGAACTATATGTAGGGGAAGCCCACTGGTTCACATATAAACAAATTCAGTATGCGAAAATAAAACTTATGTTTTTAAAAAAATCTCCAAGATGTAGACAAATGAGTCACCTGGCATACGATGTGCTTCCAGGAAGGGTGGGGGCTTGCAGCGGCCCCTCCCTGTACTGAGGCCTGCGCTTCTGGGCAGGTTATTTCACCTGAACCAGTGTTCCCCATCTGTGAAATGGCCTCCCTGTGGCATTCTGGAGGGGGTTAAATGTCAGCAAATGTAGGCATGGGAAGTGCTCAACACTGCCTGCCACCTCTACAGAGCTGTTTTCCTGCCCTGCCTCCGTGGAATTCCCCTGGTTCTGGTCCACAGCTCAGGAACCTGGTCCACCCTGACCTTTGGGGGAGGGGCAGCTTTCCCAAAATAGACCCCACCCTCCCAGCGCTCACATCATCTGTGAAGATGGCCAGCTTGCCGCTCTCCAGCATGTCCTCCAGTTCTTCGTTGGTCGTGGTCCTGCCGGCTATGGGGAGAAGGGACTCAGGGCCTGGGCCTGCCAGGCAGTCAGGGTGGTAGGATGGGGCAGGGACCCCGGAGCCACCCTCCCCTGGCCTGGGGCCTGGGATTCTCTCCACAGAGAAAGGGCGAGAAGGGCGCTGGGCAGACCCAGGGTGTGGGGAGGGCACACGCACTGATCTCCAGCTGCCGCTGGATTCGGTCCTTGCAGCGGTCCCGGTACTTGGACTGGGTCGCGTTGTACTCAGTCATTACCTCCACGAACTTCCGGGAGAGTGTGGAGTGCTGGGGTAGGAGTGGAGGAACGGCGGGCAAGCAGGTTGGGGAGGTGGTGTGCGGGTGGGGGGACAGGACAGGCTATGTTAGTTTACAATCCTTCCTTCAGCATGGACCCATGACCCTACCACTCCACAAGCTCAGTCCCCTGCTCCCTCGACAGGCACCCCCAGCCCACGCATGAACCCGCAGGTGACCCGAGGAACCCAGCCCCAAAGTCCAGCCGGGTGGCCTGCTGCCTCCTACCTGGGTCTTGCGGATGCGCAGGTCTGCAGAGGAACGGTTCAGCCCCTCTTCCTGTTCGATGCTTTGCTCGATCGCTGCGGGAGACAGGGCACAGTGAGGGAGACCTGAGGCATATAGGGTGGGGGTCCTAGACGTAAGAAGGCTGGACACCCCAAGGCAGGCTCTGGGCCTGGAAAGATCAGCTGTGCCCATGGCAAGGGGGTGCAGTGGAAGACTTTGGGGCAGACCAACAAATAAGCAGTCACCTGACGGGGTCCTGAAGGCGTGTGTGTGTGTGTGTGTGTGTGTGTGTGTGTGTGAGAGAGAGAGAGAGAGAGAGAGAGACAGAGAGAGAGACAGAGAGAGAGACAGAGAGAGAGAGAGAGAGAGAGACAGAGAGAGAGACAGAGAAAGAGAGAGAGAGGATGGGGGGGCGGTCAGAAGTTACCAGATAGAAGCAGCTATTTGTTCTGGTGGAAGGACTGGGTCTTAGAAAGTGCCAGCAGCCACCACTCCTGTTCCAGCCCGGGAGGAAATGTGGAACCAGTCCATTAATTAACAGGAGTGAAGTCTCCACTTCTTATGGCCCCCAGACAGGGGCAAAAATCCAAATGAGGATTTTTGTTGTTGTTTCCTGGCATTCTTGGGCTCAAAGGACCCATCCTCCTGTTTCAGCCATCCAAGTAGCTGTGACTACCGGAAAGAGCCACCACAGTAGGCTAACCTGTGACTTTTTTGGTGGAAAGTAGGCATCCAGTTGGTTCAGATTCTGGTGGTCATCCTTTTCCTGAAGAATCTCAGGACAAACGGATGCTCCAACAGAGAAAACAGCCCTCCCCCTGCCCTGCCAGGTGATTCCTGTCTCAGAAGTCCCACTTCTACAGTGTGTTCTGGAGAAGTGTGCAGATTGTCGGGCATTCTGGATCACGTGCTCCTGACACTATCATTCAGATTTTCTGAAAAAGAGCTTGCAGGAAGATCTGCTTCAGTAAGATCAGAAAATGCAGCAGGGATGAATCACCAGTCCTGCTCAGACCTCGAAGGGCCTCCAGGCCATTCCTGAGAACATCACTTCTCTGTTCTGCTGGCAGCGGGGGAGGCATGGGGCTAGATGGCACCCCAAGGCCTCCCTGCCAGCAGCAGCAAGCACAGTGACTGAGTGACAGCCAGGGCACAGCAGATTCAGGAAAAGCACAGGGACACTGGAATCTCCTGGCCCAGCCTGGAGCCCTATAGTCAGATTTGGGGCAGGATGAAGTCTGAAGGGAGGGATCTTTCACTGACCCTCATTGACTCTGCAACATCCTGGGGGTGCAGGAACTCAATCCCATCTTTCAGACTGCAAACAGTTTCAAACCAATACAACAGCTCACTCAAGGTCACGCTCAAAGCCTCAGCTCATGCCACCAAGTGGAAAGAGACGGAGAAGATGTACATCTTTTCCGTTTTTCTGGAGGGCCAGCTTCTGAAACCACTGCCATTTTTCTTGTCTTCTTCCTGGGTCTATTCCTGAACCCCCAAACCACAGCTCTCCTCACTGTCTTCTAGAGGGTGTTCAAGGTCAGAGCTCAGTGTGCCCAAGGAAACACTGAGCGGAGGGGTTTCTAAATTGCATGTTGGCAGGAACCTTGCTTCTGAAAAGGAATTTTGGGGGCTTCTGCAGGGAGTGAAGGGGAGGCCAGTATAGAGGACCTCCTAACCCGTTTAGCCAAACCAACCTGGCTTTTGTATGTTTATATATTGGGGTTTGTTTTATATATTGGGATCTTTGTCAAATTTCATTTGGAGAAAAAGACTTTGTAGTGGGAGAGGGCTTTGAAATTGCTTCCATTTCTCTTGCAGACTGCCTGATTTGCCTTCGTGTTATCCCAGGCTGTGGCATTTTCCATTCCAGCCTGCTCACTGAGTGCAGAGGGCTTATTTTTACCAATTCCCTTCCGAGGCTCCCATCTGGCCTCCCTTGAACCTAGGAGGACATACAGCTTCTTCTGTCTCATCTCCCCAGGCCAAGGTCAGAGCTCTCAGTCAGGCAGCTGATAAAGCTCCTTTCCCCAAAACCTAGCAATGGGCCTCAGACACTGTAGGCTCCAGGCAACTGTTTTCTCATGCTGAATTACCGGGCACACACAAATTAGCATCACGGTAACATTGCTATTCCCCTGGCACTGCAGACAAGGAGGTTCCCAACCCACAGTGCTTTGGGGAAGGTGGTTATTACCAGCACCCAAGTCCTTAAATTAGAGTGACTACATGAGCATTTGGCAAAGCCTTCCTGAAAGAATGCCAGCCCCTGATGTCAGCCACATGGTCCAATCTGTCCTGAGCCGAGGATACCAATTCAGAAGCATTTGCTGAGCCCACCTACTGGATGCTCAGCTCTATATTGGGGACCTGTTCAGGAGAAATTGGCATTTAAAACCAAAACCACTTGGAAGACAGCATTTTTCTGATGGATCTTTACATTCATGGAACCAACAGAGCTCAGATGCAATTTGGACAGAAACCCTCCTCTCCCTCATTTCCCCATTATGTCTCTCTGAAGAATCTGGATCAATGGGACAAATCTAAAGTGTTGTGCGTTCTCACTGTTTAGGAATCTGGCTCCTGGAAGTCAGTGAATGTTTCTTACAAAAGGCACACTTTGGCCCACAGTGACAAAGTGCCTCTTTCCCCAGTTGCAAGATCACATTCCTTACCTTTCAACTTGGACCGAACCTTATTGGCCGTCTTCTTGATGTCAGCAGTGAGGTCCTCCAGCTCCTGTTTGGTCTCTGAGGGAAGGGTGAGGCGTGAACACAAGAAGCCTGGGTGGGACCCCAGCTCACCGCCCCTTGCTCAGCAGCAGCACTCACTCTCATCTGGGTTGGGGGCGGCCAGGATGGCACTGTGCTGCTTTTTCACCTGTTCCACGTCTTCAGACAGTTTCTCAATGCAGCCTCGGATCTCTTCCACCTAGGGCAGAAAATCCAGCAACAGTCCGCCAACTTGTTAGGCCAGATGAGCAGATCTGCAAGGGCTCAGGGAAATGGGCCAGACTCAGAAGGGTTCATAAAAGGCCAAGGTGGGTGAGGAGTAGAAAAGGGGCACACACGGAAAAGGAAGTAGCTGGCTAGGGGACAGGCGCTAGGTCTGGGGGACCTGGGAACTCATTACCTGCTCAAAGAACTCATCCATAAAGTGGTCCCGATCCACGTGAACCACCTCCTCCTCATCGTCACTGTCTTTCGCCTGTGAGGCAAAGGAAGGCTGGATCCATGAGCAGCCCCTACTTGATCCCCAAGACAGGCACTTGAGCGGTTTTGCCTTCTACCTGCTACCCATACCTCTCATGTCCAGGCTTAGAAAGGGGTCTCGGGAAGGGTCATAGGCAGGATGCATGCTGAGAGCACCAAGTCGGGATGAAGACTGGGCTGTGTTGCGGAGCCAGGTCCTGGACGCTGACATAGCTGACAGCCCAAAAGACCCTCGAGGAAATTACCAAAGAGCATCTTTTGGGATGCGTGTGGACTTGTGGGTCAGATTTACCCCGGAAGGGAATGGCATTCAGAGCAGCTGCTACTGGCCAGCTGGTACGGATGCATTTCAATATTTTAACAACCGAGTACTAAATGTGAGCCTTGCAACAAGAAGAGGTCTCAAATAGTCTTCCAGAAGCCTGGACCTCCCAGGGAACCTCCAGCAGCACCTGCCTGGGTCTCAATTTACTCCTGTTCTCTTCCCCTACTGCCCCCACCCAACCAGCCATGTCCCCTGCGCAAGGTCACTTCACTGCCACAGCAGGTGCCAAGTTGAGCAAGCACAGCCAGGCCCAGAGAGAGCCGGAGGAGAGTTGCAGGCAGCACCCTGGGCTCCCTTGCTCCCAGGGCCTTCCTCTCCCCGCCCACTCTTGATCCCCTCCTAGGCAGCTGCGCATCCCTGGCTTCTCTGCTGTTCACTCCCTCTCACTCAGCCCTTCCAGGCACACACCCACCTACTCTCCCTTGCTCGGATTTCCCAGTTGCAACCTGCAGCTGCTCAGCTCTCCACCCGCAGAACTCAAAGACACAAAGGGATTTACCCACCCACCCTCACCACCGCTGCCATCACCGACAGACAGACCAGGAACACAGACAGAACAGCTGACACACAGGCACACAGAAATAGGCCCCTGACACCCACACAGAGGCACAATGACATGCTGATGTTCACGTGCATACAGACCCACAGCAAAGGTGTGTGCTGACGGGCAAACACGCGGAGTCAGCTGCACCCCCAGGGACCCCAGCAGGGACTTGTTCTCTCTGAGCCTCAGGTCTGGAAGCACATCCAGAGTTGGGAAGAGGGAGCAGGGAGGCCTCCCAGCGCCCCCACTGTGGCTTCACACTGCTCTCTGCTTGGGACAGAGGTTTGGGGGCAAAATCTGAGCCCATGAAACTTAACTGCATCTGGAGCCCTAGTCAACTCCAATGGAAATTTAAACAGAGTTCATCTGATTTCCGGAAAGAATCTGTTAGAGTTCAGGCAGAATCCAGCTTTGAGAGCCCAAATAAAATCAAGACAGGATCCAAACGGCCTGCACCTCGGGGTGCAGCCCCTGGAAGACCTGACAGGTCTCAAAGCAGAAACCAGACAGATCAGGTTGAACTAGACTAGGCTCAAACAGATACCAGACAGCTCAGATCAAACCTAGACAGAGCCAGTGGGACTCATACACAATCCGAACAGGCCAGAGAGCTCAGGGATTGCAGAACCCAGCAGCCCTGGGAAGAACCTCCTGCTAGACGCCGCCAAGCCACTTGGCTTCCAGATAACCCCCAATACGTGCTTAGTAAGAGAGGTGTTTTTTTAGCCCACGCCTGCTGGTTTCTCAAGCCCCCACCTGACTCCAAAGAGACTCTGAGTTTCTCAAGGCTCAGTGCTATGGGGCTCAGTCTGGAGGACCCATCAGTCTCGCAATGGTTTCCAGCTCCTCAAAGCCAGCTGCCCTATGAGGCCTCCTGCTGCTAGAGCCCGAAGCCTTCCCCTACCTCTTCTTCTGCCTTCGCCCACTCACTCAGCCTCAACCTGGCCTCACTCATGTCCCAGCTGCCCTGGCAGGTGCCTGAAAACTCTCCTGTTCTCCATCTCTTTCCCTTTCCCATGCCAACTTTAGGAAGTCCTTCTTGAAGTCTAATTTTGCTCTCTCCTGTTGTTCTCAGAGCCACTTCCCTTAGATTCATCCCTGGAGTATCCCAGGCTGCCTGTTGCCCTTGAGAGAGGAAGAAAGGTAGAAAGCCCCAAGGATAATTTGTTTAGTATCAAAATTACTAAGAGAGCTGAAAACCAGTAATCCTCTTCATTTACAAACACTTTTACATCCATAATCCCTTTTGATCCTGATCACCAGAGCCCTATGAGAAAAAATGAGCAAATATCATCGTCCCCATTTCACAGATGAGGGAACAGTGGTGGGGTACCCAAGGGCACCAGGCTGAACAGGACAGGAACACAGGGAATCCAGGACTTGCCTCCCCCAGATCCAGTTGAAGGCTGTAGGCCGGGCACCCACCTCCCAGGGACCGTTGGCCAGGAGCTCCTTTACCCCAAGAGGGGTTCCTGTCAGAGCCTGCTCCAGGTGAGGCTCTGTGCCCCCCAAACTGAACAAACTATCATCATTCACTGCACCTTCTGCATGAGTCTTTCATTCTTGTTATCTCTTTTAATCTTCATTAAAACTCTGTAAGGACCATTGGCCAACATAATTGCAATTATGACAAACATTTAAATAGTGTTTTACAATGTGCTATGAGCTGTTCCTTCTTGCATTCTGCATATATTTATCCATCCCATGCATTTCATGCTTACAGTCCCTAGCAGTTCATGCTTATATTATTATAAAAATTTCCCCCTCTTTTTTGGTTTGGTGTTTGAGACAAGGTCTCACTATGTTGTCTAGATCAGCCTTAAACTTGCCAAAATACTCCTGAACATCTCCCAAGTGCTGGGATTACAGGTTGTACTACCATGCCCTGCTTATAAACCCTTTCATAGATGGGGAAGCTGAGGCAGATAAATGTTAAAAAACAGGCCTCATGGCCAGGTATGGTGGTAGATGCTTATAATCCCAGCACTCAGAGGCTGAGGCAGAAGGATCTCAGCGAGCTCAAGGTTAGCCAGGGCTACATAGTGAATTCAAGGCCTGCCTGAACTACAAAGAGAGACCCTGTCTGAAAAAAAGGAAAAAAATAATGAAAACAAAACAGTGGCCTGAGATCAGCAGTTTAAAACCACATGACTGTCTCTCTGAGCTTGAGTCTCTGCATTTGCTGTAACAGTAATGTCCACCCCACATGGAGGCCAAGAGGACGCAATGAAAAAAGTGAGAAAGTGTCTAATGTTCCAGAGACAATGTGCTTGGTGTGGGGTGGCTACTACCTCCTGCCCCACCAGGTCTCAGATGAAGAAAGGGTTCACAAAGGTTGCCTGACCTGCTTAGGGTTTCATTGCCAATAATTTGAACCCAGGACTGCCAGATCCCACACTTAACCCATCCATCCTGCTGTCAGATAGCATCCGCTTTATTCCTACCTGGTCCCTAAGGGCCCACTCTGTTGTGTTCTCAGTGCTTCCTAGCTCTATAGCCAGGACAGAAATCAATCAGAGGGGTCCATGGCTGTAGGAAGAGCCTAAACAGGAAGCTGGGGCTTCCAGTCTTGGCTTGACTTGTTCCGTGACCCTAGGCAACAGCAATCTGGGACCCCAGGCCCCTCACCTCTGAGATGGGCAGGCCCCAGGCATGCATTCAGCACATGCCCTTCCTGCTCTGATGTGTGTGGGTTTGGTTATGAGCACAGCTTCCACTTCTGGAAGACATCAGACCAGTATGAGGAGCCAGGCTGGCCAGGGATGGTTGCACATCCCTTGTGATCCCAGCACTCTGGGGGTCTGAGGCAGTTTGAGTCCTAATCGCAAATTTGAGTTCACTTAGCAATCTATGAGACTGTCTCAAACAGGGGCCCTCCATGTAGTTATGATGGGCTTGAACTCACTATGTAGCTTAGGCTGGTCTCGAACCCGTGGTGATCTTCCTGCCTCAGCCTCCCGAGTGCTGGGATTACAGGCATGTACCACCACACCTGCCTAAATTCTTTTTTTTTTTTTTTTTTAAAGGACTGGGACTGTAATTCAGTATGAAGGCCCCAGGTTCAATCTCCAGTACCAGAGACAGAGACACAGACACAAACAGACACAGAGAGACAGACAAAGAGACGGAGCAAGCAAGTGGGCAGGTGTGGGCAAAGGAAACCCTCTAGGAACCCAGGATCAAATGTGCTGGATCTGCTCTGTGGTGGGTTCAGGTTACAGATGGATAGTTTAGGTCTTGGTTTTGGTTTCCTTATGAGCAGAATGGGGAGGTTAAAGATGGACAGGCAAAAAAAAAAAAAAAAGATGGCTAGACAACTAGACAAGTGCTTGTGTTTCTTGTTGAATCCCCACAAACACTCCAGGGGATGGATTCTATTCTCCTTCCTTCCTATTTGACAGATGAGGCTCAGAGCAATCCAGTAACTTGCCCAAAATTATTCAGCTACTGGGGCGAGAGGGAGTGGCCATGCCTAGAACTCTGCTCTTCACTGCCCACGGCTGATTGAGCGCCTGTGGGGATCAGAGGCAGCAGGACAGGGCTCCTGCCTTTAGTCAACTGCTGGAACTGCCTGTGGCAGAGGAGTCTGGCCTCCTCTGCCCCTCACAGGCCAGGCTTGCGCTGGAGATGTATCACAAAAGCTCTCGTGTATGTGTGTGTGTGTGTGTGTGTGTGTGTGTGTGTATGTGTGTGTGTGTGTGCTCACGCGCACGCACACACACACACACACACACACACACACACACAGATGACAACGGCAGATTCCCAAAAGAAGCGAGGAGAGGGCCACGGTAGCCAGCTAGTGAGTGGCCAGAGAGACAGATGGCAAGGTGGTAAAGGAATGGGTGGGTGGAACAGGACGGAACTGGGTGGTGAAGTCACGGAGGGGGTGTGTGTTTTTGCAAACACCCATGTGTGCCCAGGCATGCTGACACACTGCGCACCCTCACTCCTAGGGGTGCAAGCAGCATTTGATCTTGAGGTAGCAGCCACTCTGCCGCACCCCCTCCCGCTTCTGTCCATCTGTCTTCCTGCCTGGCCCCTCCTCCCCATGCCTCCCTCCTAGAGCAGGCCTGCTCCTCCCAGCTACTCTCCTCCACCTTCTGCACCACCCCTCACTGAGTTAGCTAGGGACACAGTGGTGAACGAGGCTGGCAGGAAGGGCTGCCTGCAAGGAAGTGAGGTTTCCATGGAGCAGACAGGCAATGAGATGAAGAAGAGAACCTCCATGGCACTAAACAGCAGGAGGGAGGTAAGCAGGAAGAAGTGATAGAGAGAAGCAGGTACGAGGGAAGCTTCCTGTGGGCTGGTTAGTTTGGGTTTTTGTTTTGTTTTGTTTTTTGAGACAGGGTCTCCCTCTGTTGTGCAGGCTGGCCTTGAACTCAGAGATCTTCCGCCTCAGCCTTCTGAGTGCTGGGATTATGGGGCATTTGCTACCATATGCAGCCACATGGAGTGGCTAGGGAAGGCCTTTCTGGGGATGTGACATATGAGCTGAGTCCTGAAGGAACCACTGCAATATGATGTGCAGGAAACTGAGTTTGAGGCAGAGGGAACAGCATTCTGGGAATAAGTTCTTGTGTTCTGGGCATGGGGAACAGCATTCAGAGCAGAGGAAACAAAAGCAAAGCCCCCAAAGAAGGATATACCATGTTTGAAATGCTAGAAAGGGGAAAGTTCAGTGCGGCTGAAGGCCCCAAATCCACTGCCACAGGTGCTCTCGGCTGCACCTACTCGCTTGCCCCTGGCTACCCTTTCCTGCTGTTATTTCAGGCCTACTTTCTAGAGCACATACGGTGGCTGCCCTACTCCTGAGTGCCACACAGGGGACTTAGCCCCTGCCTGCAGGAAGTATGACTTGGCCTTCAGCAGCTTCAAATTCCCGTCAGCGCCCCTCCTCCCTCCCTTCCAGGTACCCACCTCCCACGGCTGTTGTTTCCACTCCATGTCCCTGTGTCCCTCCTGTCTTCCCCTTCCCCTCTCCTCTCCAACCTGCCTCACTTACTCCAACCCCCCCATCGGGGTCCAGCCCAGAACCTCCCAGTTTCCAGCAAGGGTGCTTGTTAAACCCAAGGGTGCTTGGTGACCCGGAGACAGAAGCCAGCTCCATTGCTAAGAGCTATGTGACTTTTGGAAGGCAGTTTTTCTATTTCTTTCTGGTCTTCAACTAACTCCCAAATAAATTAGAGATCATATCCTGCCCATCTCAGGAGCTTACGTGATGCCCAAGAGCAACCTCCGAGTCATCTGGAGAATCACAACCACAGGGTTCCAGGTATGCTAGGCCCCTGACAGGCATGCTGTGCACACTAAGTACATTTTTTTTTTTTTTTTGGTACCGGAAATTGAACTCAGGACCTTGTGCTTGCCAGGCAGGCGCCTGTGCCACATCCCTGGCACATTAACTACTTTTAATCTTCCAGATAGCTATTACTCCCAACTCATACAGGAAGGAAGTGAGAACCAGACCAGGATAAGCAACTTCCCCAAGGTCACATGAGAAATAGCAAAGTTAGGATTTGAACCCAGTGTGGCTCCCAAGTCTGTGTGCAGTGTCGGTATGATGAACAGATTTAGAAGCTGTTGGGAAGATATACCTGCTGGAAAGACAAGCAGGTCCCTGGGCTAAGTGTCCTCTCCGCAGTTTCTTTAGCATCTTGAGCTCTTCCCAGGCTCCCCTGCACCCAGCTTCCAACTCTCCACTCTGAGCCCCTGCAGGGAGACCCTTACACTTCTGGCATCTAGCAGCTTCTCCCCGACCCAAATTTCCACTTTCCCTGAGCAGTGACCAACCCCAAAGCCATCAGCATTCAGCCAGCCCCTCCAGCTCCTCGACACCCCTGCCTCCCTTCCCTCGGCTGTCCCAGCAGCCCCAACCAGCAGGGCTGCCCTGAGGGCAGGGTGCCCTGACTCACTCAAGCTCCCTCAACCCTCTGCACCTCTCTCCTCCCTCCTTCTGATTCTACTATGACAATTTCAACACCGCCTCACCCCCATCTCTTCCCCTGGGGGTTTGTAGTGCAAAAAGTGTGGGTTCACGTCTAAAATTTCTCCATTGTTAGTTGCGTAACCTTAGGGTTAAACAACTCTGGGGCTCACTTTTCTCAACTGTAAAATGAGGTAGCTTCTCAATCCTAATGAGATTAGGACTACAGCTTGCTTTGGGAACTCTGCATGAGGGAGGGCAGTTCAGAGTGTGGATGCGCAGGTGGCTGGCCTGAATTGGATCTGCCTTTTTCTCCAGCTATGTGACTTTGGTCAAGTCACTCAAACACTTTTGGTGTTCTTATCTATATAATAAGATAAAACTAGCACAGACTCATGACTGTGAGGATCAAAATTATTTACTTATTTAGTGCTTTTGAGACAGGACCTCACCATGTAGCTCAGGCTGGCCTTAAACTTACTATGTAACTCGGGCTGGCCTTGAACTCATGGCAGGCCTCCTCCCTCAGCCTCCTGGGGGTCAGAATTCTAGGTGTGCGCCACCACACTCAAGTCAGTGATTTAATATGAATAAAATGCTCAGAACAGTGTTGTTTGTTAACGTGATCGTTATTTTCTTTGTGCCTGAGTATACACGCTGTAAAGTTAAGAAATAAATTCAAATCAGATGTCAAGGTGCATGCTTGTAATCCCAGCATTCTGGGAGGCAGGAGTTCAAGGCCAGCCTGGGCAACTTAGTAAAACCCTGTTTTAAAAAAAGAGGGGTCGGGGCTGGGGATTTAGCTCAGCGGCATAAGTACTTGCCTTGCAAGCAGGCAGTCGTCAGTTTGATCCCCGGGACCAATAAAAAGGAAAAAGACGAAAAAAAAAAAAAATCTTAAAAATAAGAGGGGTGGATAGGTAGGTGGGGTGGGGATGTAACTCAGTCCAAAGGTCCTGTGTTCAATGTCCAATAGCACAAAAAACAAATAAATAAATGAAAATAAACCTTCCAAATGCCCTCCCACTACTATTAGCTTTTCCTTTTTCTTACTTGCTAACTTATCTCCTCAGAGAAGGCAGACACACTACACTCTCCAAGTCAGGTCTTTGCTCCCAAACCCCTCGCTCTCCAAAGACAGAGTTCTATACCTCTAGCATCAAGTTCAAAGCTAGAAAAGCAGAGACCCATTTGATTTGGCAGATTGGAAACTTGGATTCCCCCCTTTGCATGATGATGTTGGACAAGTCCCTGCCCATCTCTGAACCTCAGATTCCTTATCTATCAAATGGGGTAATAACTCCTGGGGTAATAACCAACAGGCTGCTGGCACAGACCTGGTGCATCAGGACACCGTGGCCCCTGGCCAGGGCCAGTACTTTGATTAACGTAACACCACAGGCCACGATCATACAACCAGCAACCAGCTTTGCCTCCTCAGGCCCCAGGTCATTTCTGCAATGCCCCAGCATCCTCCCTGCTCCCCCAGTCATTCTCACTGAGTTTCCTTGCCCAGGCCCTGCAAAGACAGCTTCCTGTGCACCTCTGGGCTGCCCTCACCCTCCCCAACACCAGGAACTGCCTGGCAAGCCTCCTGGCAACTGGCCTCCTCAGGCCTGCGGACCTAGGCCCACATCAGCCTGCCCATATCGCTCAGCATGCCCTAGTTCCCCCAGCGGAGCACAGTCCTTGTCACACAATTCAATTCTACGCCTTGTGCAGGAGCCTCCTTTCCCACCTCTAGGGTTACACTGCTGGGCCTTGGCCCTCTGACCAGTCTCCAGAGGCCACCCTTTGCCTTCCCTTCTCCAGAAGCCCCCTCCTCACAGGACTCAACATGCAATTGCACACACAAGAGCGCACACACACACACACACACACACACACACTTTCATTCACTGCCAGGTGCTGGCACTTAGTCTCAACCTGTGTCCTTCTCCATAGCAGCCCCCAAATCTAGGTCCTGCCGGACTCTGGGCTTGGCTCAGTCACCATTCCCCATCCTTCTAATTTGGGGAATGTGTTCCCAGGATGACAGTATTCCCCAATCCTCCCCTGCAACTCACTCCCCCCTCATCCCCAGGTTAGACCTTAGGGGCCTCCTAGGAGACCCCTGAAGGCTCTCCTGCCCTCTTGTGTCTTAATGGACTCCAACCTTTTCCAACCATCATTCCCAAAATACAGGTTCCCTGGAGATGGAGACATCAGGCGCCTCGAGATGTTGGGGTGCCTCGGTTCCCAACCTTCAGCCTCATCATTCGCCCCTATGTCCCAGCGCCTCCCCCACTCATCCCCAAATCTTGGGGTCCCGCCCCCCATCTCTCCCACCCAGAGGCTCACACTCCGCAGCTCCTGAGTCCGATCCTTCATCCTGCGACGGCTCCTCCTCCTCCTCGTCCTCCTGCCTCCGCCGCTGCTCCCTGCCTCCCACCGCGGTGCTGGAGGCCGGGGTCTGGGGGCGCCTAGGGGCGCCCGAGTCGCGAGGGGTCCTGCGGGCGGGGCGGCGGCGCGGGTCGACAGGGGCCGGGCTGGGGCCGGGCTCCGCTCCGCCTGGGCTGCGGTGGTGATGCGGCTGCGGCACAGGCTGGATGGAGGGATGCGGGCGCTGAGCGCGGGGGAGGGGGGCGGAGGGAGGCGGAGGGGGGGGACCGCGAGGGGGCGGGAGCAGGGGGCATGCGCAGCGCCCAGGCTGGGGGCGCCTGGGGCTTGTAGTCCGAGGGGAGGGGTCGCAGGAAGGGGGCTGGCAAGGCCTGCAAGGGGGCAAGGGCCAGAGGTGGGGAAGCCTGGCGCGCTGTGCGGAGTCCGAGGTGACTCGGTCAGGGATCCTGGGGGGCGGGTAGCGGTGTAGGCTGGCAAGATGAGGGGCCAAGGACTGAACTGCGGGAAGAGTGGAGGAGAGGGGATGTGGATCCCTTTACACCGAGAGATAGAGATAGATTTTGTTTTGTGTCTGTATCTCCGTATGAGCCCGCACACGACCCCCTCTGACACTGGAAATAGACAGACTGATCCTCTGTGTTGTTTTTTGATGCAAGGAACCAACCAGTCGCTTGCTGAGAAGGACGTGGGGCTTATTTTGCACATCCTTCCTCACCCTAGTTATGAGCCCCCCGCAGTGGTGGGTCTGGGAGCTCAGCTTGCCACCTCCAGGGACAGGGTGTCCATTACTGGACCTCCTCAGACCTTCTGGCCTGCTTGAGGTGGCTCTGACAGTTTAAAATGAAATTTGTCTGGGGCCAGGGAGGTAGTGCAGTGATAGAGCACTTGCTTAGCAAGTGTCAAGCCCTGGGTTCATCCCTAGAAGGCAACAGGAAAGAGAGAAATCTGTCCGTATTGGGAGGACAAATCTGGTGTCCTGGAAGGTCCAAATTACCCTGCATCTCCTCCCTTTCATGCTCACCTTCCCTCTCGCCATTTCCTCAACCCTCTCCCTGCCCCAGCAATGGCGCTCTGGCTCCTGATGGGCAGGTTGCTAAGTACCCCGCCAACCTGCTTGATACCAGTTCATCACCCACTGATCAGCTCTTCCTCTCTTTGACCTTTCAGCAGCACTTGACCCTGGTGACCTCCGTTTTCTGGAAACCTTCCCTTCCTGGGCTCCCTGCGTGCCTGCTGCCCCCAAACTTTGGATGCTGTCTCCCAGCATCTTAGCAGGCTGCTCCTTTCTTCCAGAACCCTCAACCTCAGCCTGTACTCTCCCAGGGTCTCCTCTTTTTCTCTAAGCACCTTTCTGCACCTGCATACCTGCAGCGTCCACATCTGTCCCTGCAAGCTAGATTCCTTCTCTTTTCTCCTAAAAAAGAGAAAAAAGAAAAAGCTCCTACTGTGTGTCTGAGATAGACACCAAGAATTCGGACACAAGCAGACACAGGGAGAGAAATACTTGGGGTGAACAAGACCAGGCCTTTGTTGGGAAACCCAACACTACAGCGGCTTTTTCCTGTGTTCTCCATCCACCCAGTCACTCAGTGCAGACAGGAAGCTCTCCTTGACTTCTTCCCCGGGTAGTACTACTCCCATGTTCTGAACATACACCGTGTAAACCCCATAACAGCTGTTATTATTCCAAGTTACAGATCAGGAGACTGAGTCTTCAAATGGCTAAGTAACATGTCCAGGTGTTCACAGGAGGGGCAGCTTTTGATTGCCAAGTCCACTCTTACAAAACCACAGCTAGGGTTCCTCTCTCAGCTACCGCATCCAGAGCTGTCTCCTGGTGCCACTCTGTCCGGGACAGTTTCTGCAGAACGTTAGTCTCAGTGGAATTCTGCTGGGACAGCATGAGATGCTTTGCTAAGATGCCCAAAAGAATGGTAAATATGGGGGCTGGGGATTTAGCTCAGCGGCATAAGCACCCGCCTTGCAAGCAGGCGGTTGTGAGTTTGATCCCCAGTACCAATAAAAATGAAAAAAGACAAAAAAAAAAAAAAAAAAAAAAAAAAAAAAAAGAATGGTAAACATGAAGGCCAGGTATAGCTGGAGATGGTCCCTGGGATAGTTAAACAGTTAAGTTACCACTTATCTGTACTTTACCCCTCCCATTTCTCACCTCTGCTTTTTGTAAAGAGAAGACTCTAATAAATAACCAGAGAAAATTATCATCAAGGCTTCAGTCCTAGAGAATCCCATAACTTCGTGTCTCTCTTGTTTTTATCCACTGCATCTCATTTTTGGGACCTGTCTCCTCATGGAAACCAACAAATTTTCTCCCTGATCTCCTGACTTGAAGCTCCTTTCCTTCATATCCATCTTGCTTTCTGACCCCTTGTGTCATTGCCCCAAAAACAAATATGATAAATTTAACCCCCTGCATCAACACCTCCTATGACCCCTCACCTCTGGATTGTGTTCAAAAGCCTGCTCTGATATTTGACCCCCACCCTTAGCTCTTCTCTCCTGTGGCGACCTCGCTATCTCATGGAATCATGGGCTTCAGACACCTTTGAATCTCACTGTATCACTGCCTGGAATATTACTGAGCTTCATGACTGTCCAACTTCCCATCCTTTAAGGCCCGCTCACACCTCTCCCAGCAGTCCAGGAAGACAGCGGACAGCCTCACCATGCGTAGGCTGTCTGCTTACTCACCAGACAAGGCTAGACTGACTGGTGTCTGCTTGCACAAAATAGTTGCTAGCTAAAAATCTGAATGAATGAATGAATGAATGAATGAATGGTATATCCTTTTACACCTTTCCCCAGGCTTAAAGACAATGAAAATAAACTCCATGGGCTGGGCGTAGTGGCACACAGTGGATGCTGAAGTCCTAGCATCTAGGAGGCTGAGCAGGAGGATTGCCACAAGTTCAAGGCCAGCCTGGGATACATAGCGAGATTCTGTCTCAAAAAAGAAAAGACACTCCACGGAGGCAGAGACTTTCATCTGTTTTGTTCATTGCCGGTTCTCCAGTGGCACTGCTGCCCTGGTATGTAGTAGGTGCTGCTCAGTAAGTATCTGGTAAACGAATGAATGAGTGAAAGGTGTGCAACTCAGATCTGGCTGTGGCTCCTAAGATGCACACAGCACCCATGGGATGGGGGCAAGGGTAATTTCTTTTGTTGTCCAGTCATTTTAATGCTGGTTTGTTATTATTTTTGTAGTGCTGGTCATGGAACCCAAGACTTTGCACATGGTAGGCAACTGCTCCACTCCCATGATTTTGAGCTTATCATCACTTCAGATCTAACAGACAACCTTGTGAGCTAAGCCTGGATCATGCACTAGTTTCCGATGTGTTCTTCCTGCCTGAGCAGCCTTTCAGTAGTGTCAATACCAAGACAGTCCTGGTAGACAAAACCCAGACTTCATAACATGGTTTGCTACTTTAGCGTGGGCCTCTGTTTCTCATGCAACCTGTGATTCTAGTCCCAAGTCATTCTCTGCATTTTCTTTCTTTTCTTTTCTTTCTGCTTTGCTTTGCTTTTTTTAAGGTAAGGCCTTGCTTTGTACTCAGGCAGGCTTTGAATTCATTATATAGCCCAGACTGGCCTTGAACTTGCAGCAATCCTCCTGCCTCAGCCTCCTGAGTGCTGGGATCACAGGCATGCACCACCACAGCCCACATCCCTGGATTTCCCCACTTCCAGTCTTTCTTCACATTGTTTCTGTCCTGTAGGACCCTTTTCCCTTTCATATCTTTTTTTTTTTCCCCTTTGGTGCTGGGAATCAAATTCATGACCTTGTGCTTGCCAGGCTGTGCTGCTTAGCTATATCCCTGGCCCTAAAACTGACATTTCAAAAAAGAAAGAAGAAAGAAAGAAAGAAAGAAAGAAAGAAAGAAAGAAAGAAAGAAAGAAAGAAAAGAAAGAAAGTTGAATTGCTGGAGTTTTCTTCCCTCTCCTGAAAATGGAGGGAAAGTCTACTACATATACAAATTACTGGGACTCTTCACCATAAATTCTGATTCAGTAGATTCGACCTGGAGCCTAGGAATCTGGGTTTTTTACAATTACCTCTCACAATCCTTATTTTCACTTTTTTTTTCCTTTTTATCGGTACCGGGGATCGAACTCACGACTGCCTGCTTGAAAGGCAGGCACTTATGCCGCTGAGCTAAATCCCCAGCCCCACAATTCTTATTTTCAGTCATATTTGGGAAACACAGTATATTAGGCTGGCTAGGCTGGATTATGCGGATACAACAGTGATTTGTTTTTATGGTCAGTTGTCTTGCTTCCCAGTGCACCTGTTCCCCTGGAAGACTCCCTCCTCCTGCTGTTGAGATGTAGATACAGAATATAAACATGGTGCCAGGCACAGTGGCACTGGGGCTCAGATTCTCATGTGCAAGGACCCAGCTGGTTACTTTCTGCTTCCTCCATAACGCAGGACCCATCATACCTGCTGTATTCAGGAATAAATGAAAAGCCATTTGTTCGCCAGTGTTGACTGAGGCCCTACTCTTAGGACCATGCTTTGGTGCTAGACATGTGCTGTGCCATGCAAACATATGCACTGTTCTTGTAGAGCCAGTGACCTACTTTTTCTAATCTCAAATTTCCAAATCTGTAGAGTGGCCCTAAAACCCACTGCATGGAGGGTAGATTCAATGAGCACTGTTATTCTGGTGTGTAGCCCTCCCCATTCCTCTATCCGTTCCATCCAGCATTCAAGTTTGTTCTCATTAAGTCCTGAGAGTATCCCCTCCTCAGTGTGCACACTAGTCTAACCATTAAGAATCTGCAAGTGGTTGGGCGTGCTGGTGCACATCTTTAATCCCATCCCTGGGGAGGCTGAGGGAGGAGGATCAAGTGCGTTCAAGGCCAGCCTGGACTACATAACAAGACTCTGTCTCAAAAAAAAAAAAAAAACACCTGCAAGCAAATATAATGTTAATAATGTTAATAGCATTAATAATAATGAACGATGGGAATAACTAATTTTTTTCAACCACTGAGCTACATTTCCCAACCTTTCTCTTTTTAAAAATGTTTAGACAGGGTTTTGCTGAATTGTCCAGGATGCCCCCAATCTTGCAATGCTTCCCCCTCAGCCTCCCAACTAAAATTACAGTCTTAACAGGTGCTGCTGTTCCTGGCTGATAATAGCTGATTTGTGCATGCCATGCCCTGTTTTATTTTACTGGTATAAACCAATTTCATCATCATAATAACTATCAGAGTTTACTGTAATTATTATCTCTACTTAAAGATGAAGAAACTAAAATATGAAGAGCTCAAGTAATTTACTCAATGCATAAACTGTCACCTAATGTAGACAGAAATCATAGACTCAAAATAACCTGGTAAACTGATTTCTGTCTCCCCAGGGACTCATCCAGCCCTACTCTCCACCAAAGCCAAAGTCAGCATCATGCAGCAGAGACTGAACTATTGTACTGCTGCTGTCAGTGTATTTAGAGAGAACTGATGACCTTCTGACACTGAGTTTTCCTATCTGTTTTCATAGCATGTCTATTAACTTAGAACTTTCTTAGTTTTTTTAAATAAAGTTGAAAAAAAAAATTTTTTGGTCTTTTTCTTTTTTATCAGTACCGGGGATCGAATTCAAGACCGCCTGCTTGCAAGGCAGGTACTTATGCCGCTGAGCCCCAAAGTTGAAAAATTTTAAGCCAGGCGCATTGTTACACATCCATAGTTCCAGCTGCATGGGAGGCTGAGGCAGCATAATAAAACTCAGTCTTAGCTGAGCCTGGTGGTGCACACCTGTAATCCCAGCATTTGGGAGGCTGAGGCAGGAGGATTGTTGCAAGTGCAAGATCATTCTGGGCTACAAAGTGAACTCAAGATCAGCGTGAAGTGCATAGTGAGGTCGTGTCTCAAAACAAACAAACAACCACAAAAACCCAGCCTTTTAAGATTATTCTTGGATATCATACATTTCATAATTGGTGGGGCTTAAAATTTTTTATACTTCCTAATAGTTTGTTGTTATGGTTTATAAAGGAAATTTATTTTAAAATCTTTCTGTTATTTAGCAAAGGTTTTGTTTTGTTTTGTTTTTTTGTACCGAGCTCACAACCATGCGCTATGCTCTTGGGCAGCGTGCCACTGAGCTAAATCCCCAGCCCTACTTTAGCAAACTTAACCCCACATACTGTGAGCCAGAGACCCAGGAGTGATCCAAGACCCACGTACTCCACATAGTTTACAATGTGCATCCCTGTCTGACAGATTGTTTCTTGATTCCCCTTTCCCTCTCTGAGGAATGAACCCAGAGCCCTTGCACTGAGCTCCATCCTCGCTCCCTTTTAATTTTTATTTTGAGTGGGGTCTTGCTAAGTTGCTGAATTGCCCACTCTGGGCTCAAACTTGTGGTCCTCCTGCTTCAGCCTCCCAAAGTGCTGCGATTATAGGTACGCACCACCATTTCCAGCTGGATCTCATCTCCTTGGCGAATGTTCTGGCTCCACCTCCAGTCCTCTGCAGAAGCCGAGGTATTTTTGGCCGGGAGTGATTCCTTCCTGATCTCCCAACCTCCAGAGTCAGAGCTACTGCCAACCTTACACGCATCTTTCTGCAAACTAGCAGAAGTTATTCCTTCCTCACCACGCTGTACCTCTGTCTGTCTGTCACACAGTTGTAACTAACAATCAAATGCATGAGGCCTCAGTTATGAAGAGTGTCCCTCCAGTGCAGCTCTCCACACTCCGGCACAGCCATCTGTGATGACCCAGTACGTGGCTACATGTAGAACCTTTGTAAAATCAAGGTTTGATCGTGAATCCTGAATGCCGGCACCCACCCCCCACCCCCCACCCCCCGTCTATCCATATGTTGATGCTCCAATGGCCATTGTGAAGGTATTAGGAGCTTCAGTCTTTGAGGGCGAGTTAGGTTTAGATGACATGGTGAAAGCAGAGCACCTATGATGGGATTAGTGTCCTTACAAGAAAGAGAGTATCAGAGCTCCCTGTCTGACTGTGATGACACAAGAAGGTGGCCATCTGCAAACCAGGAAGTGAGACCTCACCAGGAAGTGAATCTGCTGGTACTTTGATCTTGATTTTGGATTTATCAGCCTCTGGAGTTCTTAGAAATAGAATCTGTGGTATAAGCTCTCCAGTATACGGTATTTTGTTAAAGGAGAACTCAAGCTGAATAAGATGTTTGTTGTCTTAAAATTACTCAGAATATCATTTCACATTTTATTTATTTATTTGTTCATTGGAGACTGGGGATATAGCTCAGCAGCACAGTGCCTGCCTGGCAAATGTGAGGTTGTGAGTTGAGTTCAATCCCCAGTACCAAAAACAAAACAAAACAAAACAAAATAAAACAAACAAAACAAAACACCATCAAAAAGCAAACAAACAAAAAACCCCAAACACTATCTTTTCTTTCTGGTGGTGGTAGTAGGGATCAAAGCAAGGTCTCACCTGTGCTTTTGCTGCTGAACTACATCCCCAGGCCTTCCTTACCACTCTAAGATTTCTGTCTTTCTCTCTCTATTTTACTTCCTCCCACCATGGGGATCTCCCTGAATTGTTGAGCAGTTCTCCTCACAATTTTTTTGCTTCAACCTCCCAAGAAGCTAACATTATGAGCACACAGCAGCACCATGATGGGCTCTTTTTTGGATTAGGTAGTATTTTTATATACACTCAAAACTGAAATAATATAAGAAGCACACAGTAAAATTCTTGCTCTAACAGGTGTACTAAACATTTTGTTCCAACAACCCACCCCTAGGAAAGTTATATGAGTTTCTTATGTAACTTTTCAAGATTTCATGAGGATATAAGCAAACATACATGCACTTTTTTCTCTTTTTGAAAATTTATAGCAACTTTATTAATAATTACCAAAGCCTGAAAGCAACCTGATGGTGGAATAGTACTCAGCACTGAAAAGAACTATGAAGCCATGAAAGAACATGGAGAAAAGTTAAATACATGTTGCTATGTGAAAAGCAATCTGAAAAACTACATATTAGGTGATTGCAAGTGTATAATATCCTGGAGAAGGCAAAACTATGCAGATGGGGCTCTCAGAGGTTGAAAAGGCAATAAATAAGTGGAGCACTTGGAATTTTCGCGGCAGTAAAAATATTCTGTATGACACTATATTGGTTACAAGTCATTAAATATTTGTCAAAGCCCACAGAATGTACAACACAAAGAATTGAACCTAGTACAAACCACAGAAGTTGGCTAATAGTAATGTACTCCCTCTGATTATCAGTTGTAACAAATGTACCACACTAGTGCAAGATGTTAATAAGAGGAGAAGCTGGATGCGGTATCACATTAGGACTCTATACATTCAGCTTCATTCTTTCATGAAACTGAAACTAGTTTTTTTAAAAGTCTATTAATTAAGACAAAACTGAATTGTACCCTATGTAGCTAAATTCTGACTGTCAGGCCAGATGTGGTGGTGCATGCCTGTAATCCCAGCACCGGGGGGGCCGAGGAAGGAGGATCCCTGTGAGTCCAAGGCCAGCCAGAACTGCAGAGTGAGACCCTGTCTCAAAAAAAAAAAAAAATCTGAGTAAGTCTATACTCCAGGCATCAAGGACACAAGGATGGCTAGGGGCTGGGGGTTTAGCTCAGCGGCATAAGCGCCTGCCTTGCAAGCAGGCAGTCGTAAGTTCGATCCCTGGTACCGATAAAAATGAAAAAGACAAAAAAAAAAAAAAAGGATGGCTAGGGCACTGTGCAGCGGTCACTGGGCTGCAAATCACTCTAGGGGACATCTCTCCTCACCATTTGTGCTTGCTGGCAGAGAAGGGAGGAGGACCTTGCTTGTGTCCTGCTTCTTGGCAAACAGTAGGAGGCCAGGGGGTTTCCTTGTAACTGCTTCTTGGCAATTGCCTTCAAAATAATACACAAGTGGCACATCTTGGGGGGTATACTCTGGCCTCCTAGTGTCCTCAGATCAGATTGCTTCTCCTCATGGAATGCAACACCCATCAGTCTCTCCTCCTCTTCCCTGCTCCTCCTCTTTTTCCCTCCCTCTCCTCCTCCTTCTTAGCATATTCACAGCACAACACATCTAGTCTTGGGGACAGGACAGTGCGGGCCCATAACAAGAAGAGAGAAATCACCCTCCCAGGAGTGCCTGTCACCCAGCCTGACAGGCACCACTGCAAGGAATGCACAGCTTTTCTCTTTTGCAACAGTAAATATGATATGTTTATTCTATACCTTCATATTTAAACTAATAAATATTTCATGTTTATACCTAGTGAGGTTTCTAGTTATTTTGGGGGGACGGTACTGGGGATTCATCCCAAGACACATTGAATTACATCTCTTTTTATTTGTTTAATTTTGAGAAAACATCTTGCTAAATTGTCCAAGCTAAGTGCAAAATTGCCTCCTGCCTCAGTCTCCTGAGGGGCTGCGATTACAGACATGTATCACTATATCCAATGTTAATTCTTTGTGATATCTTTGTATCTACTGACAGGCAAGTTTCTGGTATATTGAACAATAACAATAAATACTGATGAGGCAAAACTGGGTATGGTGGCACATGCTTGTAATCCCAGCACTTGGGAGGCTGAGACAGGAAGGTTGCCATGAATTTGAGGCCAGCCTGGATTACAGAGTGAGTCTGAGGTGAGCCTGAACTACACAGAAAAACCCTATCTCAAAAACAACCAATCAAACAAAAAAAAACCACATGTAGTGAGTTAAAATTTGATTTCCCCACCCCCTGAAGTCGGTATACACTTGTGACTTACTTTGAATAGAGTATGTCAGAGGTGACATTGTACAGATTCATAACAGAGTCTCAAGAGGTACTGTGGCTTCCTCTTCCACCCACTTGGAACCCTGAGGTCACTGTGCTATGAATAAATCCAGGATGAAAGATCACATGGACAGAGTGGCTCAACTACCCCAGCCAGCTTAGCTAGAGCTATGATCCCATATGAGCATTCAGGAACCCATAGTAGATCATCCCGCCCCAGCAGAGGCATCAGCTGACTGAAGCTACTTGCATAATCAAGGCCAGATCAGCAGGAAAAAAATGTAGCCACCCTCGGAATCTGGAAAAACAATAAATGGTTGTTTTAGCCCACTAAGTCTCTCCAAATTTCTGGGGTTGATTCTTACGCAGCAGTAACTAACTCATACAGCGGGAAGCTCCTTTAGATTTTTGGAAGTGGGACTGTTGGCTCAAAGCATACATGCAATACAACTTGTGTAAATATTTTCTGGGTTGTATCATTTTGCCATCCCACCAACAATCTGTGAAAGCACCTGTGTTCCTACAGTCTTGCCAAAAAAGTATCTTTCAAACTTAGACTTTTTTTTTTTTTTTTTGGTGCTGGGGATCAAACTCACAACCTTGTGCTTGCCAGGCATTTATGCTACTGAACTAAATCCCTGGCCTCTAAACTTCCAGCCTTAAACTAATACAATAAATAAAAAACACTAGCTTAGCACTGTTTTAAATTTTATCATGATAAGTTGTATCAGACATTTGCATGTATGTTTAAGGCCTCATGAATGTTTTGTTTTGCTTTGCAGTCCTGAGGATTAAACCAGGGCCTTGGTGCTGAGCTGCAACCCCAGCACCTCTTGAATTTTTAAAATTTTGGTCAGGGTCTTGGTAAATTATCTAATTGCCCAGACTGAGCTTAACTTCTGATCCTTTTGCCTCAACCTCCCAGAGTGTTAGCCACTATGCCTAACCTGTTATATTCTCTGGTTACATTGTTGATGTTTCTTAGTGACATAGGGAAAATCTTTAGCTGGTGGAGAGATTAGGTGTTTATATATAGCAAGAATTGCAAACATCTTTCCTAGCTTGTCTTTTGATTTTATGATGTTTTTGCTACACAGAATTTTTTAGAGACAAATGTATTGGGGGTGCTGAGGATTGAACCTAGGCCTTCCCCATACGCTACATCCTCAGCCTTTTTTTTAATTTTTAGAATTTTGAGACATGGTTTCACGAAATAACTAAATTGCCCAAACTGGGCTCTGACTTTCGATCCTTTTGCCTCAGAGTTGGGATTACAGTCATGCACCACTATGTCTGGCTGAGATAAATGTATTAATCTTTTCTTTTATACCCTTCTTCACTCCAAGAGTTATGAAAGATTTTTGCCTGTATTTTCTTAAGGTATTTATCCTGACAAATTTCATGTCTGTTATGTTTATTTTTCTTGTTGCAGTGTTGGAATTGAATCCAAAGTTTTGCAAATTAGGTAAGTGGCCTAGCAGTAAGCTACATCCTGATCCTTTTTACTTTCAAAGTTTAAAGTCAAACTAATGACTTAAGTGACCCAGTGTCACCCATGTGAGGAAGAAGCACAGGAAGAGAACCTGGTGAAGGAGACTTCTGGGGAAAAGTGGTGGATCCTGTTTGGTACACAGTGAGATCAAGGTGCCTACGTGATCTCTAGGAAACAAGTAGATTTGGAGGTCTGAGCTCAGGAAAAGGTCTAGATGGAAACACAGATCTGGAGGCCACCATACAGATATCTGCCACAAGCATGTGTAGAAGGCAGGTGTGGTGGCACATCTTAACTTCTTATTTAACTTCTCTTAAGTACTTAACTTGTCTGTACCTCACTTTCCTTTTCTGCAAAATGAGAACAGTAATAGTACCTATCTCACAGAATTGTTCTGAGAATTAAATGAGTTATAGAGTGCTTACATTGGTACCTGGCATATAAAAGTGTTACATCAAATTAAGTTAAAAAGAAATAATTCCAGCCAGGCATGGTGGAATCAGGCACGCTGTAATCCCAGCACTTGGGAGGCTGAGGCAGGAGGATCCTTTCGAGTTCGAGACCAGACTGGGCTACAAAGTGAGTTCAAGGCCAGCCTGAACTGCATAGAGAGACCCTGTCTCAAAAGAAGAAAAATAATGTCATTCATTCATGAGTATTTGTTGATCAGTTAGTATGGGCATGGTACTGTTGGAGTTATAATCTAGGGGGTGGGGTGGTGGTAAAGATACAATATACAAAGTAAACCAGCAAAGTATACCTCATCCCCAGCCCTTTTTTATTTTTAAACAGGTTCTCAGTAAGTTGCCAAGACTGAGCACAAACTTGCTCTCTTCCTGCCTCAGCATTCCAGAATGCTAGGATAACAGGTGTGTGCTACTGTCTCCAGCTTTCCAATTTCTCTCGATACTATCCAAATCTTTCCTTTGGCAAGGCAAAAATTTCCAGACCATGTTTTCAATTGGGGAAATTGAGTCTCATAGAAGATCATGGGCATAGGAGTCAGCTGTCCAAAAGCCATTCCACTGTATCATTCAGAGATAGGGTGTGAGAGAAGTGGAGCGATGAGGGCCCTCTCGGTCATCCTCCCTAGGTCCAGACAATTCGGCAAGCTATGGTCAAGTTGGAGAGTAAAGTACGGGAGTTAGAGAAGCAGCAGGTCACTATCCCGGCCACGCCCCTTCCTGAGGAGAGTAAGCAAACCCCTGGGTACTCGCAGGCTCCTTGCTATGGGTTGTAGTTTTACGCAGAAGTGGAATGATGAGGCTAATTAAGTAGTTAATCAGAGAGACAGAGGCATTCTCTTTGTGGGTTGATCGGTGAGCATCATCTTCACTTCTTCATTCCCAAGCCCAGGCAAGCCTGGTTGTAAAGGGAAGAGAAGCACTAAAGCCTCTTATACAGAATTATATAGCACTTGACAGTCTCCAGCTGCACAATCACTAAATTTTATTTCATTTTAGAGACTGGGTCTCTCCCTATGCAGTTCAGGCTGGTCTTGACTATAGCCCAGGCTGGCCTCTACTCACAGCAATCCTCTTGCCTCAGTCTCTTGAGTGCTGGGACTACAGGCTTGTACCACCATGTCTGTCACTAAACTTCAGAGCAGGGTATAGATAAGGATGGTCTCATCATCCCCCTACTATTACCCATTGTACAGATGGGAGATCAAGGCCCAGAGGCAGAGAAATGCCTCTCCACAAGTCTACAGCAACTCAGAGATAGGAATCCACGTCTTCTGACTAGGGGATACTCGAGAGGAGGGCATTCTTTCCCTAGCTTGTACCTTCTTCATGCTGAGTTTCTGGAAAAAAGCGTTGGGATCAACTAATATCACTTCTTGTCTACGCAGAGACTTGCTGAGTGACCTTGGGGACTCTTCACTTAAGTTCCACAAGTGCAGGGATTTTCATCTGTTAGTCCCTGATGTATCCCAGCCCCAAGGTCAGTGTCTAGCCCATACTATGTACCCAATAAATATCAGTCAAGTGAAGGTCTAGAAGGGCAGGATTAGGAAAATCGCACAGTAAGAACCTGACACCTAATGACCAGGGAACCAGGGGCTTTATCTTCAGGTGCACGAAAGGCTAAACTTCTGTTCACAAATATTTTGAGGGCCCCTTATGTACTGGATGGTGAACTTCGTTAATTTACAACTAGATCTCTGGTTCAAGGTCGGCATAGCTGGCAGGGAAGCAATCCGCACAACATAATACAGACACGCCGCTCAATCCTAGTTGCCCAGAAGGTGGGCAGTCAGAGGGACTGCGGTGCTCACGCTGGGCGCCGGCCGCCGGCCGCCCACCTGTCAGAGGCTGCGCCACGAGTAATGCTTGGGAGAGATCTCTGCCTCGGTGAGGTCATGTCCCACCCCCGGATTCTCCGCCTACGACACCTTGCAATTCTAACAATGAAGTCTCTAATATTATTTTCTGACTTTCAAGTCCCAAATTCTAAGTCACCAATCTGTCCACGCTCCAGTATCCAAAAGAAAGGAAGGAAATTTCAGCAAGGGCCCCACCATCCACGGCCTCGGTAGGCCTCTGCGTAGTCAGAGTCCTCCTTCCACCTCGCAGGAGCTGTAGGGGCGTAGCTTGCACCCGGGCGCCGAGGACACGGTGAGATGGGTGTCCCAGGGACAGCGTTAACAGAGCCGGAGCATGTGACAATCAGAGTCACGTTCTGCGGGTCCCAAGAACGCAGCCGGGACGGTCACGTGATGCGGGGGCGCCATGGGGTGATGTGAGACACTAGGCTCTCAGATTACGTACGAATGACGCAGCCCCCACCCCTCTGGCAACTACCAGATTTCCGTCCTAGGATGTGACTGTTCGGTAAAAGGGGCGGGTCCTCGCGTCCCTGCAGCTTGGTTTCCGTTCGGGGCGTCGTAGCTTCCGGCCCTGCCTTTCCCTCTGGCGAGGAAGCGACGCGACCTCCTGCGCATGCTCCGAACCATCCCGGAGGGGCGGGACCGTGGCTGTGGGAGAGGGAGGGAGGGGGAAGGAGGGGAATTTCCAACCTGTGGAACTTCGGGGGTCCTGAGGTTTTGTCCTTTCTATTGGCTGTGGACTGTGCAAGGCGCGGGGCCTCTGGCGGCTCGTGGAGTTGTTGGGGCCCTCAGGGCGAGAGAGGGAAATGTCAGTGTGATTTGGGTCCGGGACGTCCGAATTTAGGATCTTGAGGCCATCGAGGTTCAGGTACCGAGGAGAGGGACCTCGGGCAGTCATGAGGGACAGAACCCACGAGCTGAGGCAGGTGAGAAGTCGGGAAAGCAGGGGTGGGGGCGGGCGACGGGCTGGAATGCAGGACTCCTGGCTTTGGGCAGGGAGGGGTGGCAGGTAGCCAGTATGGAAAATCCCGGAAGCCTGCGGGTCTTGCAAGGCGAGAGCCCCAGCAAGGAACTCGTACCAGTGACTCCGGCCCTGGCAGGGGGATAACAGCTCGGACGAGGAGGACAAGGAGCAAGTCGCGCTGGTGGTGCACCCGGGCACTGCCCGTCTGGGGAGCCCGGACGATGAGTTCTTCCAGAAGGTAAGGATCTGGGGTCTTGGCTTGGCTTCTCGAGGGGGCTGGAGGACTGAGGAGCGGCGGCATGGTCTGGAGCAGCCCATATCTCTTTCAGCCCTCTCGGTCATCCTCCCTAGGTCCAGACAATTCGGCAAGCTATGGTCAAGTTGGAGAGTAAAGTACGGGAGTTAGAGAAGCAGCAGGTCACTATCCTGGCCACGCCCCTTCCTGAGGAGAGTAAGCAAACCCCTGGGTACTCGCATGCTCGTTGCTATGGGTAGTAGTTTTACGCAGGTGGTGGCCCGCGTGGATTTCTTGAGGCTGGGGCTGTGATTTGTGTGGAAGTCATAGCTTTGTTTGTGTAGGCATGAAGCAGGACCTGCAGAACCTGCGTGATGAGATCAAACAGCTGGGGAGGGAGATCCGAACACAGCTGAAGGGTGAGCTCCTAGGACCTCGGACAGATCCTCCCTTAGGGTCCCGCCCTATTCCTGATCTCTCTGGGGAATGTTTGACCCTGAGATGCCAGTAATACATCCAGGTCACACAGCAGGCCTGTGTCTAGAATCTTTGTCCCCTGTCATCTAGTCCATGGTACTTTCCATAACACAAGGCTGCCTCTCAGGTTCCTTTATTTACAATGAAACAAATTACATAGTTCTTGCTGCCCAGGGTGCATTCTTTGGGCAATCAGATGGGGGTTTCTGTTAGGAGGCCTCTTAGACTCGTGGGAAGCCACTGGTGTTAAGAAAAGAAAAATAAATTTAATCCTATCAGAGGCCCAGCATTAGTATTTATTTATTATCGTGGGTATGAGGATCAAGCCCAAGGCCTTGTGCATACCAAGCACACACTTTACCACTGAGCTACATCCCCAGCCGTTGGTCGTTATATAATTGTTTCTCTAAAAAAATCTTATGGAGACAAGAAACTCCCTGTTTTGTAGTTGGGATATAACTGTAATTATAAGGGATATAAGGACACATGGCCCTGTGTCCTTGTCTCCAAACAGTTTTCAGAAGTCTGAGATCAAGCCCCCTTTCTCCATGTCCCTTGTGTCTTCCCACAGCCATAGAGCCTCAGAAGGAAGAAGCTGATGAAAATTGTAATTCTGTCAACACAAGAATGAGAAAAACCCAGGTGGGTTGTTTTTCCCAGAACTAGGAAATTTCAGCCAGTGTTTCGTAAGTTATTTAATGGTAGAGGTATGATGAGATCCTCAACTCCAACTTGATGATTTTCCAAATGGGGAAGCTAAGTGCCAGAAAGAGAAAGAACTCAGTCACAGTTGAGAACCAGGTCTTGTGATTCGGCACTGCATTCTGACACCCTGCTTTCTTTTCCTCCTTTCAATGAGAAGTTGCTGTGTCTGCAGACATGACCTAAGCTTGGCTATAGGAGACATGCTTTCCACGAGATGAGATGGGGAATTTTTGTTGGGTAGGAGACAAAGACATTAGTCACGTAGGACTTGGTGCCTAATGGCTTTGCCCAGGGAAGAAGAGGGAGAAGTCAGAAATGACTTGGCAAGGTTTTTTCCTATATAACAGGGACATCCTTGGCCTTAGGGACAGAATTCAAGAAATCAGGAAGAGGAACTTCCCTAGGACAACACTGAAGAGGAACTTCCCAAGGGTGACTTCTTAGTAAGGAGATTTGAAATCATCTGCCTGCCCCTCCCTTATGTCTACTGAAGAATAGTTTGGGGTTCATAGAGTCCTGAGTTGGAAAAGGTAAACCCAGAGCTCAGTGAAGACCTCAGATCAAAGATGGACAGATTTGAACTTCTTGAAAGGATGCTGCTGGGTCCAGGAAAGGAAATAATGTCTTTTTAAAAGGTACTCTATCCTGGTGCTCAGGAGGTTGAGGCAACTTGAGTTCGAGGCGAACTTGGGCTACATTGTGAATTCAAAGGCAATTTGAATTACAGAGTGAGACTCTGTCTTAAAAAGAAGGTACTGTAAGGAGGGGGGACAGAGAAGGAAAAGGAAGGGGAAATAAAGAGGAATTAAGATGTGTTATATACATGTACCAACTCCCCATGATGAATGTAATCATGTCCTACAAACGTGCTAATAAAAATAATAATAAAAAATGAAGATGCTCTGAACTGGGTGTGGTGGCACATGCCTTTAATCCAAGTACTCTGGAAGTGCAAGGTCGGAGGATCACGAGTTTCAACCCAGCCTGGGTAACTTAGAAATTTATTGAGCTCTTGTCTCAAAATAAAAAGTAGAAAAGGAGCTGGCTCAGTATAAAGGTCCTGCATCCAATCCCCCAATGTCAGAGAGCTTATTTAAGGCATTGGTGGGATAAAATGTCCCAGAGAGGGTATTTCAGAGGGAACCTGTGGTGGTCCTTGATGGGAAAGTCCAGGAATCCAGAGGGACCTGTTACACATGGGCAGAATGGTGACCATCATATACATAAGCACACCTCTAGCCTAGCACAAGGCTGGCGTTTAGCATGTATAGAGTGCCTATTGTGTACCATCACCTTTTTGGATAAGAAAATCCCTATCTTCGAAGCGCTTCCATTCAAGTGGGATGAGACAATCACCATAATAAATGAGTTAATTATTTTATTTTATTTTTAGTACCGAGAATTGAACTCACAACCTTGCACTTGCCAGGCAGGCACTGTGCCACTGGGCTATATCCCCACCCTGAGTTAATTATTTTAGGCCACAGTCACCATTAAGGAAAGAAGAGCAGTGGAAGAGGGTAGAGAAAGGTGGGAGAAAGTAGGGTTGCAGTTTTTTTTTTTTTTTGTCTTTTTCCTTTTCATCAGTACCAGGGATTGAACTCACGACTAGTAGGGTTGCAATTTAAATAAGGTGAGTGAGCTGGAGGTATAACTCTGTGGTAAAGTGTGCACCTAGCATACACAAGGTTCATTCCTCAGCACCTCAGAAAACAGTTAAGAAAATGAACCAGGCAGGATGATGTATGCCTGAGATGCTGAGTCAGGAAGATCCCAAGTTTGAGTCTAGCCTGGGCAGCTTAGCCATTATTAAGACCCAGCGTTTAGGCCCTGGATTTAATCCCCAGTACGGCAAAAACACATACATACTTGTACACATATATGTACATACATACATATGAGAAAGCTTCATTAGGAAGGTTAATAAAAACTTGAAGACATGTGAGCATTCTACACAGCGGGAGCCATAGGTTGAAAGGCCTGTGGGTGATGTGTGCTTTGTTCAGAAGGGATAAGGAAACCACTGTGGATGAGGCAACAGTGAGGAAAGGTCAGAGAGGTGACAGGGCAGGAGATCATATAGGGTCATATAGGCCCTGGTGCAGGCTTCGGCTTCCACTCTGAGGGAAGTGAGGGAGCTTGACAAGGTAATCAGCGAGTGTTGAAGGCAGCAGGCACCTTCTGATCACTTGTGCTATTTGCTTACTGTACCCTGGGGTGCCACGGCCCAGAGGGGCAAGGGTCCTGCAGTACCCACCCTGTGTCCTCCATCCCTAGCATGGCGTCCTATCCCGGCAGTTTGTGGAGGTCATTGACAAGTGCCACTTGGTGCAGTCTGAGTACCGGGAGAAAAATATGGAGCGCATTCGCAGGCAGTTGAAGATCAGTGAGTGGGGTTCCAGCCTCTGGGAAGGGCCAGGTAGTACAGAGCCAGCTCTGAGCTTCCCTTTTCTTCACAGCCAATGCTGGATCGGTGTCCGATGAGGAACTGGGACAGTTGCTGGACAGTGATCAGAGTGAGGTGTTCATATCCAACGTGAGTGGTCAAGCCAGCCTCCCTCCCCGGGCTTCCCATCTTCTCTGAGCCCTCTTGCCTTTTGACTGAGGGCAAACTGACGCCCTGGAGGAATGAAGGAGCACCCCTGGAGTTACCATCAGACTCAAGCCTGGCTCATAGGCCAGAGGGCCGCCCCAGAAGGCCAGAAGGAATATCTGACCTGTTGCTGGCCTCCCAGTGAACTGTTCCCCCATTCCTGTACACTGACAGATACTAAAGGACACAAAGATGACCCGACAGGCCCTCAATGAGATTTCAGCTCGGCACAGCGAGATCCAGCAGCTAGAGCGGAGTATCCGTGAGCTTCATGAGATCTTCACTTTTCTGGCTACTGAGGTGGAGATGCAGGTGGGTAGTCTGGGAAACACCCCAACAGGAGGCTGTACAGTTGGAACTCAGCTGTGACATAGGCTGGCCTCCTCCCTCAGACTTTCCACTGAAGTTTGTGTTCTGTCACCCTTGGCCATCCCTCAAGGTGGTCCTGACTCCTACCCTTAGCCAAATCCCCAGAATTGTGCCTGCTTCCACACCTGCCCAGATAGTCACTCCTATATACATACGTAGCATCCTATTTGGCCCTCTAACTTGTGCTCAACCTAGGTACTGCTCAGCCGTGGCTCCTTTCCTCCTGACAGAATCTACCATTATGCTTCTAAGAACTCCAGTCTGAGTTGCCCTCTAGAAGCCAGGCATCATGGCAGATGTTTGTAATCCCAGCTACTCAGGAAGCTGAGACAGGAGGATGGCAAGTTAGAGGCAGCGTGGGACTCTTAGCAAGGCCTTATCTCAAAAGTAAAATAAAATAAAAGTGAAAGAGCTGGGGATGTAGCTCAGTGCTCCCTAGGGTCAGTCACTAGTACCTTAAAAATAAAGTACTAGATGGCCTGCCTTCTAAAATCTGTCCAAGGTTGGTGCTCAAGTGACATTCTCCTAATCCCAGTGAGAGGCTCAGGTAAACGTTCAGCCTGTCCTGGAGGAGCTGATGTCTGTAGTACTGTAGCCAGTGCTCTTTTATAGCTGCGAGTCATGAGAAAGAGCTGTCTTTCTGTGGGAACGTCAGGACCTGAAGCCTGGTAGTGCCAGTAGGAGGCAGGGACGGAGGGCTTCATAGCAGCTGGAAGGCAGGCCTAGAAGAATGAGTGAATTCAGACAGATTTGTGAAGGGGACAGAAGTTAATTTATGAAAAACATATGAGCTGCTGGGTATGGGTGTGCATGCCTGTAATCTCAGCACCTGAGAGACTGAGGCAGGAGGATACATAGTAAGACCCTATCACAAACAAATGAACTATATGTGGTCCTTGGCTCAAGACTGCTGCTGTACTTGGAGGTTGTATGGAATGAGGGAAAAGGGGAGAAGGGGCCATTTGATTGAAGAGGGCCTAGAAGCCATCCCTAGGGGTTTGAGCCTGTGCCAGGCTGGTCCTGCCAGATGTTTGTGTTGGGTTTTTATTTTTTTCCTGCCAGGAGTATCCTTTAGTCATCTGAGGCAGGGATGGGCAAAGTTGCTGTTCTCCTGTGACTGGTCATCCCTGGTTCCCTGAACCACCTTGTTCTCTGAGCAGGGGGAAATGATCAACCGGATTGAGAAGAATATTCTGAGCTCAGCAGACTATGTAGAACGAGGGCAAGAACATGTCAAGCTAGCCCTGGAGAACCAGAAGAAGGCGAGGAAGGTGAGGCACAGCCCTGTCCCTGACCCCTGGTACTCCTGAATGATATCCCCTGACCCTTCCTCTCCCACAGAAGAAAGTCATGATTGGCATCTGTATATCCATCACGGTCCTCATCGTGGTAGTCATCATTGGGGTCACCACAGCAATTGGATAATACTACACGTTCTTGGTGAGACATGGTGGGCCTACCCTGTCACCACCTATACCTGCCTCCTCCTTTCCTCACACCCTCTTCTTCCTCCTTCCCTTGCAGGCACTGGGAGCACCAGGGACCCAAGGCCTGGCCTTCTCTTCCAGCAGCTGTGGGGGCAGGCAGAGCCTTCTGCAGACCCCATCCTCACTCACACTGGGCCCTATGCAGAGGGGCTGATTGCTCCTCTGGAGTTGGCAGCTGCTCATTCATGGGGGCCTCTCCCATCAGTGCACTACCAAGGCGAGGGCCTACAGCATCCTGTTTGGTTGAGACACATGATTTTGTAAAAAAATTAAAAAAAGAAAAGAAAAAACAACTTGTAGACCCCTGTACATGTATGTTCCTGGAGGGCTGGCCCAGGGCAGCAGACCCTGCTGTGCCCCAGAAGACAGCTGTCCTGCCTGTGCTGCCACTGCCAGTCTCAGTGTCACAAGTTGAGTAGCGTGCATGGGCGTGAACCAGGCAGTGGCTGGGTCGTGACTGGAATAGAATTGTCCAGCAGACCTAGGCTATCCCTGAAGAGCATCGGGATTGGGTCAGCCACCCACCTCCCAGCCATCCCTGGGCTCACTTGAGACTGCCCTCAGCAGCCAGGACTACAGGCTGCTAGTTCTTCCCTTCTGCTGTCCCATAGGGGGACTGGAGAGATGACATAAACAGCTGGTGCCCAGCTCAGTACTGTGTGCCTCCACTGTGATTATGTATCCCTGAACATGGCGAGGTGATTGCATGTGTGTGTGTAAAATCTGATATTCCTGAAGCCAAGAGCAAGAGGCATCATGAAAAAGATACCAAGTCATTGGGCCTGTTATTTTAGATTTAGTTATCGAAAGCTCTAGTTTCAGAGAGGACAATATTTGAAATGTTAAGTGAGGAGGAACCAGTTGTACAAGGAGGCCCTGCAAGAGCCTGGGCAAAGGGAAGAGCAGGCCAGGCCCTATGACCAGGCAGAGGCCCTACCTTTTTTTTTTGGTACTGGGGTTCAAACTCACGACCTCGCACTTGCCAGGCTGAGCTCAGAACCTGACCCCCAAAGTTGTACCTTCTATGTGAGCATTCTGCTTAGAGCAGGTACACCCTGCAGCATCCCAGGTTCCTTAGAGGTCGCTGAGTGCGAGCAAGTAGAGGAGCATGCATCCTGCTCCTACAGGCACTTGAGTGTAAGTCCTGATGCTACATTTCAAAGAGTTCCCAAGCCAGATGCCTAATTTCTAAAGAGGAGTGTGGGTCAGGCCCAGAACAACAGGCTTCAAAGCATAAGCTAGTTCCTGACCTCATGGCAGCAGGGCAGTGTTTTGCTCTGTTTCCCAAGGTTGGCAGCTACATTCAAGCCTCTTGAGCCCTATCCCATTCTGGGTTGGCGAGTGGCAAGAGGATGAGATCAGGTTCCTGGCCAGAACTAGCCAACCCTGGCCTGCTGGGCTGCATCCCTGGCTGGTGGCCAGCCACCCTGCTGTGCCCCAGAAGACAGCTGTCCTGCCTGCGCTGCCACTGCCAGTCTCAGTGCCACAAGTTGGGTAGAGAGTGCATGGGCGTGACCCAGGCAGTGGCTGGGTCGTGACTGGAATAGGATTGTCCAGCAGACCTAGGCTATCCCTGAGGAGCATCGGGATTGGGTCATAGGGAAGTGATCCCTCCCGTTCAATCCTGAACAGCTCCAGCTCTAGAGCAAGCTGCTGTGGTGGTGCCGCCACAAGTACTCCTTACACATCTGTAAGTGGTTAGATCCCAGAGTGCCCAAGGCAAGATCAAACTTCCAAAGGAGATGGGAAGGCAGAGGGCTCACAGAGGGACTGGCAGGGGCAGTGAGCCAGACACTTTCCCATTCCCAGGAGTGTGCAAATGACATCTAGATGACCACCCTGTAGAAATGTGTGGGCCTAGATATATCGTTCCTCAGCACCAGACTAGGCTGGTTTGGACCTGGGACTCGGGGCTTCCCTGATTTTCCATCTCTTCCCCTGAAGTCTGCATCATCAATGGATCCTGTAGGCTTCCAATGTTCGCTTTCTGATCTCTCTGTCTTCACAGTGAAATGCAAAATCCAGGCACCTATGGGATCTGATGCAGACTCTGGACATACACTATACCACATCTGTACAGCTGGATGTCCAAGTACAATGTATGCCTTACAGTTATGCTGGACAGCGCCTGAAGTGGAGCTCACCTGTCTCACCCCGGAAGCCGTCCAGGAAGAGGTAGCTAGATGCCCAGTCAGGTGAGGCAGTGGGTCACGAGTGGGCTCAATAGTCTATAGCCCTGCTGTGATCAATAGGGACCCAGGAAAGATTTGGACAAATGAGTAACAAGTTTGGAGCAGACCGGTCAGGGCAGTGAACAAGTAAAACCATGTGCTGGAGTGTACCCTATGGACACCCCTTCCCTGTTGGAAGCACCTCATTGAGGACCTAAGGCAGGCAGATTTGGCACTGAAATCCTGACTTGGTTGCTGTCAGCTTCACTTCAGGTATTGACTAGCTGTGGCTATTCTGTATCCACCTGGTGTTACAACCTGTCACTTACAGTTTAATCAGGTTTTTTTTTTTTTTTTTTTTTTGTCCTTTTGGGACAGGGTTTGGCTCTACAATTCAGGCTGGCCCTGAACTCACTTTGTAGCTCAGACTGGCCTTGAACTCGCAGTGATCCTCCTGTGTCAGCCTCCCAAGTGCTGGGATTACAGGTGTGCGCACCATACCTAGCCTTAATCAGTATTTTGTAATTTAAATTTCCAAGAAAAGGAATAGGTGTAGTTCACACTATAGGTCAGGCTACACTGATTGACCTACCTAGGAACTATCTGCCTTTGAGTCAAGACTTCACCCTTTGACAAGATGTATGTGGGGTGTCAAATGGTATGAATCACTGCAGCACAGTGCGTGTGTGTGTGTGTGTGTGTGTGTGTGTGTGTTAGAGGCAGGAGTGAATGAGCTGAATGTATCACCATTGGGCAGCTGGCACCACTCATTGGGCCTATCCCATGCCACCCAAGCATATTTCACTGGCGGTTCAGAGGCACCCAGCAGTGAGACATAAAATGGCTCCATTGTGGATATGTTAGCATTTCTAGCACACCCCTGTGACTGACTGAACTATTGCTTCAGATATTCACTCCTTATCCACTGTGTGTCTGCTAAAGAAGGATTATACATTCATGCCCTGGTGACATAGGCTTGGCTCTATGCCTTTGCATTGGCCAATGGAATCTGAGTAGAAATATAAAACACTACTTAGAAACAGATGTGGGGAGAAGTGGGATGGTGGAGTGATGAGCAGTGAGGAGGGAGCCTCTCTGAGAGTTGCCATCAGATCCTGAAATACAGCAAGGTGGCAGGTATGGGAGGGAGGGAGGGAGATGGGTCTCCTGGACCTGGGAAGGATCTGAGGCATGGGTTGGGGCCTATGTGGAAAGTGGAGAGAGGGGCTCCAGTGAAGAGGGAGGAGGTGGCTGGCAGAACCTTCTTCCTGAGACAGAATTCACTGCATAAGAGGACTGATTCAAACCTGTAGACACATGGTAACTGCTGGCAAGCCCATAAGCTTCTACAGAAAGGTGCAGCAGTGGAGGAGGGAAGCAGCAGATAAAAGGACTGCCCCGGCTGGTAGTGAGTGCTGAATTTTCAGTCTTCCCGTGCAAGACAGCAGTTGTCCTGGAGCTATCTTGGAGAGGGGCTGACTGAGCTCAGAACTCTCAGTGGCTACTGACTCCGTCTAGGACTCCCAGCTGGGCTCAGGCCCACAGAAGGTACACTGACTGCAAGCTGAATGAGTCTGGTCTCAGCCAGAAGGTGCAGGCTCTTTGAGATTATTCACTGCCCTGCCAAAAAGCTACTGTTCTGTAATCCCAGAACTCAAAGGCTGAGGTAGGAGGATCACTGTGACTTTGAAGTCACCCTGGACCAAAGTTTAATAGCCCAAACTGCATAGTGAAACCTTGTCTAAAAACAGAAAAGCTACTGCTGGCTTGCTGGGATAAATCCACATGGATTGGGACTCTGTCTCTACACATTTTCTGCTGGTGGTAGCAGAGACAAATCTGGAAATGAACCCCCACCTCTCTCTCTCTCTCTCTCTCTCTCTCTCTCTCTCTCTCTCTCTCCCTCCTGTCTCTCTCTCTCTTGCTTTCCCTCTCCCTCATTTGTTTTGCTGTGGTGGTTTTGTTTTTGTTTTTTCTTTCCTTCATTGTTTGATCTTGTTTTTATATGAATATAAACATAGTTTCTAGCCTTTTTGTGGTTCTGGTTCTGTTTTACTATTTTTTATCTCTTCTTTCTCTTTCCCAGAAGTCTTCTGCACCAATTTCCCAAAGTTGGTCTGATCCCCTTTGTCCTCCAGCCTTACTTCTAAACTTTTCTCTATTTTCTCCCTAACTCATTTTAAATTTTAACTCTTGAGGGCAAAATTGGCATAGTAAGGACTTGTTTACAGCATATAGTTTTTTGGTTTGTTTTAGATTTTGTTACAAAATCTAGTTCATATGGTTAAAGATGGCAAAATAATTGTTAGCTCACTTTGTCATTTTCTAGGTTGGTTTTGATGCTGTTGTCATTGCTGATGGCACCACTCTTGGTATAGCCAAAAGTGACACAGTTGTTTTAAACAGCTGTTCTGCCTGGTATTCTAACACTGAGATTGACTAAGGATCACAGAAAATACTGTGGTAGAGAGTCAAAGAACCAGGGGCTGGGTCAAACAGGCAGCAACTTCTTAACCCCAACAAACTGAATAGGTGGGGTCTTGCAACAGACTCAAAACCCAAGAACCAGCTGCACCTGGAAGATACCTTGGAGAAGTAGTCATTTCCTAAGGGTTCTAAAGACTGGCAAGAAAGCAACCTACCATAGGCAATTTACAAGCATCATCTGAAGAATTAAGCTAAACAAAAAAAATGAAAATGAAGAGACACTTGAGCAAGGTATAGCACCAGACATTCAGTTCATCTGGGTAGGCCCAGGGACAATGAGGTAGGATGGTCTGAGGGCCACCCACCCTGGCCTCTGACGTGGTGGCAACAAAGCAGCTCAATGGGGCTCTAGAAAAAATCAAGTCAGATATAATTTCTCAGATAACTGCAAAGATGGTGGCCATAATGAAAACTAGGCTTAGCAACAGCAGAACAGATACAGACCAAAAAAACAAAAAACGGAGCTTAAGAAAATTATGGAAGCCACAAATGCTCAGCATAGGAAAGAAATGGAATCTGAAAGGAAGATTCAAGCAGATATCCAGGAGAATAAAAATTCCATTGATAATTAAAAGAAACATTTCTTAAAAATATCAAGGAACCATAAGAAATCAATCCAACAGATACTAGACAAA